GTCTTACACCTTTCTTCTTTTTGTATAATATGACGAAGTAAGGGGTTTATAAACCTTGATAAGACTTTGAACATATGATCATTGGTGTTTTGAATATATACGAGTCTTCTTTCATAGACTATTGTTGGCGATAATATTAATTCAGAGTTTCTATATACTCTCAATAACAATAAAAACAAAAGAACGGATAGATTTACGAAAGGAATACTGTTAGCAATCAGGTAGCGGGATTATGAAACGTACGCTAGTTAGCTGTAGTGCAAATTGGATCCCGTGGCCATCCCTATGAACATGTTTGAGAACCATGCATTTATCATTTATGATCGATGCTACCGGTCACATGTTCAATTATAATATTTAGCGAAAAGTAAAAAAGGTGTTAACTGTAGGACCCTGCCCTCTAATCCATACGCCGTTCATCCACTAGCGGTGAACTGGAATTATAGAACTATGCAACACGACTGGGAACCTTGGGACTGATATCGGTTGTCGACGTGTAAGAATGGGGGAATCGGTCGAGTTAATTAAACTTCCCATGTATACATGTATTGTACCTTGTATATTATATTGACTTGCACCCAGACCTAGAAGCCATGTATACATGTATATTTATGGCCAATTTATCTCAATCTTTATGCTAATCTTTTTCTCTAGATCTTCGAGGGTCGGATGTAGACATGGGTATAGAATTATAGACATAACTTGTCTCAATGGGTAACTGACCTTATTATATTAGGTCTACACCTAGATATTTAGATATATATACGCGGGGACTGAAAAAAAAAACTAAGGATACTATACACTGGCTAGAGAACCCTGTGACTAAATAATGCACTTGGTATATAGTAGAGGGTTGACTGGTAATATATATAATTATGAAACACTCAATGGATCAAATAACATCGATTAATCTGTCAAAAATTGTCGAAGAAACTACCCCAAATAACGAAATATATTGAACCAACTCTAGAAAAATAAGATGCTAATAATAAGATGCTAATAGCTTGCTATTTGTATTGATATTACCCTCGTGACCTCAAGGATACTCTAAGCTCGAGTCTACACAGAGTCTACATTATCACCGGCATCCCCCTTTTGAACCCCTCAGCACCGCGTGCAGCGGGGGGCATGTAAACTGTTGGCTTGAACCATGCACATATATATGTAGCTTCCCGTAGCCATAATAAATATTTAACTGGACTCTATAGTAACAGTTATTTAAAAATGTAAAACTCCTTGGCAATGTTAATCGAGAAACTCTTGGCTGTTGGTTGTTGGTTGTGTTCCATGTATACTATTTTTACGTTTTCACACATGAAGTCGGGGATCTAGGTTAGCCATAAGACTTATTGATACCACATACGTATATTGAGACTTTACTGAGGTTAGGTGATCTTTGTTTCTAGCTAAACATTCAAGTAACCCCTAAGCTGCATAGTCTAGAAACGGCCGGCCCGCAGGGCTGTAGTGCATGGCCATGGAGCTATCGTTGGTTTCTATCTTTCGACTGTACAATTGCGGGCAGGTATTTTGGACAGATACCCGGGTGGCTGAGAGAGCTTGATCAGCCCTCGAGACCTGGCAGGTGTATCAGTCGTAGCTGTAGAATATAGCTAGTAAATAAGTTGGCAGACAGGATATATATAAAAAGGGTTCATATCCGGTTTTGTTCGTTCAGATCTAACTCGTCAGGCCATTAAATTCCTTCCATCTGAAGATTACACTCCCTTTCAATCTTACCGCTGAATTCGCTCCCTTTACTTGTATAAGATCAGTTCTTGGAAAACTTTCACTTTACGCGTGCGCACTCCGAACGTTTGGGGTATAAATAGCCCCTCGTGCTAGGCCGAGCTTCTCCAGACACTCCTTCCAAAAACAAACCACCATCATCATGAAATTCTCAACCTTGATTCAAGCGACTGTAGTCGCTCTTTACGCGACTATGGCTGCTGCTGCTGCCATCCCAACTTTCGATATTGATAGTTCTACCGAAGACCATCTTCTTGCTAAACGCGACGGCATCCGATTTACTGGTTCTCTCTACCCTGGCGGTCCTGAAGTTGATCTCACTGGCACACTCAATGTAGCTAAATCCCTTCATCTCACCTCCCTTCATCTACGTCATTGTGCTCTCTTATAGTTACCTAACCATGTAAATTTTACTTTGTGCACAGGAAATTATCCCTGAGCTCAAGAAGCTCTATCCTGATTTGAACACCGTCTCGACTACTACTACTTCGGCTTCTTCTCCAAACGTATGTATAGCTCGTGCTACCCTAAGCTCCTAGTAGTTGCTTATTACCAAAAACAACAGCTAATATCCATCTTGGGACTACATAGCCACTGCTTGCGAAACGCGTCACTCAAAAACCTAAGTATTGTCTCTCAGGGAAACCTGCAGATCGTTACGTGATCTACAACCATGCACTCCCTTACTTGAAGGCTATCGAAAACTTGACGTAAGTGGCCGTTCACGAACTGATGGACCTCCATTTTCTACTCTTCATTTGATTGTGATGATATCAATACTAATCCGTTCATCTATGCATTTAAATAGATGTGAGCTTCCCATTAGGTATGGTTGCTTCAATGTCTATTGTTCGCCTGCTCCTCGCGCCAATGTACGACTTTGCAATCTCGTAAGTAATAATACGGTTCCCAACTATGTCCCACTTTCTTGTTTCCTTTTGGCTCGAGAGCTCAACTAATCGGGATCTTTTTGAACTACTGTAGTGGTTCACGACTCGCAAAATTCCGTGCAAAAGTTTCGTAGAGGTCGCGGAATTGATCATCAAAAACTGCGAGGACGGCCCTCAGAGAGGAATACGCGGCCAGATAGTCACCAGCTACAGTGGTATCGAGTTCAAAGTCGGGATCGGTAGTGCTGAGTGTTTGGGAACGAATTCTGGACTATCCTGAAATGTTACTGTTGCGTGCTTGCACTTAGAAACGGATTCGAAACCATCATCACCATCATCATGTTGGTAGTCGAATTGTTTACAGAGCAGGCTCTGGCTTTCTACTCTAGGTCAGGCGATGGACATTATTATTCGTTTACTTCTAAACATCCTTTTGCAATGGAGATATAGGCCTCCATACTAATTAAACAATCCCATAAGAGGTTTCCAACCTTTATTATTCTACATGATGTCGTAAGGTGTATTATTTTAATGCGTAGGCAGCTAATTGATCAATCGTAACACTGCAATTACTAAACATTATGCCATCCGAAATATCTTACTACAGAGCCGCTAACCGGTGTGTTTAATATTATGCACTCCGCTGATCCACAGCAAGGAATACCCCACTCTTAATAAATAATAGAGTACTATCAATAGTAGTCGGAAGCGTATGTATAGAGCTAATATTTAAGCCAGATCCTTAAGATTCTGACGCCGGATCCTCGGCCGCGGTACCGTTGCCATCGGATGACTATCGGATGAACGTTACGCCACGGTGCTCCTGCGTCCGGACGGGACGGATCTCTGATAGCTAGCTTCCCGTCTGTGCGAGCATAATAATATACATCGGAGTTCGTATACGGGGTTAAAATTTCCAAAGTTATTTTCTGACTTGATTAGCTAACTAGCTACTAGTAGATAAGTCAAGTACTATAAAATGCCACATCACAGGCAATATATATTACGTCCAAGCTTTTTATTTAAAAAAAAAAAAGTGCGGGATTTTTAAACGAGCTAACTATGCACGAAATCCCAGTTATCGGCTCCCAATTCGAACATTCTAATGTTCGAAACGAAAACCATAAACAGGGTCTGGGGACAAGGGGCGGGGCATTGGACGGTGGGATAGGGAAAACGTGGTATTTTTTCTGTGTAGCCGTAGGATAAAGTCGAGGAACCATGTCTCTTTCCCCTCGACTCCACATGGTAAAAACGCTCGTATTGCGACACTTTTTTTTTCTTTTAGTATGGGGAAGTAAGAAGCTAGGGCATCTTTCGCCCTGTAGCTCGGAATGATTCTAGAAGGGATCATTATTAAATACGTGAATTAATTCGACTACTTGGTTAATTTAGTCTGGGGGGATAATTGATTAATTGATCAATTGAAGCGACGTATATATGGCTATTAGGGAAACTCCACGGGATAGAGCGACTTAAGCCTCGGCCGAGTTAAAGGGCTAATGTAATACCGACGCTAGGATTTTCCGCTTTTTAAAATTTTTATGGCGGTATATATACGTATTAGAGTTCCCTGCATTGAGCTTTTCATAGATTATAATATTCATGTTGGAGGGTTAAATCCCCTTCCGGTCGTTACACGGTCAGCCACAGCCGACGGGGTTGAGTCCCGCTACGGTGGTTGAAAGGTCGCACGGGAAGCTCTGATGGAGCTCTCTTTTGAGAATACTTTGTGCGTATACATCACGAATTAGTTGAGCGTTTTACTATGTAACAAGTTATAATCTATATATACGTTAGTCCCAGGGCCAGACGCCCGTGTGCCCGTGAAACAAGTGAATTCTTTACGGGAATTATGATATTGGCTCGTATTACACGGGATTGATCGATTTTTTAAGGAGTAAATTAGTCTAGTTGGAGTAAATATCTTTTTATATGTTCAAATGATTCGTAGATCTAGCTTTCTAGGTGTGAAGTAATTTATTAACAGGAATTAGGCTGTATCTTGTATTTATGTGGCCTCGCTCGGGATCTGAGATGATATGTTATATACCTATCCATGTGCATATATAAGCCACATCGAATCTTGATCTCCCGTCATATAGGTACCTAGACATACATTCCGATATCTAGATTTTAATCCTCCTGAGTATAAGACCAAATCGAAGAGTCGTCGGGTGGCCTTTGAGAGCATGTCTTAGCCTCGATATGAGCTCACAGGCTTCGTTGAAGGTCATAACTTAAGGGCGAACACATGCGTATCTATGGATAGCAATATTCCGCAGGCCCGTAAGTTATAACCTTGAAAGCTTGCTCATTCGTAGAAAGTGCACCGGTGCACTGGGGGCCGCACTTCGAGCATCATCGGCAATGTCACGGGGTGGCACAACTTCAGCACCGGGAAACTTGGACAGGGTATCCTCCTCGACGGCAATATACTGTCAACGGTCTTGGAACCCGGGGAACTATAGGTTCTTGGCTCAATGAATGTTAGATATGGAAATGGTAGGGGCTAGTCTTGTATTAAAACGCTTCGGCATACGGCATGGCTATATATATAGCATCGTTGGGCACCTAGGTATATATATATCAAGCTCGGTCTTGATAAACCCACGGGTCCAATACCAAGACATCGGCACGGTTAGGAAAGGGACGGAGATAATAGACGATGCTGGGAGAGGAAAGAATAATACCTGATACCTGATACCTGAGCACATAGCTCTTGAGCTCCTCCTTATAATTTAAAACTTGTATCAAAGGTTAGTATAAAATGTATTGGCCATATTGGTCTGGCAGTTGGCCGGCAACTGTTCTGTGTTTGTAGCCTTTTGTGTTGTATTTTTCCAACCTCCATTGAAGTCCAATCCATCCGCCCACATCCCACGTACCTCTTACACACTCCGTACCCAGTACATACACGGTACCCACAGCCAGCTGTTGTTTCTTCTGTCTGCATCCGGGAGACCAGGGTCCCCTTGCTATCGATCTTTACTCCATAATGCGGCCAACGCATGGCCGCGGCTTCGAGCTTCTCGACCTTTTTAAATTTATCTCAACTGGGATGGATTCTTCCTCGAGCTCGTTCGATGCAGTAAAAGGTGATGATGATGATGACAAAATCATGGTGACCAACGGGAACAACGGAACTCCGGGAGACCCGATCCGACGGGACCTTATCGGTTTTATGTATGTACGATCGTGAATCGACATGACCGCCTGCCGTCTGTGCTATCGAGAAAGCCTTAAGCCAGGGCACCCACTGATTTGTACTATTGAATCGTATGATACGGCACTTACTTCATTGTGCACTGAAGTTCTAAATTACAGATTTCTGATCCTAATTCTTGATGCTCGAGCACTCCTTCACAAAGAGGCGGGAGGGAGGAAAGGGGAAGGGAAAAAAAAAAAAAAAAAAGTGAGAGACTCGATTGTTTCGAAAGCATGCAGCCTGGTCACACCGACGTCGACGCTCAGCCTGCAAGGAGGAGATCTTGAGTGAAATTTCTCACGTCTAACAGCCAAAAGTAGCTGCTACTCGGTACCAGGCAGCCATGCTAGCCACGAGTCAAGTACATGTACCATCTACGCTAGCCAACGCATACAAGGTGCTAGATCACTGCAGTGAGACAGGGTCTTCCAATCTATGTGAAGCAGCCGACGGCACATGCATCGAGAGAACTTCTTCTATTCCATTGCATTGCATAGCTTAGCTAGAAGGCTTCGTCGGGCAAGAAAAGGCATGGCTTTCGAATGTTCCTTCGAGGCAGGAAAAGCATGCAGATTGACGCCACCAGACCAGCAGCTTTCTGCAGGCCATGCGCGACTTTTTCTGATCAGCCCGAGGCCGAGGCCAATGCCTGTCCTGTTTGTTCGCATTAGGGCAGCAGAGGCCAACAAAGCTCCGAGTCTGGCGATGCAAGCGAGCCCGCGCAGAACGAGAGAACAGTCCTCACTCTCCACTCCCAGAACCATGTCCTCGGCCAAGCTGTTGAATTCCGACAGTCGGGATACTCCAAAAGTCTAAAAGGACCTGGCATGCGGGACGCCTTTATTGTTGGTCGGCTGTGGCGATTTATGAGACTTAGTTAACATCTGGGGAGGGTTTTCCCTATTATCCGTCCCTCTCTAGCTCTAACGACTAAGAATAACTTGAGCCCAATCCTTTTTCTGTCTCCCTTCTCCATCGAACATAACCCCCTTGGATCCCGTCGTTTACGAGGCTCGTCCGGAACAACATCGGTCACGTCCAGATTGCATATTGCCCTGTCGAAGAACGGCCCATTTACAGGAGATACGACTCCGAAGACTCGTCAAACCTGTCAATTCACACATCTGGGTCCGGTTCCGACTCGTGGTGTAGGTAGTGCTGTATCACAGACCACAGAGAGGCCCCAATAACTCAGGAGGGAACCATTTTTCACGACAACCATCGCCGCTTTGGCTCTAGTGCAACCTGTTACGAACCATCCATCGTCGCCCCTCCCCAATAACACGGAAACCAGATCGAACCGGCTCAGCGGGCTCGCATACAATAGGATTTGTGCTCCTGCCTTGTTGAACTCCAGCGTCGGTGCACACAAACTGAAACTCTAGAGTGTAGCGAAGGTCGCAGCTTCTGGTTGAGACAGAATAAGCGGCTTATAAGCAAGGACCTCTTTTCAACGTGGTACAGATCTTATTTAACGGGTTCTCGAATTTCTCTCTAATCCACCGACGACCAGTCTCGTGTGAAGCTTCAATCGTGCTCCTTCCACTTGTTGTACGACTTTGAAACTCGCATCGAGGTCTTAAACTCTCGCCAGCCACCTTCCCTCCTCGCTTCGAGGATATCGTTCCAAGGGTATTTTGGGATCAGAAGCAAGGCGAATTATTCTGGGCTACTTTTCGAATCAGAATCCGTGATCATCAACGGTCGTCAAATTTCGCAGCCAGGCCCTATCCTTGCCGTCGACTAGCTTGCTACGGAGCAATCGGGCCAAACCATTTCACAAGGGAAAAACAAAAAAACACGCTTCGAAAATCCCGCCTGTCAGAATTCTCCGTTGTGTACCTTGACTGACTGCAGGAAGCCGAAGCTCTGACATTCCATCGAAACGGTCCTCCTACCCTAAATTTCTCGCCAATTTCGCTGCTTACAAAAAAGTCAAAGAGAAAAAAGCGAACTGTGCACCCTGGACCTTAACGAACAGGGGGCCTCCTCTTTCCTGAAAGGCTAGACTTAAATCTATATAAAAAAACCACCGCCGTCCAAAATGTATTCTACAAGCTCTCGGGACCATCCATTTCATCCATACGCCTCTTCCGCACCTATGCATTCAAACGGGAGTGTATCGCTACCACCAAATCACCTACTACCCTCGAGTGGGAATCAAAATATGCCCCCAACATTGCAACCGCCACCCCAGCTGCCGGGACCCGGTCAGATGTCGGAAGGGTTCAGTTCTAGAAGCGAGGGTCGGACGTACAAGCTTGTCGTGGGCCAGCAACCCGTGAGAGCTCGAATGTGTGGGTTTGGAGACAAAGTAAGCGAAGTTCTCAATGGGCGAATATCGCGTGGCAGCCATGCTAACCAGCTTCCAGGATCGACGGCCTATTACTCCACCGCCATGTGCACGTCTGATTGTATTGGACTCCGAAACGGGAAATGAAATTGATATCAAGTGAGTTTTACTTGCAATCGAAGAAGTTCTTTTGTTTTCAATTTCAAGGAATATGTACTGATCTAGGATCGCGTGCAGTGAAATTGATATGAACCACTTCGTCCTTACAGTCGACCTGTGGTCTGCAGACGGCACTAGAGAGGTAAATTTAGTGAGGCATTCCGCAACTTCTCCCTCAATATCCGCGGCTGTATCATCGTCTTATCCACCGCCGCCCCCGACGCCGCCGCCTCACCCTCTTGCGCCTTCTCAGTCCGGTTACTCGCCACAAGGGATGTATCCGCCACAGTCTTACTCGCCTCAAGGATACCCACCATATAGCCAGCATCCCCCTCCGATGCCACAGCATGGCTATTATCCTCCTCCTCCAAACGGGCCGGCAGGCTACCCGCCACCCAATGGATATCCTTTGCCGCCACCACCCTCTCAAATGCCGCCCCAGAATCCAAACATGCCGCCTTCGCAATCCCAGCAACCACCCCCGTCCGGGATGTTTACCCGAAATCTCATTGGCAGCTTGACCGCTAGTGCCTTCCGGTTAACAGATCCTGACAACAAGATTGGCATTTGGTTCGTTCTTCAGGATCTTTCGGTGAGAACTGAAGGAACTTTCAGGTAGCTTAACATCCTCATTTTGAAACAGCTTTAATTGGCTTCCCTAACAATTGCCTCCCTGCAGACTAAAAATGAACTTCGTAAATGTCGGAATCAACGGCCGCCTGAACACCACTGGAGCTTCTGTTCCCATCCTCGCCTCTGTCTTCTCGGCTCCATTCCAGGTCTTCTCTGCCAAGAAGTTCCCCGGCGTCATCGAAAGCACCGACTTGAGTAGATGCTTCGCGACTCAGGGCATGAAGATCCCAATTCGAAAGGACGGACCGAAGGCCCTCTCGCGCGGCCAGGACGATGATGACGATTACTGATACCATAACACTCTATTGCGCTCTATGGCGGCGGTAATGCTGTCGGTAACGGCTGTTCCATTGATCCGAGCATTTTAATAATGCAGGTGTCTTACAAACTGACACACTTTCGAAACCGGTCATTGGTATCACGAAGCGAGTTATAACTCACCATGCTGCTTGCTATCCGAAAGCTCGACCTCTTTCCCTCCTCTTCCTCCCCTTGACTGATTAGCCTAATACAGCTCCGGCTAAACCTCGGAAGCGAAAATACGATAAAATTGCCGATAAACAACAAAAAAATAGCTGGGGAAAGGAAACACTTTATATGGAGTACATAAATCGCATTGCTATTCGTTCTGATTGGAAAAAATTATAGCTCGCACGACAGGTTCCATTTTTTTTTTTTGGCGGCGGCGGCGGCGGCTTCGTAAGGAAGATATAGAATGAGATGTCCCAAGCCAGGGGAGGAAAACGACAAAAAAAAGCGAAACATCTATGTGTATGTTTTTTTTTCTTTCTCTTGTCAGCATCATTTAAACTGGCGGTCACAGTCGATATATTTAGCAAGCAAGCTGCCCTTTCTTTAAAGCGCCATGATGTTTCCCAAATTTGCATTGATCTTTTTTGTATTTCCTCTTCTTCTTTTCTTCTTCCTTATCTTATATTCACCCTTACTTCTTCCTGGCGTCTTTGTTTCTGAGTGTTCATATATTTTGATATCATCTATGGTATCAAGAATGAGATCTTGAACGAATTGAACTCCTGATCTCATGACACATACGACCATAATCTGTCTAGCCGGTTGGAATGAAGCATAATATCGCTTGGTAGTTAATTGTCCCACTGATAATTGTGTATCTTCTCTCTTTCTAGAACTGGCCGTTTGTTCTCATATGTAGAAAATTCACAACGAACTAGAGTCCCTTGATTAGTATACACAGATGTATTACTCGATTGCACATTTTCAGATACTGGCTTAGATGGTTCTTGTATATATATACCATTATATATACGTACGATTCCAGACTAGCAGGCATGTGGTTGTACCCGCCGTTAAGAAAGTGTATCTCATTTCGGTAGCCACGCCAGTAAGCAGATAATCATTCTTTTAGGCGTATTGATAAGTTTATTATCCACAAGCCAGGGTGATAATAGAGTTTTAGCTCTGATTTTATGAGCTTTCATTATATCACAATCACCATTTCAGAGTCAGTCTTCGTGAACTCGATGAGTTCGTTTAATATACATGCCAACTTTTGATTTTAAATCTGGTCCTCAACATCACTTAATTCCTCAATCCCTTCCAAGAGATCCTCGGAATTATAGGTATTAGGCTCATACTCCGTATATTCCATCTCATCGTCTTGAACCCCACTTCCGGACCCTGTCGTATCTTCAGAATGATAAGACCGTGGGTTTGAATGTGAATTCGTCGGCGTAAATCCACTCCATCCACTATGACTGCCAGTATTACTGGTCTCCATAGTCTCGGTGTTTTCTGTGGTCTCTTCTCCTTCTTCTTCTCCTCCTTCTTCTTCTTCTTCACCACTATCTTCCTGTTCAGATGGCATTAGTATCGGTGTTCCGTCACTCGATGTATCCATTGCATCACCATCTCCACTTCTAATATGACTTTCACGGTTGTTCCCCTCAGTTGTGGTAACGGTAGTAGTCTCATCATCCTCACCCTCACTACTGTCACTCTCATCATCCGCATCCTTCAAATTTCCCATTGTCTCCACAAACTCGGCTTGTAATCTTCCTAACCAAGCCTTCAACGCCATATTCGTCATTTTGCTACTTCTGGCTTGTTTTAAATGCTCCACGAGTTGGAGAATAAGTCTTTGCCGTTCGGACTTTCTATATCCCTTTGAAGTCATCCTCTTGAGTTCTGCGTTTTGTGCGATTGTGTTCGAGACTTCTGAGGCTCTGGTGATTATTGTTGATGGGAGGCCTATTATTTTGGCGAGATTTATGCCATAGTGTTTTTCCGTTGCGGGACCGTCGGCGATTTTGTAGAGCATTGAGGTGAGGTTTTGGTCTGGTCTAATCTTTTTGGAGTATTAGTAATACGTATAATTAGAATAAATAGTCATGAAAATAATCATGGGAGGGGGGATACCTACTTCAACTTGCATATGCAATGAAATGACTCCAGCTCTCCTCGAAAGAACAGCTCCAAGTTCTCGAAAGTGTGTAGCAAACCATACGAAAGCCTATTCCATGATTATGAAGTCATCTCAGCACTGATTTCCGATAAGAAGAATATGATAGATGCTCACAAACCCTCTTCTCAATCAAAGCCTCACAAACAGCAATTGCGATAGCCAATCCATCTCTAGTACAGGTACCCCTCCCGAGTTCATCTATGATAACCATGCTTCCCTCCGTTGCATTCTTAAGGATAAAAGCCGTCTCTCGCATTTCTGCTGCAAATGTTGAGACGTTGGCTTCGATGCCGTCATCCATTGATACGCGGGCGAAGAGATGGGTTGTTATTGGGAAGCAGCCGTAAGACGCTGGGACACTGTTTCATAATATCATATCTTAGCTTTAAATAATCGAAGCTGAGCGGTACTGTATAACGAAAAAAGAATCAGATCTCTTCATACTAGGAACCGATCTGTGCCATTATAGTCATAAGTGCGATCTGACGGATGTATGTACTCTTCCCGCTCATATTACAGCCGGTGATAATTTGGAATCTAGTCTGTTGGCTGGCAAAAACATCATTGGGTATGAGTTTCTCCTTATGGATCTTCTCGCGAATGGGGTGCCTCCCATCTTTTATTGCCAGAGTGTCTTTGAATTCTGGGCGGGCTGGGAGGGGTTTTAGCATAAAATTTGACCGGAGGAGGACAGGAATGGATATGAATACTAGTACATACTATATTCATATAATGTGACAAGAGTAGCGAAGGAACTTATCATGTCAAGCATTGCAACTCCTTCGCATACTTTATATAAAGCAAACATTTCACCTCGGATTGCATCGATAAGATCTTGGATCGTTCGGTCACCTGAAATCCATGTCAGCATTTAGATACCTAAACCCTATATACTGTTCTAAGAAAAGAAATGCATACTCATTAAAAGAACCTCAGTCATGGCGTCACCAATCTACCCAGCACGAAATATCAGTGTTCAGTGCTAGCCTCGAGCAGTGGTCAAGAACTTTCAATTAATCTCAGGCAAGGTACCGTACTCTAGCATTTCTCTTCATGATGTCCAGTGTCGTACACTCCATAAATTTCTTCTTTCTCATAATATTGACAAATATGGGCGGTAAGGGTGCATCTTCGATATCCGCAATTGGAAGACGTAGATAGTACCCTCTTTGAGCATCATACTTTATTTCTAACGTCGGTAGGTTATATTCTCCTAAAAAAGTGGGTGAGTGTGAGTTTCATTGTATGCTAACCGGGGGATGGAAGCGAACACACGGGCAATCTCTTGGAATAGAACATGCAAGTCTTCGGTGGCTTCTTTGTAAGTTTGACGGGCGACATCGAGGAGGCCATTGACACCGCTCTTGCACATTATTAACTTCAAACTTTGTATTGTTGATTCTTGGGATATTTAAACTACTGACTTTGACTGCATAGCATCTATTTCATCCCAGATCAGTTTCTATTTCGCCACTAATTGATATAGCGGATGAAAATACCTCTGATGCCGCAAGTCGACTGGCGTACTCGCCCACACAGCATCTGGCGAAATCGCTTCATCAATAAAACCCTGAACCACCTGAACTTTCTCGAAGCTGCACAACTGAAAGATTATCAACAACTTAACCCGAAAAATGTAAATCACTTTGATATGAAAAAATTACTTACACTTCTCACAGCTAGCAAAAGTTTACTACTGCATCCCACCAGGGCTTCATGGATCGGGGTAATGCTGGCTAATTCTTTTTTAAGCAGTATAACATCATTAATCGATTTTTCGGAAAACTTGAGTGACGAGTTTGCTGGGACAGTGATCAACTGAAAACATGGAAAAGTTAGTATTTAGACCTTTTGTTCCATCTCTTAAAGACCTACCGATGTCAGCAGCCTATCCATATCTCCAAACCCCTGTAAGGCTGTTGTATCTGTCAGCATTATACAAAGTATCACAAGAAAAGAACGTATAGACCTTTCTTCGTCCCAAAGAACATCTCCTCACTAGTAGCCAACTCTTCAACTGCATCAAGTCTATCGTCTAAGATACTAGTATCGGTCAGTGGTTGCAGGATACTCGTCCTCAATAATCTCCCACCCATCGGTGTGATTGTGTTATTAAGTAAACCAAAGAGACAATCCCCACTTTTGGGGTTTCGTAGGTTCTGAATCAGCTCCAGGTTTTGAACGGTACTGAAGTCAATTACCATCGCTCCTATCAATTATGAAGGGGAAATTGGGCCCATCAGCATTTAGATCAACTTCTTAAAATCAACTCATTGAAACCCTTCTCAGATCAGATAGATATTCACATACCTTCACTACTCTGATACCGAACCCTCAAGCTATGTCCTACAAACCCGATATTGTACTGTAGCTCAATGTGTTTTATTACCGCAGCGGCCGCAGAGATGGCGTAGAACTTCCCAGATATTGCGACTTGTACAGATTCTGCTTCAGACTTGAACGACAGACGGGATATATAATCCATTCCTATATTTTCGTTGTAGTACTTTCGTGGGAGTGTCGTGAGACGGGCCCCGGGGAGATTTTCTTGGATTATACCAGGAATTTTGGATGTTCTTGGTGGTAGAATTGTTTCTGGAATTAGGATCTTTAGAGCCAGAGGTGGAGGTGAAAGTTAGTTACTGAAAGTCATTTTTTATAACATTGACTCGGGTGTATTTTGGTGCATCGTTCGTTTCACACCACGTGAAATATCTTGAAAGTCCATAAGAAAGAGGGTTGTTTAAATACCTCTAAAGGATCGAAAACTGCTAGCTTGTGCAAAGTCCGAACGTATGTTTGAGAATCGCATATCTCACAAAGAGTACACTCAGCCGTCGAGACATTAACGAATGCAAGGCCGACTTGAGCTACGACACCACGAGACTCGGTGAGAGCACATATGACTTGCTGGGACGTGGATGGGCCGCCAGATATTGATCCTGCGGTTCGAGGACGACTAGGAGGTCGAGCTCCTGCCCCTCGAGTACCGGGACGGTTGGACGTAGTTGTTTGTGGACGGGAGGATTGCATTTTTGGGGTATGAGAATATTAATACAGAGTGTTTTATAACTATGGGTATCTTCAATGCATTAATGGGAACGGGAAGGCAAATTGACTATGTCTTGATAGAAAATGAAACTAGGAGAGTGGATAAATTGGCTTCCTCAAGTCGTCGATGATCATGCATGAATGTTCGAACCTGAATACAACGCACTTTCTAAAATTCATCCTCAAAATCCAACATTTCCTCTATTATAAGGCTGATGATATAGCTAGAATTTTTACTTAGTATTTATATTCTGGCACTCTGTATACTGTTTGAAGTTTCAAAACGTCCTAAATTTAATCAATTGAGCCGCTATTGTATTCATACTTCGGGTCTAGACATTTGTCAGACGGTGATCCAGAATATTTTGACAGCATGAAGATATTTCTCGATAACATGGTATGAGACCTCATAACTTAGAGTCCGGCTGTCTGGGTTAAAAACTTCATAAAAAGGATAATACATATATAACTAGGTATATATGGGCATTCGTAAGTACACTACACCTTTCAGCACTAGTCATTCCCAAAAAATACGAAAAACAAAAGGAAGAGATTAAGAAACGCCTTAGACACCGCCCCTGAACCCATCCGAGCCCACCAAGTTGTAAGTTACCCATAATGATTTACAAATAGCACATTTGTGTACGTGTGGCTATCTTCCGGCCTAGGAAAGAATAACCATTCTTAATACCTGTATCTTGGTTGTTTTTCTGGAAAGGAGGCTAGTTGCTTCTCATTCTTTGGCGAACTACTCTTGTTGTTCGAATTGCGGATAGTATTCATCGCATATTCCATCTCTAGTTTAAATCTCGTATCTGCATGATCCCAGTTTGGTTAGCAATCTTAGCGCATTCTTAACTACATATAAGACTGCAAAGCATATGCAGGTTTGTAAAGGGGCACTTACAATCATCGTCCTTCCTAAAGTCAGCATATAGTGTCGACTGAGTTCCCTTATACGCCACCATGATATTCCCTATGGCCACCACATGCTTTCCACCAGAGACGTAATGGTCTTCAATTTTTGTGTTAAGAGTGACTGCCCACTCAAACATATTAGTCAAAAATATTCGACTTCTCTCGATCTTATTGATTCGGAGTGAAGGAGGACATACGATACCAGTGCTTTTCCAATAAGGGTGCAATAGCTTTATCCAACTCTCCAAACACCGCGTCAAGCAGTACATACCTCTCCCCACCAGCTTCAAGCTTAATTAGTGCCAGATTGGCTATTCTAAATTCACGAATATCTCGCGGTATTTCTTCGTGCGTATCCTCCTCTTTCCTTTTCCGCTGGCAGAATAGACGGACGGCGAACTTGGAGACATTGGGATCATCGGCAGATGGCGTAGTGGAATCCGCATAAATATTTGGATTTTTTGGAGCGTTTGGGGTATTTGGGGTATTTGGGGTATTTGGAACGAAATTGGGGCGGTCAGGAGAGTATACTGATGTGGGGGCAGTGGAGTTGCTAACGCTTGAAAATGGTTGACTATATAAAGAAGATGCACTAGAATTACCGGATTCTGGGTATGCATTCTCAAAACGGAGCTGTTGCCTCTGGGCTTCATTTTGATGGACGTATTTGGGGGTGCTCGGGCTTGGAGGGGCATAGTTATGTTCTTGGTAATTATATGGAGGTCTAGAGACGGCATTAGCGGGTTTATAAGCGACTGTATTGTTATTCTCAATATCAGACTAACCTTTGGTTTGCGACATTCTCGCCGGGATTCCCGTAGCTTGCATATTGCTGGGGCGGCCTTTGGGGCGGGGGGTGTACTTGCGCATTTATCGATCCGTACATCTCAGAATATGCGGGACTATAACTAACAGCCGCTGGTGTCGATATGGGTGGAGACTCGAGTTCGTGACTGTAAGGTGACTGTGGCAATAGCGGTCCTCTGGTATAATCGACCGCAGCCGGTGATACTAGTGATCCCGGGGTAGGAACTTCGTATTGGTGCTCGTTACCGGCGTCATACTGATTTCTCGGTGCAGATTGGTTGTATTCGGGCAACGGTGGGAATTGACCGCCGCTATAGGGTCGGAGCGGCGACCTCTGAGCCCGCGTGTTAAACATAGATGGGTCGATATCGGGGCGAATCTCTCCATATTCGGCTGGTGCGACGCTCATGGACGAGGAGGTAGTGTGTACATCTGGCGGGCTTGTCCGGTAATCAACAGGTGCTGCGCTCATTGCACTCGATGTGCTGAAAGACGTGCCCACGGTGCGGTCATCCGCGGAGTTTCCGAAGCCATAGGAATTGTACGCCAGTGGGCTCGGAGATTCTTTTGAGGTTTGGTTCCGACCCTTCAGGATTCGTTTCAGCATTGTAGTCATCTTTGGTAGTATGGGTAGATGCGGTTGGTAAAACACTAGCTTTGCAGGACTGTAGAATCCGGCGGTTGGTTTATGAAAATGTATCTTGTCATCTAGAGTGAAAAGAGAGGAGTAGATGGTTTGCTGGCCGGCGGAGAGGAAGAAAATGGTCCAAAATCCTTCAGCCTCGAAGCTCTAAAATGTCGCAGGCATGGCCATGCACATAGTGGCGGTTCATAACCATGCTCTCCCTTGTTGCGACGCTAACTTCATTTGTCGTCCAGTGAGTAACAGCCATCTGCGTACGCAAGCCTTTAGGTGTCGGCCTTTACCCAAGGTGAGGGCTCGTCCAACAGAAGTATCTGTACGGAAGCCATCTATGTCTTCTAGAATAGATAGTCGACGCATCATCTCTTGGATCTCCAAGATTAAGCTTATAATCAAGCCCCTTGTATTTCCGGCCTAATTTACGCACAGCCGACCCGTATGTAATCGGGGCTGCGGTTGGGATTCGGGCCCAAGACAGCCATCGTAGTGCGAAACCATTGCATTGGATCCTCGGTGGATTCGTCGTCCTCGAGATGCAATGCATCATCAAGGAATGAGCCATCTCCATTGCATATAACCGTATCATCCCACTTTAATGTCGCATCTCGTATTGAATTCGTCGTAATCGATAAAAGCGACTGGGTTCAGACACCCCTGCACGGCCCAAGCTTCCTTGCCAAGTCCGGGGCTTGATCCCGACCAGAAATAGCACCCGAATTTTGAGTTACCGAGTAAACCATGTTGGTCAGGCCAGGTAATTAAGGTAAGGACTATGACATCGTCGAGGCGGCGGGAGGCCGGAACCCCGATCTACACCATAGTTTCTTTCATGGCCCCGTCCGCAGGCTTTGGCCTGTTCGTCCGTCCATTTATTTCCTCGCTCATGTTTCAAAAGAATCGGATCTATTGCATGGTCTTGCCTTGTGAAACGGATATCACAAATATACAGCAGCTGTAAATATATCCGGGTCCGCGTACACTAGTACGTATTAATCAAGCTACGGACTGTTAAGTAATGATGAGGCGGTGAAGCTTACCAATTTGTCGATTCCCGTAACCAGCTACTCGAAGCCGCGTGGGAGGGTTTAAGAATAGAATACAGTTAGAAGAGCCGTTGGGGATTTTGTATTCGATAATCGTTTCATGGCATTTAATGTTCGCCAACCTTCAAATTTAATAGTCTCCTAAAGTGACCTCTGACTTAACTTAACTCCCCGAACTGGCCATTCCCTCCAACCACCCCTCAAGCCAGCCAGCCAGCCAGCCAGACCACCTGCTTCATGCAACATCATCCTTAATTCTGACTTCAACTTCAAGTCTCACTCAAGTGACGACTTATTTTATTTTGTTTTAATCTGAACTATATCCGATTCTAGACACTAACAAAACTATCGAAGCTTATCACTATCACTCCCATGGTGGGGCTCGCCAACACGCGACCACGATGACCGTAGCCTCATCCCCAGATCATTCCCCTGCGTCATCACTATCACGGTCTTACTCCGCGCCCGCGAAAATCAAAACGACAGAAGAGCATGATTCGGAAAAGCCTAGTTTTGTGAAAGATAATTTCTTAACGAGAGTATGGATTCTCCACCTTCAGTAGTGCCTGAAGCTATATATACAAGTACTTAAGCAATTCAAGTACTGAGTAATGCTAATGGGGAAATTAAATGGTTTCTACAGACAATCTTCGCACCGATTCTATTCCTCTCATTCATACTCTCCCTTGCCATAGTCGACCGAAAACGTAGATTGGAAGAAGACAGACAACATGGCATTCTTACAAACCGACAGCGGCTTTTGTACTTTTGGCTACATTGGAAGATACCTCAGATCCCTAAGAATGACTTGAGGTCAGCTACAGAGCCGTGTTTGGGGAGAACAAGTGCCCTTGAAAACGATAGCGATTCAGGACGGAGTAGTAGCCGGCGGGGCAGTAGTTATTCGGAGGATTATGGTGAGCGGGATGAAGCCAGGATGCTGGAGATTAAGACACTGGCGGAGAAACAGCGGGAGGCACGCAGCATGAGTGCTGGTAAGTTGAATCCTTCCTTATCTTGATTACGTCAATCCGGGAGGGGGAAAAGGCTAATATGCAGCAGAAGCATTCTCGATACAGAACCGGGTGATGTTGGGGATGGCAGCATTCAGCATCGGGTTCGGCCTACTCTGCTGGGCGACATATCTGAAGTTCAAACAGTTGCTGGGTTTCATCTGACCTTCTTGTTCCCCTTTGTACCCTTTTTCTCTCCCTCTCTCTCTTTCTTTGTTTCTTATTGTCTTCTTTGATTTATCTCTTTCTATTTTATATATTTTTATTTTATTTATTTTATTTGTGAATATCTAGTTTGGAAATATTTTAATCAAGGCAGGGGGAAAGGAGTTAGTTACAAGAAAGGTACAAAGAAGTTATTAGTACTGGACGCATTGATATGATCTCATTTAGTTCCTCGACCCAATACAAGCAACGGTAGCATCTTCAGACCGGATGGAGACGCTGCAGCTGCTTTTCTCGGCTTGGTTTGCCCGCATCCTGCCTTGGATAGCGAATGACCGGTCCCGTCACAGTCACCGTACATTGCATTTCCCTTGCTTCAGCTGCAAGCGAGTCGGACAAACGCCCAATGACCAGCCTTGTCCTCTGCCGGATCGAATCAGGTTGAGGATTGTGGACAAAAGCCCCCTTCTGGCATGCAGAAGTCCAGTCATGTTGGAGGATCTGGGCCAGGACGCTGCGTAGGAGTACCTACTTTGTGCTCTATGTATGCTTGCATGCATGCATTATACCGACACCCGCTGCGTCCTTGCGGGGATGCCTACGAGGCCTGAGCAGGTACAAGTACAGGTACTACGCCGGCTTACATACATTGCCGAGGACATAAGTACCAGCGGTTAGGACAGGAATTCGATTCAAGAAAGTGTATATATTACTTACAGCGACCTGCGACCTGCAGTGCATTTTTGCGGCAGTCATTCGATTCAGTCATCGTATCATATCATCTCTTCTGCAAGAATCTATTTTGATTCGCTATAATTTATTTATTTTAATTTATATAAATTCGTATAAAATATATCAATTTGTCTTTGTCCCTTGAAGAAGAGGTATCTATTGAAGTATCTCGTGGTCTGTTCTATACATACATACTTCCTACCTATACCCTCATCCGGTCGAAGGAAAGCCCCGACCGACTCGTAACCTGTTGTTGTTGTCTCGTCGTCATCACAACACTTTCTTTCCTTCTTTCTGCTACAGTCACCCGCCGCCCGCCGACAGACACCCACCCCAGGTTACCATTATTTAGTCGAATCAGCAGTGCAGCTACATTCGTATTATATATTACAAGCCTCTCCGACATCGTCATCACTTAGCTTCCCCTCCTCCCTCTCTTCTATCTTCGGACTCTTTATAACCATACCATCCATCATCATAAAATCTTCCAAGCTGGCGACCATTCACAAACTACCCCTCGACCCCCTCGCCTTCGGAGATCTAGATCCTGAGGAATACTACGATTTAGACCTCGCATACGACTACTCCTACGACGAGGACTTCCAGAATAACTATTTCTCAGACTCTATTTCCTATCTCTACGATCTCCTTCCTTACATCTCTTCTAGTGCATTCGCCGACGTTGCGATGCACATGCGCACAAGAAGTCGGAACCGACTATCCGGAGCATTAGATTCGCTTCGTGATAGGGTCGGAAGGAATGGAGATCGTTTAAAAGCCGATATGCCTTATCTAAGCTGTAAGTTTTTTTAATATATCGCTTTCCTATCTTATCGCTATAGGTACTCATGCTAATATCCGAACAGATCATGACATCTGTCTCTACCAAGAAGACATAAACTGCCTTGAAAATGACTGGTTAACAGACAACAATATTGCCTTCTGGGAAGAGTACCTCGAACGTGAAGTTCTCTCCCAAAGCGACTGCAAAGGCATCATCCTCCTCCGTCCTTCGATGGTCTTCCTCCTTCGCGTGGAACCCTCAATCCTAAACATCCTCTCTGCCCTCCCGCCGATAACATCGGCAACACATATCTTCCTCCCAATAAACGACAATAGAGATCCAAACCTGCCTGAGGGAGGTAGTCATTGGTCTCTGCTCGTTGTTAGCGTGAAAGACAGAGCTGCATTTCACTATGATTCACTGGGAGGGTCGAATAGACGGCATGCGAGGGATGTGGCGGCGAAGGTCGAGGAGTGGATAGGATATCCACTCAACCTATATGAGTTGGACGATGATACACCTCAGCAAGGAAATTCTTACGACTGTGGTGTACACGTTTGCATGAATATGCGACGTTTGTTGGATAGGATGCTAGACACACCGGCAGGGAAGGGGGTAAAAATGAGCTTGAAGGGGAAGGGGTGGGACGCTAGGGGTGGGAGGAATGAAATGCTAGGTATTGTGACGAAACTAAGGAGGAAGGCAGAGAGGAGCTTAAGTCCTGGTGATAGACGAGGGAGGGATGGCAGAAGTCCACCGCCAAGGATCGAGTAGAACGAGATCTCTGAGCTGGGGTTGGAGGAGGAAGAATTCCAAGTCGACAAGTCAGACGACGAGGTAAGGGAGGAGGATGACTGGCCGAACTATAATCTATTCTTCGCTTTCGTTATCATTTCCTCCCTTTGTATCACTATCTATTTTTTCATATCGGCTGTTTAGCGAATGAACTGTATATTATGACTAGCCCACATAAAGGGCATTATCATTACGAATGCTCAAATTTTATGATACCCAGATATTTGATATCTTACGTAGTAGCTAACGTAGTAGTATGTATCTCAACGCTGAACCAAATCTTAGATCCAAAAACTTAAAAGGTTATATCTTTACGCCGACTTGACGGGGGTGGCGTAATCCTCATCCGGCAAGAACAAATGTCTCTCAGGCTTCTCGCCCTTCCTCAAGATACACATCCTAATAACACCACCCGAACTTCCGTCCCACTTGATAGCCTCTCTCAGCGCCTCCTTCACAAAATGCATACCTTCCTCCTTGGTCATCCCATCCTTCCAGTAGCTGTCACAGAAACCATAGATATAGGAACTACCGCTTCCAGCGATTGTATATTTCGATTTATGGAGGGAGCCACCGAGTGGGATATTCCAGACCTGACCGCCGTGATGACGGTCAACGCCTGCTACAATGATACCAGCCGTTAAAGCGTCTTTATTTGTGTAGCAAATTTCTTGGAAGATGGAGGCAGCGGTTTTGACCGATGGTGGGTGGCCGTTTTGAGTTCTGTTGTATATGTTATTAGTTTTGTTGTTGGATGGAGGGTTAGCTAGATGAGGGGGGGAGTTACTCGTAAAGGTTAAGATGGTATCGGACAATGTCAGCGACAGCTTGAGTGTCTGCGGCAGAGCCGGAACTAAAATTAAATACCAAAGGTTAACTCGGAAACCTGTCGTTGTCGTAAAAATATTGGAAACGCGGGGAATACGTACCGACAGCACCATACCGAGTCGGTGATCTGTGTCAGCTTGTCGGTGACACGGTTGGCAATGTATGCTCCCGTTGTGGTTCTACTGTCTGCACCTAATATGACACCGCCGTCGAACTCGATGGCCATACTACGTATCCCTCTTCGTTAGCTAGCTGATACTGTAGCCCGGCCGGCTGAACAAGGTGGGACGGACATTGAGGTTCCTAGACTAAAGAGATGAATGTTAATTATAGAGCGTAAGACAAGATCCCCATGAACAGACAACATACTTTACTTCTCCCTTCTTGAGGTGTTCCATATCGACGTGGATACCATCTATAGACGACCTGGTTAGCTAGGCTTATAGCTTGATTTTACGGCGGAAACGATACGCACCTTCAGTTAGATTACCGGTTCTGGAGACCATGGCGGGCAGTTATAGTGTGTAGTAGAGCTCGTGAGTTCCGGGGTATGGATGGGAGGAGGGGTTTTCGGAGCCTGTAGGATGATGGTGATAAGGTCGTGAGGTTTGGAAGTGGGATTGCGTGGAGGAGCTTGGAGCTGGCGTTGGGTTGAGGTTTGAACGCGTGTGCTGGCCCTGGGCTGTTCGGGGAGCCAACTCCGGGGCTTAGCTGAGCACAAGTTGGCGAGGCTGTATTAAACAGACAGTGCAACACGGAGCTGTGCAAAATACAACATCCCTCCGAATATTGCCCACGTGCACGCCTAGTCTCGGAGCCAGAGCTGCCCCGCCTATGGTTGCATGAGAGGCCGTTTGAAAGTGTATCTTTTCTCTAGCATACTTGCTCGTATATAAGTATATACGAGGGAAAGGTCCGAAGCTAAAATGAAATTTCATCCCACATGGTTTTATCGCTTTAGTTAAAATAAAGCACTTGACTCGTATTCACTCTCGTACCGATCCCGATTATGCCGTACCTGCTTCGGTTCTGTATCCCTCACAAAGGCGGTTTTGATACTTTGTCCTGTGCAAGCTTCATGGCCACTGGTATCATCTATATCCTAGTCACTCTCATCACCATAGCCCAAGTAGTCCTTGCGTCTCCCTTATCGTCTAGTAGCTTTGCGGCCTCAAAAACGACTACGTATACTCTCGCGACGGCTCGTCCGTTGACAACTACTACAAACCCAACTGGCGTAAGATTTATATCAACCGTACTATTTTCTAGCAGCGCCTCCCCTACTTCTAAAGCCTTTAAAACGAAAACTCTAGGACCTACAATACCCAAGATTCAAACTAGCAGGATCTCAAAGTATCCTAGTGCTCCCTTAGAAACCTCAGTTCTAAACGAAAGAGTTATATCCCCATCGTTTTTCTATGCCTCACCGCTGGAGGTCCAATGCAGTGAATACGATACAACGATGGATAGATTGGAAATGATAATCAGTGGTGAGATACCATATAACCCTAGGAGTGGGATTCCTTCATCCGAATGGGCTGCTGCTGTAAGGGAGTTCAGAGAAGTTGTAGAAAACCTGGAACACATGTGGGATAGCCAGTGGTTAATAATAAACAAGTATCGGTACTGTTGTCTCATTCTTCTATGCAATGAGAGCGGGGATATTATACCAAATCCGAATCCGCCCAATCCGCCCCGCACGAGATGTGAGACCGGTGCACGGGAGCCCAAGAAATGTACTTATTTAATTGGTAAGTGTTACATTCTTTCTCCTAGTTAATGTTCATGCTTCCACGTTTGAATTCCTGCCCTTCCCATCCCCGATTGACACGTACACGGCCATGCTATCATTAAACTCACTAACTGGTAAATCGAAACCCCGTTTTTTCGGGTTGCTTGTCGACGGACTACATAGGTTGCGGTTGTGTAACAGAGTTAGGACAACCAGATATTCAAGCTGGAGATCCACTAGCTATGACTCCAATAGAACAGTTCCAAGACGCAATTAACCGAATACCTGGAAGAATTCGGAGATACCACCCAACATGGGAGTGGACTGTAGCCCCGGTCGTAGCGACACATCCGGGACAAACACTTGGGTTCGCGCGGGGGGGCGCGCGGGGCGCCGGAGCTGTGAACGTAGCTCCATCGGGGGAACCTCCATTCTATCTAGAGTTTCCGGAGGAAGGGTCGCCGCGTGGTGCTCAAAGCGATTCATTTATGAATACCTTTTTTGATTTTGGGAGGTGGGATCAGGATCGTGGGCCTGGGGGGTATGGGAAAGGGAGGGGCCCTGGGTTCAAGAAGAGAGGGCTGCTGCCGGATAGAATATTTGAGATGTCAAAATATGAAGATGACCATCATGTGCGAGAAGCCAGTGAGGCTACGGCGGCTAGCGGGGAATTGGCCGCTGAGGAGGACTAGGTAGCTTGTATATTTTTGCATCTATGATGTATTAATTCTTGTTTTGTTAAAATTCCTATAAACTCCTAGATATTAATATTTATTACCACCAGTTGCTTGTCTTGTGCCCAGTCCTGGAAGGCCGGTCTTGCTATAATTCTCTAAACATTTGTCCAGATTTAAAATTTGATGATTTAAATAACATCCATATTTGATTTTTCGAACTGGTTAACTTCTTCTTAAGCATATATGATACGAGTCTTGGGGTCAGACTAGACGCTTGCGCGCCATCTAGCTCGAGACAAATGCTCATGCACACAACAACTATAATGTAGTTAAACTTCAGCTTGGTTATAATAGATATTCATTTATTCCGTTACTCTAAGTCCCGAGTTTCCTTAAATGAATGAATGAACCTGAGCGGACTCGGGGACCCGCAGCATAGTATCATACTAGACAGAGTTATTGTTACGAGACTGGGAGTTATTGTCAATAGAAATGAGGCTACAAAATACAACACGCATGTGTGTTGGCGCCATTTCCGGTATCCTCGATTCGAGGCGCTCTTGTACGGCCGCTGATGACACACTGCAGGATGGATCTCAAGCCACCTCGGGATAGTTAAAGGGTGGCGACAGACACACGAGACAATAGTATCTGCTACTATTATTATTATGTTTCTAATAGTTACAACCTCAGGATTGCGTATCAAAATTGGGGGTCTTAAGACTACGGTTAAAAAAATAATATGATTCTGTCGCGCGTGACCGTGAATTCGAATTGAAGGATAATGTAATTCGAAGGAATGATCATTTGACAATATGTATTGAAGGGCAAGGTGCATCCGAGCTCCAGGTCCAGGCAACATTGAGAAGCAAAAAATGTCAGAGTCTGTGCTAATAATATGGAAGAGACGAGATTGCAATTTCGCAGAGCGTTATAGTTCAGGAAGGACCCTGTCAATTGTGGAGATGGTAGCAGGGGAAGTTGCGATAGAACCCTGCTGATGATTGAACTAGATAATAGCCCACCGATCCTGATAATAAAGAAGAACCTGTCAACCACCCCCCCTGTTAATTACGAAGTTCAAAGTTCAAAAAAGTTGAAGGGGAATTTTGGATTTGGCGATGTCGCTTCCGTGGGATAGCTGCATGTTCCTAATGTAAACGCTGAATAGAATGTTCTTAGAATGAATAATTCTTTTTTTCTCGGATTTCTTTACTTTCTTTCTTTTCTTCTGGCTGCTTAATTCTCCACTCCCTCTGCTTCCACTTCTTCTTTTTCGTGTTCTCGATCTTCCTCACCTTCACCATCTTCAATCACTATTTTGTCAACCTCACGATCTCTACTGTTCTCGAGCTAACTGGTTCTCTCCAATTGTCTGTCCAACCAAAACGTCACGGACAACTGAGTGTTTTCCCAGTCGTTCCTTTCCTCTTTGTTTGCTCGTGTTTGCTTGTCCTATTGGCGAGCGGACCGGGTTCACCGGTCAAACTCGATGCCACATCAACCGTCACCCACATCAACAACAACATCTTCTTCTTCCTCCTCCTCCTCTTCGACTCCGTCACTGTCGAATTCGGCCCCTCCACCGCAACCGCCATCTAGGAAGCCGAAACTCCTTTACATCTTCTCGTCTCGTCCGCTGTCTGTTCCTCCCGTCATTTCCACAACCACTTCCACAACCACTCCTCCTTCCACTTCCCCGACCGACGAGGTTATTCCCGGCTTCACCACTCCAGCCAGCCCGAATGCTAAACACGTTCAAATCTCGCTTGAATCGCTCCACACTGCTGTTCTAAACACAAACCCGGGCACATCTTCCGCTCAGCCACCTAACCCACAACCACTAGAAGAGCAACAACCGCAACAACCACCACCATCAGCCGAACCGACTCAACGGCCGCCACCGCCATCCCCATTGCTGCCCCCTCCCAGACGGTCCTTCACGAAATCCCGAAAGCGATTTTCCACGGCCACAAGCTACAGCCGAAAATCAACTAGTAGCACGATGTCGAACTTCTGGGCTGACGTGGTCAATACCACTGCTTTCTCGTATCTCAAGTTCTCGATCGCGGCTAGTACAGGTGTTGCTGCATTATTGTCTACTGCACTATATTTCAAGCAAAAGTAAGTTTCAGGGAAATTCTGCGCTGGCTACTCAATTGAAGTAGTAAAGCTACAAGCAGATAGCAGAAACGATGGCTAATATCGAATAGTGACCTGATCTACCCACGCCACTTCCCACCGGAGGCACGAACGGAGCTATGGGACCCGTCAAAGTTTCATATGACCAATTGGAACCAAATCGACCTAAAGACACCCGACGGCGAGACTCTCCGGTCGTTCTTTCTAAGAGGGCAGGGAATTCAAAGAAAAGCCGTTACGATCTTGATGCTTCATGGTAATGCAGGAAACGTGGGGCACCGAATCCCGATTGGGAAGGTGTTCGCAGAGCAGATGGGATGTAATGTGGTCATGTTGGGATACCGAGGGTAGGATTAATACGTTCCTTGAAATATCAAGAGTTATGATTGAGTAGGAGGCTAATCTTGTGTCTAGATATGGCCTGAGTACTGGAAAACCTGACGAGAAGGGGCTCAAAATCGACGCTGAAACGGCGCTCGACTGGATCTTTAAAAATGATGAGACTAAAGGAACGAAGGTTGTAATTTATGGACAATCGCTAGGAGGGGCGCTCGGAATCGCAACTGCTGCCAAGCATCAAGACCGGCTTTCTGGACTTATTCTTGAAAATACGTTTACCAGCATGAGAGATGTTATTCCGAAGTAAGTGTTTTCTAGGATTGTCTCGCTGTCTTTGGAGTCATATTACTAACCTTGGGTAGTGTTTTTCCGCCAGCTAAATACGTCGCAAGACTTTGCCATCAAGTCTGGCCTTCCGTAGAAGTTATGCCCAAAATCAACAAAATCCCCGTACTGTTCCTTAGCGGACTACAGGACGAATTGGTACCGCCATCTCACATGAGACGACTGCACGAAATTTCTAAAGCACCGATCAAAATATGGAAGGACTTCCCGAATGGCACTCACAATGATTCCGTGATGGAAGTCGGATATTTTGAAAATATCAACGATTTTATCAATGATGAAGTTACGAGGCATAAGAAAGCCCAGTGAGACCTTTCCAGTCTCTAATCTATTTTTTATTTTTTATTTTTCCTCAGCGAATATGCCCTTTTTTTTACTTGGTTCTTTTGTCCCCTTTCCACCCGGGATTCATTCCTATACACCTGATTAATGCATGGGGCGGAGTTATGCGTTCTCTTTACAATGTTCTACTATCCTTATCCTCTCCGGCATTATTTTTTTATCTTTTCCCGTTGGATTTTCATTGATTTCGCTGGGCCCATTTATTTTCTTTCCTTCTTTCATTTCATTTTGTTCAAGGTATTAGTATGATGGATACTTAGATAAGGTGGGCAGCCATATGGTGCAGACGAGTATTAGAGATGATACCCCTGGGACTCACTGGCATTTTCATTCCTTTCCTTTACCAGAAATAGATAAAAACACTAATTTAATCTCGTGTCGACGTGGAATTTTATAATAACATATCCAATAGCGATGTTGGTGGACTGACAGAGAGTGCATATTTCCATACGTCTTGTATATAATAATAATTAAACCAAGAAGCCCTCTTCTCTGCCTTCCCGGGCTATTGGTCAGCCTCGCAAGTGATTGCTGTTCTGAAACCCGGCTGGTTCACAGGCTAGTGCGGTTGAGACGATAACGATAATCAGTAATCCCTGCTTAAGAGTCAGGAACCAAATGTGCTCGGTTGGTTTGCTGCTTTGGGGATGGCGATAACCTGCCCGCAAAAAAAATAATGTTAAGAGGTATGAATTGGATGATGATTCATTCTGAACTGTTACGAACCATGAACGTGAATATTCTGGAGTAAACCGGGCCTAACCCACTTTAGCTTAACTAAGCTGGTGGTGGCGATGACATAAGTTTTCTTTATTAACACTTCAAATTCCTCTTTCGAACTTCAAACTTCCTTCCAACGTTCACATCACCTAGAGATTCTGTAGCTCTAGTACTTTTTTTCTTCTCCATAACCAACGAGCACTTCAGGCATCATACTATATCAAAGACCTATACGATCAAGAAACTCTTCATTCTCCAAAACAAAAGTTATCAAACCATATAAACATCAAGAATCCATCAAACAATCCCTCGCAAATATGGCGGACTTCACACCGCCGCCTCCCATACAATCACAACCACAGTCGCAGCAACAGTCGACACAAAACCAAACCCGAAATCGACGGCGAAGAACCCCGCGACCACCACGAGAAGGTCCACAGGCCTCGGTTGAGTCGTTAGGACACGGTTCAGAGGGTCACGCTACCGCTGATAATACCCACTCCTCTTCCTCCATTGCTACACCAGCCTTTGGAGCAGCGGGAAGCTCGAGACCAAATCAATCGAACAGAAATTCGGGAGATCCTAGTAGAAGAGATAGGACGAACGCTAGCTCCGGAGATTCCAGGAGAGATAGGGAATCAACGTCGAGCTCTAATAGAGGGAATAGAAGGGGTGGAAGATATGGTCAGACTATCCGACATCCTCGGACTGGAGCTTCACAGTCACAACTACAGTCACAATCAGGACAAGGAGAACCGACGGGAACACAAGACCAACCTTCGTCCACAAATGCTGCAGCTAGAGGAAATACGGCCAGACAAAGAGCCCGTCGAGGCGGCAACTTTGCTTCCGGCGGCCGTCAATTCGGTGGCCAATTGACCCGTCCCGAAGCTACAAATCAAACCGAAGAAGGAGAAGATGGAGGAGAATCATCTACAGTTCTCCGCCCAGAGGCTAGTACATCCACATCAGGCCAACCTTCCACCGGGAATGCCCAACCAACAATAGTAATCGAATCCACTACTCCATCATCTTCAACGACAAAACCTCGTCGCCACCGAGGTGCCCATAAGCCTCCGGCTACTCTCCGAGAAGCTGAGACCTTAACTACCCGAATTCACACCGAAATCTCAGCTGGAGAATACGAATGCATGATCTGCTACTCCTCCGTTACCAGAAAATCAAAGATCTGGGATTGTTCCACCTGTTACGCCGTATTCCATTTACACTGTATTAAAAAATGGGCAAAACAGGCATTGGATGTTCCCTCAGCCTCAAATGACGAAATTGTTCCGCAGAGAACATGGCGTTGCCCTGGATGCCAAAGTACTAGTACTGAAGCTCCAGACAGGTATACATGTTGGTGTGGTAAAACGGACTCGCCGGAAGTAGCGAGATTTGTACCGCCTCATAGCTGTGGGCAGACGTGTAATAAACCACGGGAGCCGCTTGCGGGGAAAACTAACGCTTGTCCGCATGGCTGTGATTTGCAGTGTCATGCTGGACCTTGTCCGCCTTGTGGAGCTATGGGGCCCCAGCAGCCATGCTTTTGTGGGAAGGAAGTGAGCGTTAAGAGGTGTTTGGATACAAATTATGAGAACGGATGGAGCTGTGGGCAGGTTTGTGGGGATGTTATGCCCTGTGGGGAACACTTTTGCGAGAGAGGGTGTCATGGTGGAGTTTGTGGTGGGTGTGAAGTTGTGGAAGTTTTGAAATGCTATTGTGGGGAGACGGAGAAGGGGATCAAGTGCTGCGATAAGCTTGTGGGGAAGGCAAGTCGAGAGGTTGTAGATGGGGAAGAGAAAAACTGGGAAGGATTCTGGAAGTGCGAGAGGGTTTGTGGGAAATTATTCGATTGTGGAGAGCATAGGTGTGAGAAAGGTTGTCATTCGGCGGAAGAGGAGGAACCACATTGTCCATTTTCGCCGGATGTCATTAAGTTTTGTCCATGCGGAAAGACAGAACTCGGGGAGGATAGGAAGAGGGAGAAGTGTACGGACCCCATACCACACTGTGATGAAGTTTGCGGTAAGGTCCTACCTTGTGGACACGAATGCCGGCAGATCTGTCATACTGGAGACTGTGGTCTGTGTATGAAAACCGTCGATGTCTTTTGTAGATGCGGAAAGACGGGGTCACCAAGCTTGTGTCTACAAGGGGATCAGGGCGAGAAGCCCATGTGCAGGAGGGTCTGCCATACCACACTGAACTGCTTAAGGCACGAATGTGGAGAAAGATGTTGCTCCGGCGAGCAGAAAGCCAAAGAGAGGATGGCGGCGAAGAAGAAAGTCAACGTGAGAGGAAGGACTGAGGATTTCGAACCCGAGCACATTTGCACAAGGGTATGTGGGAAGCCACTTAAATGTGGATCGCACGATTGTTCGGCACTTTGCCATCGTGGAGCTTGTGGAAGCTGTCTAGAGGCAAGCTTCGACGAACTAGCTTGGTACGTTCTCTCTAAGATCCCAGATATATATACGAAAGCTAACAAAATAATATAGCCATTGTGGCCGAACAAGAATAATGCCCCCGGTTCCCTGCGGCACGAAACCACCTTCCTGCCGCTTCCCTTGTCAACGTTCTAAACCCTGTGGCCATCCCAATCCCACCGACCACCTCTGCCACCTCGACGACGAAGCCTGTCCGAACTGTCCTTACCTTGTCCAAAAACGATGCGTTTGCGGGCGTACTGTTATCAAAAATCAACCTTGCTACCGCGATTCCGTTTCCTGCGGCCAAACTTGCGGGCTCCCTCTTAGCTGTGGTAGTCACATCTGCCTAAAAACTTGCCACGCAGAAGGCGGCTGTCAGGAACCCTGCACTCAGACTTGCAAGAAATCACGGCCGCTCTGTGGACATGATTGTCAGGAGGCTTGTCATGCACCGTTCGCATGTAGTGTTAACATTCCTTGTGCGGCGAAGGTTACTACATCTTGCCCATGTGGGAATGTTAAGCAAGAAGTTACGTGTAACACATCGATGAACAATCAGCATCCGAAACGTCCAGAAATCAAGTGTATCGACGACTGTAGGCGACGCCAACTTGCTGCTGCTTTCAACGTCGACCTCGAGAAAAAAGCGGCAGAGGAAGCCATCAATGCCTATAGCGATGAAACGCTACAGTTTTATATCGACAATAAAGTATGGTGCGCAGGGATTGAGAAGATGATGAGGGAGTTTTGTGAAGATTCCGGGAAGGTCAGGTTAGCTTTCAAGCCGATGAAGACTCTTTTCAGAGGATTTATTCACGGATTGGCGGAGGATTATGGATTGGACTCTGAGAGCCAGGATCCTGAGCCGTACAGGAGTGTGGTGGTTATGAAAAATGGAACGTGGCAAATGCCCATCAGGGTGTTGGCGGATGCGGTGAAGGTTAGAAGACAGGAAGCGGCTCTTGCTGCCGCGTCTTCGAGTGTCAATGCTACGGCGAATGGGATCCAACAATTACGAAAAACGACAGGATTACCTGCTGTTAACGCCATACTCCTAAGCGGATTAAGAGTCGGATTGTTGACGAGTGAGTTGGAGAAGGAGTTGGCAGGTGTGCTCAGGCAGGGAACATTGAGGTTCGGGATTAGATGGTATGGAGACGAAGAGGTGCTTTTAGAACCTTTACCTTCCTCTTTTTCGACCGAGGAAGTTGAAGTTGAATTGGGAAATGTTAGGGGTCTTGTTAGGCGCCATTGTGTGGTCAATCGAATTGCAAGTTCGGTAGACCTTTGTTATGTTGGAAGGGACGGGAAAGTTACTGGGAAGGAAGGGCAAGGGTGGAATGTAGTTTCTGTGGGGAAGGGAATCAAAGCTGCTGCTCCACCAGGGCCACAGACCGCAGGGTCATATGCGAACCTGTTTGGAGTGTTACAACAAGGAGGCAGTGCGGGGTCGAAAGGGTTGGCTGTTAAAAGCGATGTTGGGCAGCGGAAGGATAAGGTTCTGAGTCCAGTGCTACCAAAAGAAGAGCCGGTGGATGATTGGCTTGAGGCGGTTGAAGCAGAAGAAAAGGCGGCTGCTTCTGCTGCCGTTTCCGCTGCTGCTTCCGGAGGGGAGGATAATGGTGGAGAGTTGAGTGCTGATGAGGATGGGAAGGAGGATGTTGCTGCTGCTAGTACCGTCACTGTCGTTGGTACTAGCGATGGTACCGGTGCTGGTACTACAGCGTGAGCAACTTCAAACCTAATGTAGGTACTTGCTACTTACTTAAAGAAGTAGGGTATCATTTGAGGACAGGTGTACATAAAAAGGTACCTACGACGAGACATGAGGACATGATCAGGACGATGTATAATACTATAAACCGGCAGGCGTATCATTTTGAAACAATATTCTTTTTTGCGAAAGAAAAAACCATGAGCCCAAGTTAAAACCAAGAGACTATGTATGATCTACGTAAGTACGGAAGCGTGACTTAGGATATCTAGTCCTCAGACCATTCGCATTCGCATGAACCAGAAGAAGAAGTCGTCCAGGATCAACATCGAGCGAATCAAAAGCAGCCAAAGAATCATAACCCGGCTTAGTCTCATGCAACACAGTTTTGCAACTCCAAAATCCAACAACCGGCTGGTGTTCCAGGCACCAAACGAACGACACACAAAAAACACACAGAAACATCAAACATCAACCTCCTCAAACCACCTCTCATCTCTCATCTCTCATCTCTCTCTGTCTCACATCCATCTTCATTCTATGCTTCTCCTTCGAGGACTCAGATACTCAGAAAGACAGAAAGTTTACCTCCAAGGAAAAATCCAGACGTCGTCATCATATATGCATGCAACCATTCGCCGTATTCCAATTCCGGCAGCAAAGAAATCCCCATTTCCGAATCCGCGACGACACACAGAAGCCCCCCTTCACAGAAAAATCCAACAAAAACAGCTGAACGAACGGTTCCTATTATTCTCAGCTCGCCTGCCGCCGCGGGTCACCGTGCACAAAAACTCATCAAACGTAAAACCTCATTAAACTCTCTTCCCTCCCCATCTTCATAGCCAATAGAAGTGTGGTAGGTATAGTTATATGTATCATACATACATGGCAAAACATGGCGAAAGTAGCTCTTCCTTTACATTATCCGGCTACCGATCAAAAGTCTACATCATTCATCCTCACGGAATCAATCCATATCATCGAAGTCGAGGTCGAAGTCGACAAGGCCAAGGTCGTCTCCAATAGCATCAGCTCTCGAACTCGTAACAACTCCAAACCCAAACCCAACGTCGCACAACACCCCGCCACCACCACGAATACCAATAATGCCAATATTATACCGCCACAAATCTCTGCAATCGCATCAACAGGCCTGTCCCACCGTTTATCTATTTCCACCCAGAAGAACCAAAAATACCACTACTACCACCTTCTAACTTCAACAAATAACTACGCCCTTTCTACCATTCAAAACCACTATACACCTTCTTCGCCAACCCTTGAATCGCTATTCATGGAAGCAACCTCCTGTCGTTCTTCACAACCCGGCATTGAAACTTTAGTTTCGGTTTACAACTACATAAGGGGTCATAAACACCCCAATGGCCTATTCCCACCATACCAACTCGGCATTTCTAGTGATGACGGGGTTTTGAGTGTTTATAGGAGTTATAAAGGCGAAGATTTGAATTTTTGTCCGACTTCAAATTCTTCTACTACTCTTGGTGGTAACGGAAGAGGAAATATGGGAAAGGGGAAGGGAATATGGTGGAGTGATATTATGTATGAAGTTTGGAGGCGGTATAGTGCCTCTTCTTCCTCCTCTTCCTCAACAACAACTCCTTCAAGATGTTTAAGGAATACAGGAGATATAATGCCAAAACTTAGGTTTGTGGCGATACCGGAGGTGAATAATGAAGAAGTCAAGACGGTTACGACCTATGCGTTTCAAAAGAAAATGTTGGATAAGGAATGTGATATGTTGGTTGTTGATCGGGATGATAAAGCTTTTGGTGGAGGAGGAGAGAGCTGGACGCTTTTTGATGCGTTTTTGGGGACGGCGAGTATCAAGGTATGATATTCAAGTTTATATCCCTCTCAATATAAAAGTGTCTACTAACCCTCACGCTTGTCTCGTAAAAGGCGATTAATAGAATGACGATGGATCATGCAGATGAACTGGGATATATCGCCCCAATAAGGATATACGTGAAGTATAGTAGGTTTGAATACCCTCATATCGGTGAAATTTTGTTACCAAACTTGTTGGTGGAGATGAGGAGGGTGAAGGTTTAGTTGCTTCTTTTCAATTACTCTCAGTTATCGTGGTGGCGGCTATTTTTTGGTACTTTAACGGCATCGCTTTACTGGCGTTTTAATTTCTTTTCCTGTTCTTGCATGGCTGTGGCTGGTGTGATAGGGGTTTTTTTTTTCCTTTCTTCGGAGTGCGATCTATATACCCTTTCCTTTTTCTTATCTTATCTTTTCCCTTTCCTTACTCATTTTGCTGATTGTCATGGAGCGTGGTATGGTGCATGGTATTTTATTTTAGTGTATTTGTATATTACACTCTTTAACTGATGAGTATACTATGGTATTACCATCCATGTAATACTGCTAATAGTAATACCCTTAATTACTATATCTATCTATCTCTGGCGATAGGTAATCTAGAAACACGGGGATAGCATACCACAAAGTGTGGACCGCGTCCGCAATGCGAGACCAAGCATACCATTGATTAAATCTTTATATATATATATATATATATATATAAGTACATATACGTATCTCACGGGATCTGAGGTAGTTCGATAGATATCAGGACCCAGACTGGGTACTTAGATATCATGTATACATACAAAATTACTCACGATAGTCTTGTAAGTCGAGCTACGTATACTGAAGCAAAACATACCCACACATATTGGTCGACTACCAACATAAAATTCTATGTAGAACAAAAAAAGTACGCGCACACATGGTCTATACACATAGAAACTGAAAGGGTCTATACACATCTATCACATATTCAGAACTTTTTTTTCTTTTGGCATAGAGGAAAGACATCGTGTAAAACGGCATGGGGCACATGAAAGACGATTGGAACTATAAACCCAGACAAAAAAAAAGGAGTAAGAGGATAGAAAGATATATCAAAAGAACAAAGGGTATCGGTTGGAGAAAATAAAGGGACTCGTGGAACCAAGAAAATCATCATAAAAGTAATGAAAAATTACTTTTCCCAGGATCGCGAAAGGATGATGTCAAGAAATAGAAGAGGGTTCGGTATGAACAACAACTCGACTAACAACAAGAACTCAACGAATTTCTTCGTATTGTTCGTTAAAGAGTACCCATTGCATCGTATTCAGGGCGCCAGTCCAAGAAGAACGCAGTAAGATCGCTGCCCAGAAAATGTAGAAATGATCATCGGGTGTACAAGGCATGGTGATCCAACACACCCAGCCTTGTCACCACGCCACATTAAAATATCGTAAGAGGTTGGAGCAGTGAAAGGAAAGAGATAATGGAAAGAAGCAGGGCGAAGCAAACTAGTGCTTGCCGACGCGAGAGTTGGATATTTGCATCACGAGGATATCGTGAGCACCGGCCTCGTCCAACCTATTGAAGAGATAGTGTTAATATCTAGCTAGCCTAATAATCAAGAAGGGAAAGACTCACTGGTCCATGACCGAAGCCACACGGCTTCGCTCAACCATTGCCTGGACGGCAACCCACCCTTCCTCTTCCAAGGAGGTGATGGTGGGTGCACGTCGGCCAGGAGTAATATCGTGGACGACAGATAGAAGCGTGCGTGGGATGTTGTACGAGCAGAGCACGTACTTCTTCGCATCTGCAGTCGGCCATATTAACATCAACCCAGTACATAGAATATATTTAAAGGAAACTTACTAATGACGCCTTTAATGCGAGAGAGGACCAATTCGGCCATCTGAGGGTTGCGAGGGTGCTTGGACTTGATCAAGACAGCCTCAGTCGTCATGACTGTGGAGATGGCCGCAAGGCCAGCTGCCTTCATTGTCTCTCCGGACTCTATATTCCATATTTAGACACACACACTCTCTCCATTATAAACATTGTTTAATGGATAAAATTACTTACCGACAAGGTCAACTATCCCGTCAGCGACACCGAGGGCGCAGGCCGCCTCCACGCTACCACCAACATATTTCATGGTGGTCTTCATACCATTCTTTTCAACAGCCTCAGCTCCAAACATCTCGACTTCCAAGGAATTGAAGTAATCCCTAGAGAGGTGGGTGAAGCTGGTGACAACAGTCTTGCCAACAAGCTCTTTGGGATCTTTGATGGGGCCGTTAGCCGGTACCTGGACCTGAAGCTTGCATTTGCCGAAACCAAGCTCTAGGATCTCTTCGACGGAAATCTGGTGTTCGGCAACTTGATCTTGGCCAGTGATTCCGAGGTCACAACGACCTTCTCCGACGAAAACGGGGATATCGCCTGCTCCGAGGAAGACGAGGGCAATTGGGAGGTTGTGACACAGGGCAATATCAAGACGGTTGTGTCTGTGGAATTGAATATCTGAACCCTGAAGGAGGGTCAAAGCCGCATCGTGAAGACGACCCTCTAGTAGAAGAAGCAAACTTATTAGCGAATAGTTACAAAGAATGAGTTGGCAATGTTAAAATGACGTGGTAAACTTACTCTTCGGAACAGCCATGAGAAGGCGCCCATCGAGACTATTGAACAAATTAATAGAGAAGACCATGATGTCAGTTACTTGAATCTTTTTGGAAAGGTGATATGATCAATGGGCAGATTAAGAGCTAGCTCAATGGAGAGTGTAGTGATGATGGCAATAGAGGTGAAGGTAGTAATGGAGGTGATGATGAAGCCAGAGGAAGCACTAGCAACCGAGTTAAGTACCTGTTAACTAATTCCATGATGCTTTTCGTATCAATGCTCGAATAGACGGGATATCAAGTAGACGATAGAGAGAGCGAGAAAGAGAAGTTTGCTGGGGAAGTTGAGGCGATGGCGATATTGGTGGTGATAGCGGTTTAGAATCGTTGTAATGCGCAGGTGGGTGTTGAATGAATGGTGGTAGTTTTCGCACTACAAAAGAATCGCAACTAAATTATTCTTTCAGCAGCGAAAGCAACGTCGATAGATGATGATATGATATGATATGATCTGACAGGGATTGAATCCGCAGTTTGTTGAATAGCAATTGGAGGTTGAATTGTCATAAAGATGAGTACTCGACGTGGGTTTTTAAACAGTAGTTACGTTGAGCGGGCCGATAGCGGATGTCCCCATTTGAATTCTGCAACGCCCAATAGTGATGACTCCATTTTATCCCATTCAGAGCCCCTCCTTGGCCTGCAATCGAGCTAGAACGAACCCCTCAGAGCCCCTCCAATTGGCTGTCCGTCTGTCAACTGGCCTAGCCTGGTTTGTTCCCCGGCGATATCCACCCGTCAAGGCCATCCAGGGACCATTCCGTGCTGGGAACATACTACTAACTGACCAGGGGACTTAATTGACTTGGAAGCTGCCAATCAGCAAGCGGGCAACCAACATGCGGAGAAACACCCATCAAAAGCAGAATGTGTTGAGCAACCGCGGCTAAACAACACATCCGCGCGTGGCTTTGTGTTTGTCAAGTCTTGGCATTAAATGGTCAGTGGCAGTTTAGTTTGCCCTAAAGCAAAGCCCTTCTAAGAACAGAAGGAAACTGCCACTTGCCAAACAAACCACACCAAAAATTCCCTGCCCAGTGTGCTTTCCAACAAAAAAAATTCAATCTCCAAATTCTCTTTTTCTCTACCAAGAATTCTCACTCCCGACGACGACGACGAACCCCCCCATCAGCCACCCGATAACATACCTATCTTCCCCGAAAAAGTCGATAATTTCTTCGTACAAATTCTAAATCTTCAAGATGGAAGGAAAGACCCCAGTCAAGTTGGTCAAGGTTACCAAGGTACGGATCATCCGTGATATCGATTATTGTGGGACGTTATGAAGCTGACTATTGATTCTACAGGTTCTCGGTCGTACCGGTAAGCTACACTCCGTTTTTCTTATCGAATTTTCTGGCACGATATCGGCGAAATAAGAGGAGGATATGCTTTGAAGTGAAGGGGTTAAAAGGAACACGATAAACGACCACCAGGATCTAGACTAGAGGAATATGCTCGAAATTCTCTTTTTTTACGACCTGTTAAGAGGAGGATCAAGGTTTCAAGATGAATTCGAGGTTTCCGACAATGACAAAAAATGAACTAGCCGATTGATTTGTGAGGGAACGACTGGATGAATGGATATGTGGATGGAGATGCTGCCGGACGAACCTTACGAATAATAGAAACTGATCCAACCATATTTGAATCACAGGTTCCCGTGGAGGTGTCACCCAAGTTCGTGTCGAATTCTTGGACGACAAGACCCGAAGCATCATCCGAAACGTCAAGGGACCCGTCAGAGAAGGTACTAATCCTACTCCTATCCCCTACTACTCCCCGTATAATTCACCCAGTCACCGAACAAACCACTAACATAAACCTTCACTCGTTTCTAGACGACATCCTCTGCCTCCTCGAATCTGAACGTGAAGCTAGAAGATTAAGATAGACAGCTCAACTTCCTGTTGTTCTGTTGTCTTTTTCGTTCATCACTTCATTTTTTTCACGATTTTTTTGTGTGTAAACTCTTAGCCATAGGGATAGAGAGAGGGAGAGAGACGGGGAAATGAGGAGGATGAAGGATATGGACATGTCTTTGATACGATAATTGACGAAATTTCCCCCCCGCACACCTCTCTGAACCGCCGGAACGACGAACCACTATACTACCGCCACCAACCTACATTTTTCTTTGTCCATAATATCATATTATATCCTCCTCCTCGCTTTTTTTTTATTATTACTATTACTCATCACGGCGTCTTATACTTTTGTCACGCTATCCCCGTCATACACATCTTCTTTTTCTTGTTCGTTTAGGCTACGATGAAATGGAGCTTAATTGAGCATATGACACACACACACGCGCGCGCATACAACGTACCCAAAAGTGGTTTATATATATCCGTACTTGTAAATCTTGTAAAAAAGTATTTCAGCTATCATAGCGGGTTCGACCATTGCATCTCTAAATCAACTATTAGCCCGCTATCTTTGAATATTTTAGCTCCACCGTCGATTTGGTAAACCTGGTTCATGAGATTACGATTTGGGGCAATAGTATCGACATATCTGCGCCCATGATTTACTTTATAAATTTATTTGGATAATATATAGACCTGACCGCTGCTATATATTTAAGCATATATATATGGATACTTGATATATATATAAGTATATGTATGGAATAAGTCACCTAGGAGCTCCTATGCTAGCTTCCCGAGGTATGCTAGAGCTGTCCCAGGCCTCTTTTCTATAGAAGTGTGTAGATATTCAGAACAGTCCCCGGTATATATAGGGTGCTGGTAAGTCTTTATCACCCCTAGGGCCCTAATTTTCACCTCGAGCGAAAATAAACGTTGGCCGCGAATACTACCTATTGATTAAATGTATTGGCTTTGAGATTTGCTAGTTTTATAGAGCATCAAGAAGCATATAACAAAAAGATAATCTGGATTATCTTATTAATATACTAACATGCTGTTTTTCTTTTAATTGTCTTCGTGGTCAATGATGGTATATATAAGTCTAGTACTTACATATCGATCTTATTAAACTTCACATCCTTCAATACAATAGTTCAATACATGTAGACAAATAAGAAACTTATATTTTATCTTGCTTCTCTTCGGGGCTTGGTTCAGTCAGTACATATGAACTAACCGGATCAATTGAAGTTAATTAGATCTGTCAATATAATAGATTACCGGAAATTTACCTGTATCACGACATCATGATCAAGAAAGTCATTTTATATTTATGTCTATATAGGTATAATATAATACCAAACTATGCAAACCAAAATTGAGACGAACTCGTACAAATAAAAAGAACATCAAATGGACAGCTAAGCAAAAAGAATACAAAAGAGGGCACCGCTGTCCTCCCATATCTATTAAAAACAAAAAAATGTCGAAAGAAAATAAGAAAAGAAAAAGGAAGAAAAAAAAAGGCTAATTTATAAAAAGCTATAGATAGAATTCGTATCACAAAGACTTAAGTAGTGTATCTAGTAGTAATACGTAAGTAGTAGTAATAGTAAATAATAATAGTAGTAGTAATAATACCATCCGCCTGAATATAAAATAGGAAAACCTCCACCGACCCGCTCCAAGGAAATAGAAAGAGAATAAAGAAAAAATAAATAAAGAAAAGCGAAAAGTCCCACTAAGCTTTTAACGGGCTTAGAATGGAGAAGAAAGAAAGAATGGAGTAAAGTAGAGTATGAAATAGAGATACGAAGAAAAAAGTCAATTCTATAGGTTATTTTGCCGCCTCCTTTCCGTTCCATTTGAGTCGGATAATGACTGCCCTCCCAAGTTATAAAAGAAACAGAGATAGAAACAAAAACGTATAGCTCCCCGTTAACCCGCCGTATCCCATGCTTCCCACGTCCAAGAAAAAACAAGACAGCGAAGAAAACAGAAAAAAAGCGAGCCAGAGAAATATAGATAGGAGTGAAGATAGGTCTGCCCGATCGTCCAGAGTCCAAATCGATAGATGATTAAAGGAAATTCGTTTCTTTGGAAGAGCAAAAAAGAAAGAAAAAAAGAAAGCTATCTAGAATAGAAGACGCATTTGGAACCAAACAAAAGTCAAGAGATATATCCTGGTATCTGAGAAGACATGGCGCTGCCAGATCCGTTTTTCGAACCCCTTTGCTAAAAGAGAGGACCAAGGAAGGGGGGAAAAAAAAGATAAGAATAATAACAAAAAAAGATAACTCCGTCTCCTGGTGCTCCGGGAGAATCTATGCAAGAGGGTTTGGGGAGAGGGTATATCATCGAGCTCGAGGGGGGTTAGTGGTGCTGATGGCTCTATGGAGTGGGGCAAATTGGGTATCTTGGCTCATGGGGATGAAGAGAAACCCATAGCTTCCTATGAGGCAAGAAAACACAGCAAAAAACCGGCTTTTTTGGTCGAAGTGCGATGAAGGGGAAACATAGTTGGCGCGTATTGAAATAGATAGAGATTCATTTTTTGGTTTCATCCCGTCGTTAGAGAGCTTGGAGAAAGTCAAAAGCGGAAGTAATGTGTAAATTGCGAGTTTGGGAGAAAAGGGAACAGAAAGAGAAGAACGGGAAAAGAGAAAAAGAGAAAGAACGAACGTTAGCATTAGAAGGCAAAAGCGAAGGTGATAATTATGGCCCAGGCCCATCAGAGTCAGGTGATTGTCCCGAAGTAACCAATTAACCCGAAACCCCCTTGCTTCGCTACAAAGCTAGTTAACACCCAGATGGATGTCTGCATATTAATATCCACGTGTGAAACCAGGCCCCTTGATTGGCAAGAAAGAAAACCCTGCGGGGATCCAGACCAAACAGAAACCTTAATGGTTAGGAGACGCGTTTTCGGTTCAGGTGAGTTCATTCGGTTGCTGGAGTCGCTGGAGCGAAGTCTGGACGGTTGGCCAGCTCCTCCCTAGCATAGAACTGGACCAACATGTTACCGTACGATTCCAGTTCCTCGACAGGGATGGACAGGCGGAAGTCATTCAGTGTCAAGAACTGGAGCTCCAGGTGATTCAGCTCTACTAGTGGCAATCCTCCAACCTGTATTCGATACATGTTAGCCGACTGCAAACTTCAAAACTATGCGAATGGTTGGAGAATGGTTTGCTTGCCTTAGCGTATCTAGAATTGGTGTAAAAGATGTCCGAGAAGAACTTTGAAGCACAGGTGACACCAGCAATAACCAAACGATGGATGTTGTAGCTGTCGACAACAAAGAAGTTTCCAAAACCTTGGCTATGTTCTCCAGCAGCATCCTGAGGAGGGACAGTGGCGGATCCGGGAGTAGCGGGCCTGATGTTGTTAACCTGGTGAACAGTTCCAGCATTGATCCGTTCGGTCATCCGGTCAAAGTAAACCAATAGGGAGAGGAAAACCTCGTATGTTGTTGGACAGTAACGATGGATCCGACTGAGGTAGCTATGGATAGTGATAGTGGGGACGTTCTTTCCGTGAAAGGCCAAAACGCTAGTTGCTTGTTCAGGGAGGTTACCAGAGCCATCCGCGGCTGGCATATTTCGATGGAGGTTTTCATGGTTCCGATCATTGGTGGTTGTGATCTTGGTCAGTAGGGCGGAAACAAGCTCGATGATGTCAGGAACAGCCATCTGGCTGACGTCGAATCGAGTATCGCTGAACCTAACTCGCCTTCTGGGGAACGACTGCGAAGAACCATTGTTATTGGCATCCGCTCTAGCCAGTTCAGCCAGGTGAGCTAGATCTCTTAACACGACGATTGAAGGCTGAGCCATTGATGTGTTTTGAAGGGAAGACGATCTACGGTGCCGTACTGGTGTCGAGGCGGCAGTAGTTGGAGCACTGGAAGAGACGGTCGAAGAATTCCTAACATGGGTGGTTGGAGGAGTGACTTGAGGAGTGACTTGAGTTCCCTGTGGAGTACCTCTTGATGATGCCGACGATGCGAACTGGTTAGGTGTCTGCGACGGCTGGCTGGAAGGAGTTGACGATGACGATGGTTGTGGGACGCGAGAGTGGGAGCTGGACCGCTGGGAAGAAACAGACCTGGGCTCGGCTTGGTCGTAGGGCGTCGACGGGTTAGACTGAGGGATTCGGTATGTTTGGTGAGATGGATGGCGATACGGCTCGCATTCTACCTGGGTTGTGCCCGATGACGGGGCGACCATAATCGCTTGGTCGAAGGAAGGGTAGTGGACCTGGAGCAGGTTAGTAAACTATCTATTAACTAAGTGGACCGGGCCAAGACAGAACAAGACACGACAAGACAGGACAAAAAATAGCAACAAGGCTATAGCAGAAAGTAAATATCAAGTGAAGCAGGCAAGCGAGAAGGACGGGCAAAGGAAGAAGTATAAAAGTAAGTATTACTAATGGGAATTGATCGAGGTTAAACGATGCAATGGTGATGTTAATTAACGTCGTGTTCTAGAAGACTGAGAAGATTTTGCAGCGGAATAGAGTGTAATTGGTCCAACCTCCATCCATCCTTTCAGTCATCCATCCATCCATCCACCCATCATCAATTGGACATTGAAAATCGGACATTGGTCATTGATTGAGCATCAAAGGCATCCCTCGAATGATCTCGGCAAGGACGACAACGGGAAAAGGCACAATTAACAACTAACATACTCGGGACGGATGAAACCCCGTTCATCAAAGGAAGAAAAACTGGCAGAAACACCCAAATTGATGATGATGATGACGATGATGAATAACAGCCTAGGTCAAATCATGCAATCCCCTGAAACCGAGGAAGGCGGCAGCGGCAGCAGCAACAGCAGCGGTAGTGGTCCCGGTGGTGGTGGTAATGGCAATACATTCTCTCGCAGAAGCGGGGACAGTGCAGGCGGTGCAGGCAGCGGGCAGTGAGCAGGGCAGCAAGAACAAGAAAAAAGATCAGATGAATGAGTGAACAAATGAATAAATGAACTCACAGACACCGGACGGAAATATCAATTTCCCTGTGGCCAGGTCGGTCGCACTGTACTGCACAGCTGCGTAATACGTTCCTGCCGACAATTACTGTACTGCGTCAGGGGTATCGAGAAAGGGTGGAGGAGAGAATTCGATTGAGAGAATTCAAATGCAACGAATGGCAAATTCGAAGGGAGGAGTATGTAGAAGCTCGCTTTTGTCGAAGTACTAAGCTACTACCACCTCTCATCGTCATCCACATGCATCCCCAATGCCAGTCGTACCAACTAAACGGACAGCTTAACGAGACCGGAAGAAAAGAAGAAGAAAAAAAGGCTTCGGCAGATCGGGAACCCGACCTGACGGTTAGGAAAATAACGGGGTGCTTCGGATCCTAAGCCGCATCGGAATAGAGACAAAAGCCATCAAACAAGAGAGAGAGGAAGACGACGCCGTTGTGGGAAAAATGGCGTTCGTCCGGGTCCTTCATCATCATATCGTGATGGCATACTAACGTATAATAGTGGGCGGGGACAAAAATAGGATCCAATCTGGAAGGAACGTGAACGAACAAACAATCCTAGTCGGCCAATAGATAAGACCAGCGCCTGCCCGTGGGGAGGTTTGGCTCAGGCTGCACAACCGGCAATGGCCAGCCACTCAAACATGGCAGGCTGGCAGGCAAGCACCTTGATGCTATCATGCACAGAGCCCTTCGACAGCCAGATTCCCACACCTGCAAGCCCAAATCACCCGTTCTATGAAACCAGGGGCCTGATGCCAATTCATGGCTTTTCCTTATACGCACTGTATGAAGTAGGGGCTCTGGTGGATATGTATGCAAACGTGAAGAACCGGAGGAGGATCCAAGCGTCATCCCACGACTCTGGCCACCACCACCGCACCACCCCCAGCTTGACGGGTAAAAAGATAAACAGGGTGTGCAGTGACGATATATCAAAAAGGTGGGTGTAGCAGAATCAGATATCATGAATTCATGATTTCGCGATATGAACAAAGCAAAGCAAATAACCAAATGTTTCTTGACACCTACCTGTAGCATTACTGAGGTTCGTTGAAGCGAGAAAAGAAGGAGGGAAGGCCCGAAGTGGAGTCGAATCGGTAGCCACTAACCAAACAAGAGCTGGCTGCTTGCTTGTTTCTTCAAGGTTATAATGCCTTGGCTTCCACGAAATGTCCACAAACCGAATCCGCGAAAGGGAGCTCTGTGAAATGCGAAATCGATGTGCAGGGACACCGATCCAGATACAGATATATATCTGTCGACAGGGAGATGAGGATGTCGATGGGGGGGGGGGAGCCGACGACGGTGATGGAGTGTCGGAAGGGTGTGTGATGTAAGTCGGTAGTAAGTCCGGTCGGTTTGGGCCGGGTTGATGGTTTATTTTCGGGTGGGTTTTGGCTTTGGCTTTGGCTTTGGCTTTGGCTTTTCCGAGAGAGTTTGATATCGAAGAAAGGACTGCTGTTTGAGAGGCGTTTCCGAGTAAATGCGACCGGTATATATACCCAAATCCCAAGAAGTACGGCGGTACGATACGATACAATGACAGATCGATAGAATACAGAATAAAGAAACAGAATGGGATATACTGATAGATATCTAGGAGTATCAAAATGTGTAAATGGGAAAAGAAAAAGGGAGGATTCGGAGCAAGAAGGGGAGGATTGTACAACGGTTTTGTAGGTAACGATTTCGCCTGCGAGTTCCTCTGAACTTGCCTGCCGAAAAGACCTTGCAGGCGGCGGAGCGGGCTTTGCTGGGCAGAGCTACTGGAGAGCTAGGCCAGATAAACAATGAACCAGCCACTCACAGGCAATCGAAAACGTAACAGACACAAACAAGCTTTGGTGCAAGAGGAGCAGGAGCATAAACAAACCAAGTCCAGTTGGCCAGAGCGTGCGGTGTCACGGTTAATTAAAATAAAAAGAGGTAAAATCACTGGGGAACTAACGTTGCGAGGTTGGAAGGCGCGGTAGGAACGTGGATATGTCAATACTAATATTAAATGAAGTATTTAATGTTAATACCTTATCCAACTTTAGCACGCTAGTAGTAACTATATTGTAGTTCACCATGAGCTGTATATGATAATACACTTAGGTATCTAAGTATACTTAGTTATAAGTAAGTATTATAGGTACCTCAGCAGGGATCATAAGAGGTATTTGATCAAGATGGATCCGGATCTCCAAGATCGTCTTTGGGGTATATCTCAAAAGCACTCCAATGATGCAGTAAGGCCAACCTTAGTAATGAACGACCAACGGAGGCGAAATTCGAACAGTCTAGTCGAAAGGATGCGTGTGTCAATGTGGGGGTGGTGATTGGGGAAAATTGGAAAAAACTGACAAAACTCTGAGCTCATCCCAGACCTTTAGTGTCGACAATTAGGAGAAGTCCGGAGGAAAGGGGAAATTATCGGAAACATAACATGCTAACATAGAAAAAAACGATGCACACCTCTTCTTTTTTTGTTTAACATTTCGGGGGGCTTTGATGCAAGCTGCACGATGAACTTGTACAGTTCGAATTCAATCGGCTTTGCTAAATTGGTATGTTTCCCCCGCTCAGCGAATAAACAGCATGCTTCCAAGCATGATGACGAACATCACCAGGTCCACTGGCTGCATTCTATCGTCACCAAGTATGCCTCATATGGCTATCTCGATCGTTCCACAAATACAAAGCCTGCATATGTACTCCTACGTTGTGCATTTAATTTAAATAGCCTTAATTAAGCTTGCTTAAAAATCCCTATTTTGCATTATCAATCACAGGTACTTACTTACCAAAGTATAGAATATCAGAACTAGCAGGAGGACCCTGAAGCCTATCTATCCATCGAACCATCCAGGCAGGCAGGCCCAACCCGTTCGTCATCCATAGATCCCACATGTCAACATTAAACACTAGCGAAACCCAAAAAGCAAGCGCTCGGGCGATTCGGTAGCCTACTTCGTGAGGTGGGTTTAAGGTTTTGTCGAGGACCGAGGAAAGAATCGGAATTCAAGGCGTCCATAGTTCGCATTAGTCCATAGTCAGGTCTCAGTGCCTTCTTCTTCTTCTTTTTTTCCGTCTAGCACATACATACATAGATAACATAGCAGGGACTTAAGCCGGGGGAAAGTAAAGCTAAGGCTGCACCGCGCCACAAAAAATTTAATCCGGTGCATTCGGAGCCCTGTGGAACTGTGGCCAGAACATGTATCACGCGAGGTGTCAACCACCTTGCCTGTACATTTCAACAGCAGTTTTTTTTCTCGTTTTCATTCTATTTTTTTTTTTCACATGCCAATTGTAGTAAAGTATGCTGCGCTACCAGGTACTAACGAACACCAATGTGAATAGTTCCGTTCGTGTAAACAGTCCATAATCACGAAACTTACCCCGTTCTTCATGACTAACGGTATTCCAGAAGGTATTGGTAAAGAATTTTGAAATTATCGTGGAGTGTACGCATGACAGTAGAAAATGTTAGGTTGCAATCGCCCCGGATTGACCCGTTTCGCAGCAGATCAATTCGGTTGCCAGAAATGAAAAATGCAACATTCAACACGCCTTGATGCCTTGTGTAACCTACCCTTATTAGCTTTGAATCCGAATTCGTATTCCCCCGCAGACGACCCACAACCAGGGTCATTCGGTGGTAGTACGATTTAATCCAATCCGAATAGAATATAATAGAAATAGAAATTATTTTCGTTTACAATACCTTTACACTAGCCTAACATAATGCTTTTAGAGGGATCGCTATTGTTCTACCGGGGTTTCGCCTTAGCCTTTGTACAAATGTATTTTGTTTCTTATTCTTACTTATACCGCCAGCATTTCTCATAATTAATATCCCTTTACAGTTCTCATGATATCCTATTATATACTTATAAGTGTGTATCTCAAACCCTGTGATCAATCCAGCAGAGGTAAATGGCTATGTGTTTGTATTGGGTACGAAAGTTGTAATATATGAGGCAATATTGAATACTTCAGCCTCCAGATTATATCCACGAAAATACCTCATTCTCCCGTATGGTTTAATCTGCATGTTAATATTCATAACAACCGAAATGCATTTCTGAGCAAGTTACCCACTTCGAATATACACTTTTCTCATAATCTCCCTCAAAGATAGCACTACATGTATACAGCTAGCATGGCCGTAATCAAGCATGTCCCTCCTCCCTGGTGTATCGTATTTTCATAAACCACGTTCGACACGCATAGCCCACCTGACTTCCCCGTAGCAGGTCACTATACGATACTACCAGGGTGAGGCTCGATTGAGGAAGAAACCAGGCAAAAGAACAAGAACAAGACGCACCGACAAAAAGAAAATGAAACTCCTCACCCCCTTCTTTTTCCTCACATTCTCTGTCTCTCTCACCTCTGCCGACATCCCCAGCCCCGCATGTCACAACCCCATGCCCCGTACCCCACCGATAGGGAAATCTCCATTCGTAACCAACACCTGGAACTTCCTCGAACTCCTCTCGGGCACACAACAATTCCTTCAGATGACAAGTACCATGCGCGATAGCACCAGAACTCTTTACAGTATTCTCGTAAAGATGGAACAAAATCCCAATATATACATTCCATACTTCCCTTTCTCTCAGGCAATGGACCTATATACGCATATCGTAGAACGAAAACTTCATTGTTGGCCGTTTCCGAAGTATTTGGCTTTTTATCTAGTGCAGTTGAGGGATTTGAATATTAGAGGACGGATTGAGACTTATGAGCCCAGAGAACCTAGGGTGCCCAATCCTGTGAGAGAAGTGCCGGTTAGAGAGAACCAGGCACCCGGGATGTTGAGGGAGCCCCCGAGGATTGTTCGTGAGGTTCCTGGTACCGGTACAGGCCGTGGAACACCCAGGACTTCGGACCGTGACACATTCAGAACGTCGGATCGTGGGACGGCCACGGGAAAAATGGAAGCTCTAGCGGGAGAGGGAGCTTTGCCAGGCAATACCAATATTAATAATAATATGAATATTAACAATCAGAAAATCAATACGAACGAGCGCCAACAACCGGCTCCTCAATACCGACTATTCGGGAGCGAAGTCACTACGGGAGGCATATTTAATCCTAACCCCGAAACTTCTAACCAACCTAGCAACCGACAGAAAACAACCGGGTTCTTAGCATATAATACACCACCTCAGAAGAAAACACCCCCAAGAACTTCACCTGAAAGCCAGGGTCAAGGCCAAAGTTTGTTTAACCCTCAAAATCGAGTCATCCCTGGTCTCGGTTTCCCCCATGCAGGCGAGGATACTAGTGGTCTTAGTGGTCAAGGCCTTGGTACGAATAACCAGCAAGGTCCTGTTAGGAATCTATTTAGTGCTTTCATGGAATCGACCCCTCAGGTGCAGGAACCAAATTCTTTCAACGCCCTGAGTCGTTTGTCGGCCGACTGGGCTCAAAATTGGCCTGGAGAGTCAAATCAACCTGGCGGAATGACTGGCGCCCGTAACTCGAGGGCCAACGACGAACAATTCGCGGAGAATCAAGATACTAGGTGGCCGCCTCAAGATCTGCCGAGACAACAATTTCCTCCGAACAACCAGGAGAATCCTATCGTTGTCGGTGATTCCATCGAGGAAGAGGAGAAAGAGGGAGATAATCAACCTGGAGGGATGGAAATCGAAACTCAACCTAGCGAAAACACCAGAGGAAGATTGCGAAAGCGAGGCGATGAAGATATCACCGGTAGTGTTAGAGATAAAAAACTTCCAGCTCTATACGCAAACCCACTGCGAGCGTTCCAGACGAGTATCGAAAATTTCTGGTCTCCGATATTCGACTTTTTGGCCTCAGATACTTACTTAGGGTTCAACCAAGATCAAATAAGACCTGCATGGCAGGTAGGATTGCCCTGGAGAGAGTATGGAAATACTCTCAAGAAGGTATCTACCATCTTGCAGGTCTGGCAGAAAGATAGGGAAGTCAAACAGAAGGTACTTACGGTCGAGCAGTTGGAAGCGAAGTTTGGTCACTTGCTGCAGGCTATGACGCTTGGAAGATTGGTGACACCTTATCAGCGACGACTGGAGGATGAGGTACATATTGAGGAAGACGACGAAGAGCTTACTGTGGAGGAGCCATCATATGGGTAGAGTGTCGGAGTTGCAGGTGTGCATGTACAAACGTAGCTACAATGCGAATTCCACCTTGTCCACTGGTGACCTGGTAGTTAATATATTTTTGAGCTGTTCGAGTCTCCATGTATGACTATCTAAGCTTCGCACAAAACATAAAAGTGACGCACACATGTAAATGTTTATATATATATTAAGAAATGAGCCTATGATACTAGACTTGGGTATCGTATGACTCAAGTGTCAATGTGTTTATTGGTATTAAAAGTCTGTCAGAGTTGTCTCGTACCCAGACCTGGAAGTGTCAGAGTATAATATTATAAAATTGTTTACTCTGAGAGCTAGCAGTGTTAACTTGGTAAGCCCAAATAAGAGCCATTAAGAAGTAGGTGGAGCTATCCGTCACGCCAACATTAGTGCATAACTATCTAAATCAGCCCGACAGTCTAGTGCTATGCTGCCGTCAAAGCATAAATATCACCAACATCGCTCCAAAACATTACCCGCACAAAGGGGCTTAAGAGCAGGGTAAGGTATATATCGTACAGTTAAAAAAAGGCTAGGGTCACAATGGGAAAGTGTACACCGCCACCATATCCAAACCAACCAAAAGGTATCATCTCTTACAACTTCGCCCCTTCTTTCTTCTTCTCAGCCTTCGCCTGGTCCCTTAGTACCCTTCTTAGGATCTTTCCGCTAGCGCTCTTGGGAATCACGTCTACGAATTTGACACCTCCTCTTAACTTCTTGTGCTGCGCCACGTTCTTTGCCACGAATTCAATGATTTCGTTGGCGACTTCTGGTGTTGGCTTGTTCCCTGCGGAGAGGACGATATATGCCCTTGGAACTTCGGTATGTTGCACATCGTCCCAGATTCCCGTAACGGCGACATCGCTAGAAACCAATGTTAGTATCAAATCACATGATATTGCGGGAAACCAAAGAAGTATATGACTTACTCAACCTTTGGATGCGATGCAATTTTGCCCTCCAGCTCTGCTGGCGGCACCTGGAAACCCTTGTATTTAATCAACTCCTTCACACGATCTGTAATATAAAAATCGCCATCCTGATCCTGGTGGCCAACGTCACCAGTCTTGAAATATCCATCCTCAGTCATACAGCCCTTTGTTGCCTCCTCGTTCTTCCAGTATCCCATCATGATGTTAGGACCTTTTAGCCATAATTCTCCGGTCTGGCCAGCAGGGACTTCATTGCCGTCATCGCCGACGTATTTGGCAGTCATGTTGGGAAGCAATGGCCCAACGGAACCAATTTTACGTTTCCAGTCTTCCCAATGTTGAGCGTGAGTGGTTGGTGAGGTTTCAGAAAGACCGTAGCCTTGTTTAGTTTTGAGATTGAGGCGATTGAAGAGTGCATCTTGGATTTCACCTAAGGTGGATGTTAGTTATCAAGGAAGTATGCATGGAGGGGAGGGAATAATATATTATACATACTCGTTAGCGGCGCAGCACCAGAGTTCATCATTCTAATCGAGGAGAGATTGTATTTTGCAACAATTGGATGTTTTGCAAGCCCAAGGACAACTGGCGGAACAACGTATGCAAAAGTAACCTTGTATGTTTCAACCAACTGGCAGAACTTCTCAAGATCAAATCTTTCCATAACAACCAGCTTGATACCAAGATAAAAGGTCATGTGCATTATACATGTCAAACCATAAATATGGAAGAAAGGCAAGAACCCGAGAACAGTATCCGATTCGGGTTTCAGATTAACCTCAGCAGCAGTTCCTTGAAGAATATTTGCTACAATATTCCTATGTGAAAGCATAACACCCTTTGGAAGACCCGTTGTTCCACTAGAGTATACCAAGAAAGCCAAATCCTTCGCTGGGTCGAATTTCGGGCGTCTGGTAAGTTTGACTTCCCTGTGCGACATGTTCTTAAGTTGGGTCAAGTGAGTGAATCCAGGAACCTTTGTGTCGCCAAGTATTAGGATACGGTCGTGCGGAATGCCGACTCTTGTGGCAGCCTCCTTGACAAGAGGGAGAACTTCGGCTTGAGTGGTAATAGCTTTGGCTTCACAATTCTTAAGCTGATAGACGAACTCGTCGATGGTATAGCCGGGGTTTGCAGGGGAGAGAACACCACCTGCCCATAGGACACCCCAGGTGAGTAGTGGCGACTCGATGTTATTGAGACTGTACAATAGTATAACGGCAGCGTTTTAGCTTTCTGGACAACGACTGACATAGAAGAAAGAAAAAGGTCACATACGTGAAAACAGCCATGACATCACCTTTCTTCCAGCCCCAGAGGGTCCTGAGGCCGATACCGAGCTCCTTTGAGCGGTCCTTGATCTCGCCATAGGTGAATTCGCGCCCTGTCTTCGCATCAACGTACATGACTATATATAGAAAACGAAACAAGTTGATATTAGCATATAAATCATTAAACCCAAGCAAATATGGCTGAAAACAACATACCACTAGAATCTGGGAACGACTTGTCGGGCCTGTTGAACATGAACTCGTAGATGTCGACATTGGGAATGTCGACTCGAGGGAAGGTGCTCTCGACCGGCATGGTTTCGACTTTGATTCTTAAGTAGCTAGTGTTTTATAGATGCTATAAAACAAGGTCGGATAATCGTATGAATTGTAGCAAGAAGGATAAGAACCAGAATCAGAACTAGAACTAGAAGAAGGAAGAAGGAAGAAAAGGACCAGGAGAAGAGAACGGGGAGATTTCGTGGGGAATGGCGGCTGTGGGAGCTCCCCAGACCCAATGCCGTTATATATGGGGAACACGCAGGCATTAACCAAACTTCCCCAGAAGACTGTTAACCGCGGTAAACCGGCTAACCTTCTTAGCTGAGACCCATCGTCACCGACACCCACAAGGGCACCACCAAAAAGGGCCGCTCAGATCAGACTAGTCCCAAAGCGAATGTCCCGCCCGATGGAATCTTTTCACGCACGTTCCTGCTTTTCGGCCGGAGCTTAAGGTTGTGGCCAATCAGCGGCCTGCGTATACCCCAAAGCTTGGTTTTTTGTCGCAGGCGAACAGGCTTTGACGAACCGAAACCCTTATCATTCCTTCTCGGCCTCTCGATATACGAAAAGACCCGCTCTTCCATCCGTTCATTCGTTCATTCACAAGACAGACGGATATTCCGATAGATAACTAGACAGAAACACTAGTCATGTCGGGTCCACTGCGGCAGGCGACGTTTACCTTGCATCGGACGGCACTCGGATGCTGCCAAACCTCTGCCACATTGCAGCCAGTTCGAGCTTTAGTCACACCATTGAGACAGCAGAAGCGATATGCTCGAGTGCTTGATATCGATATTCGACGGTTCTTGCAGACTCAGCCAGATATTGCCGAAAAGTACAAGCATCTTCTAGAGAAGAAGGCGAAGAGGTATATATCCTAGAAGTATAACACCAGAGTTAGTTAGTCGAGTTAAATTGCTGACGGATACTGAACAGTGAAGGTCTCGAGTCCGTCGACGACCTCAAAGTCGCCTACAAGCCCAAGATCGAGCAGTATAAACGGGACTCTCTAGCTCCTCCAGAGCTTCCCGGGAACCTCGCTCACGACGGCGTTCCTCCTCCGTCTCCGTCATCGTCTCCAATCGACCCCTCCTCCGTAACTTCCACGTCTCCAACAACGCAACCCAAGACCGCTCCTCCCCAAATCCCCAAATCCAGCAATCAAAAGTCTCTAGATTCCATAATTGATACCTCCAAGATCCTCCTCCACGATGCCAAAGAAATCGAGTATATCTGGCGTGCCCGTCACATCTCCGACGAAAACTCCCTTTGCGCCATAGTCCCTCTAGAAACTTACCGACGTATCGAAAAGGCCGCAAAAAGACACCCAATGTTCGTTCTCCCGTTACCAAGACCCGATCAAGGCATCGAACTCCACTTCCTACAATGGCAATTCTCGTCACCGACCACCGTGAACGTCATGTTCACTTCTTTGATAGAGTATAAACTTCGTGGCGAGTTTGCTTCACCGCATACGACGGTTACACACCATCTGGATATTTCGGAGGAGAAGGGAATCGTTTTGCTTCAAGGATCGGTTGTCGAGAATAAGGGTGTAAGCGTAGAAGAAGCCAAATGGTTGTTGATGGCTTTACAGAAGTTCTATGGTGCTGAAGAGGGTGTTCCTGGTGCCGGTGAGGAAGTTGGACGAAGACGGGAATTGCTTCGCCTATTTTCGGAAGGGAAACAGGAATTTGATGTTCAGATGTTGATCAAGGAAGTAGAAACCATTAATTGATTTCCTCTTCCTTTCCCTCCTCGTGTATGGAGGGGTCTAATTATGGAGAGGAAGGAGACATTGTAGATATTAGACAGGAATTAGATGCTCTTAGAGCTGTATATAAACGAATATCATGACCCAAAAGTTATCTTTGTATCACTGCGGACCTTTTAATCTAGAAAAGAAAGTGCAGGAATCCGAAATTACATGAGAAAAACATGGGAGCAAGTCTTTTGTTTCACAAAATCGGGGTGCAACACGATTTAATAGTAGATTGTAATACTACTCCGAATTGTCACAGCCTTGCTATTGCAGAGCCGCGTTCAATGTTAACGATGGATGTTCCCGTAGTTTTTTTTTGGAGATAACGGTATGGTAATTGCTAGTCTCGGAGCCAGAGCTGCCCCGGTAATTGCTAGAAATCATGGGCTGGGCAAGCTTGGCGTGAGAGTGACCGAGTTAATATGATGTCTGCGGACGCCTATCTCTCATGCAATTTCGAGGTTTAAATATGGATAGTGTATTTTCGATTTATGGGTTTCTGGCAGACCATTTGAAATACATGGCCATGATGTTATCATGACTTTCTTCTTCTTTCGTAGCTTGTTCAGCAGTCGAGAAACAATTTGGCCGGCCGGTGCTGTGCTATCGGAAGCACCGTTGTCCAGTGTTGAGACCGGGTGCATCAGGCTGGTTACACAGAGAGAAAAATGCAACATTCACTTGCATATATTTTGTCCCTGAAATGAAAGGAAGAAAAAAAGACAAGGAAACAGTACCTAGGTCCGGAGCGGCTCGGCCGAAAATTATCGCTCTGTTGTAAAAGAAAAAGTATAGAGTCGCCCGGGGGGGATAAGGAAAGAAGGAAGGAAGATAACATAAAGATATGGTGAAACTATCGACCCAGGGCTGTAAAAGCTAGGGGCAGAGTAGGAAAGAATGTTAAACCGATGGGTGTCGAGAATATGCATAGTTTCCATCTGCGAATTCGAGAGAGAGTTAGCATTGCATGTCAAGCTGCACGATCCATAAGTACCATTATTGGGCATAGTCCCCCGTATCTTCCCCCTCAAGGATGAACGGGTTGTCATCTAAATATGGATCGATCCCGAATGGATCGTTACACTCGTATTTGAAATCTCCTAGCCTTATGTGTTAGCTCATAATCCTGAGAATGATGTGTGTTTTGAATAAGTTCGTTTATAACTACTGACCCTTTCGTTGCCCGAAGTCCTCTACCAACTTGTTATGCTCGAGAAAGAGAATCCGCTGTTCGGGGTGGGCATCACAAATCTCTCGGAGTCCAAAAGTGTAGTATCTATGTTGATCCCGTGGAACCTTCTCCCAAGAGTTGATTTTAGCTGTAGGAGTAATGACATGCCAGATGTCATTTTGCCTCTTGCGGAAAGCCTCTTTGTTGTGTTCAGCATGGATGCGACGGATATTATCTTGTATCTCTTTCTCCTTGGTGAAGGAGTTTTCTGTACCCTTCTTGAATTCCTTTTCGTAGCGTTGGAGGTGGGCGTAGGTAAAGACAGATTCGTCATCAGCTTCGGCCTTCTGGCCTGAACTTTTCTCCTGAGGGTTAGGAGGAGTTGGAGATCTTGGGGTGATTTTATATTGAGATCTGACTTCAAGCATTTGCTGGATTTCAGTCTTTTCCTTCTGCTCTTTGGCATGTTCTGTAGCTGTGAGATCAGTACGAGTGAGTCCAGCTGTGAGGCTTGGGACGCAGGATTTGTTAGTCGGGACGAAGGTTGGTTTCTCTCCGTCCTTAGGCCCCTGGACGATCTCAAAACCGCTCCATTCTTTAGAATCCTCTTCTCGATTCAATTCTGTTCCATGTACCTTGGTTTTGACGGAGGCTACAATCTTCAGATTGGGCATACTCTTCGAGCCTCGAGATTTGACCAATTCAGAACGAGGGAGCCCGAGTTCAGTCCATTCCAACCTGGCATCTCGTCCAAGTTGGACGTTTTTGAGGTGTGTCATGATCTTGTTCCATGAGTCTTTTTGCTCAAACCTTTCAGCTGTAACCTTCCTAAGCCGTTTCTTCAAGGCCTCTGGGAGGCCTGCTTCGTCCAAGGAATGGTGGTAGGTTACAGCCAAATCCATTGCTTCCTGTTTTTAGTTTGTTAGCACCTTAACCTAGTTTTAGAGGGTAGATATTGAGTAAAGAAGAGATTTGGAGAGGCTGTTTGGCTTTTACCTCTCGCTCTGCCTCAGTCAAGACGAGATTCTTCTTCCGATACATGCTCGAGAACTCAAGAACACTGAGTAGTTGACGCTCCTCTTCTGAGATGCCGTACTCTGAATCGTTTCCGAGGACTTCAGGGGATCCTAACGGGAACCCTCTGAAGAGGAACTTACGATACTCACGGGTATTTGGTTCGAAATCGAGATCCATGGAATCCGGATCGCTGCTGAAAAGAAGGTCTTCGTTCAAATTAAGTATTCGTGGGTTGATGGTTTGGTTACGGGAGAGATCGAAACGAGGTCGCTTTGGGCCGATGGGATTCCAAAGATCGAAGGACCTGATGGAAGATTCCGATGCTGGCCGTTTCATAGGAGGTGTTGATGATGGAGTGTGGAAGATGTTGATGTAGTGATCAAAAAGGTTGATGCTTTGTGACTTTGGAGTACCAGGCAAAGGATTGGCGGTGAAACGGTTGATAGGATCAAGCGTAGTTTCTCCCAGTGGAACAGTACGTGCCTTAACAATAGTCATTTCGACGTCGTCCCCTGCACCCGCGTCCCCATCGACTTTACGATGATTATTTAGCTGCATTTTGGCGATAAATTTGAATTCTAGAGTGGGTGTGATAGTTTGGGGATGTTTGATATATATATATTGCTGGAAGGAATGAGGATGATCATATGATGAACCGTACTAGTGTGAAGTTTAGAGACGCTGTGAAATGGAAGAGGTGATATCTAGGCCTACTAGAAGGTGATTCCCCAGTGGCCCAGCATCTTCCCAGTACTACCGGCCTAGGCTAGTTACTTGTGTTATTTATTGGACAACGTTTGTAACCTGGGTGCCTTGGTGCTGAGCTGAGTGTTAGTAAATCTAGTACTCCATCCTAACCACTGCACTTACCACCTGGGACTGCTCTAGATTAAAGGTTACCAACGTACAGTACTGCACTGATTGAAGTTACATAAATCAGAAGGTATCTTACTTCAAACTTCTATTCTAACCTAAAGTAGACTATTATATATTATATTCTTAAAAACGAAGTGTTTTAATACAAGACTAATCTCGCTGCTAGACTAACTCTCGAGATCTCACGATTTTTAGGAACTAAATACCGTTAGAGGACGAATAGTAAAATTGCACTTAATCAAAAAGATGAGGCTGCGCTAGAGCATCTATAAGTATATATATATCTCATCTTTACATACTACATGTAGACACTCAATACGAGACTAGTAGACACCTACGTGTACCCACATCTATTCTCTTGCATTGGAGATGCCCGTTGAAATCTTGACTACGGCGCCCCTGCACGGTACAAAAAGTTAAAGCTAAGACGTTTGGATAACCTGGCACATACAAGTACTAGTCAGAGCGGATAGATAGTGTCTATGAATCTAACGATATGCGACCTGCAGGCCTGTAATCAAGTATTAATATCAGTCTCGTTCCCAGACGTCACAAGAAGTCTGCAGGCATCACTTTGCAATTGTTGCTTTATACCGCGTGTTGAATCATCTCTATTTGCTAACGAGCTCGAGCTCTCTGCCATGATCATGGTCACGGTATCTTCTTCCGCCTCCAACCGTACTGTGAGCGGACCCAAGCTCCAAGGATTCCCTTGGTGGCTTTTACTTGATCTGGTAGGGATTGAGATCTCGAGAGGCGTATTCAAACAAACAAACCAGGAAATTTAATCAGTTACACAGAAGAAGATGCAACTGGGTCAACACGCCGTCGTCCTTCAAGGTGCTTGGATTTGAAGTTACTTTTTCCCTCCTCTGGCCTCCCCTCGTGTATATATCTCTCCATCTACCTCGCAATTGATGAGACGGTTGCCAGGTGGCTGTGAATAGCTATCTCGATAGAGCCTTTCGAATGCCACTTCCCGACACAACTACCTTGCTCAAGCGCTTAAGCCCTTTGGCCAAGTTGACTGGCAGTACAATTACATGATGTCAAGAGCCTTACGCAGGCCTGCAAATACCCTAAGACAACCACGATTAGAAAACTGTAGCATTATGCAAGGTCATGATCATTCAACCGAGGTAAGTCTAGGCACTTAGTGATTATATTATCTAGTGTTTGGTTGCTGATCTCAATGCGATTCCGATTGCGGCGCTAAAGGCGGCTATATATTTGCTTTATACCTCGATATTATATAGTCTCATAATGGATACTATATATCTACGTAATACTAAAAGCAAGCCGGGAACTCACTATCTGCCACTTAACCACTTCTAGCTAATTTCAATCGATGGACTTATGAAACCGCTATGTGTGATCGAAGAATTATATATTCTGAGAACAGCGCTAGCTTGCTACATAAACCACGCAAAGACGTTTATCCGAGGCCCAGGTATTGACATACAACTCAGCGTGCCGGAGCGTTTTAATACAAGACTAAGCATATACATTACTTATATATTCCTTAGCTTCCAATATACAGTCTCGAGCTAGGGCGAGGTTTTATAAGTTTGAATTCGAAATTCCGTGGTTGCGGCAGCTCAGCGTGGTATTATGGCGCCAAGAGGTGTTGCCGGGATAGCTGCTTGTCAGCTGGCCGCCAAGCGTGCCAAGGCAGCGACGTCATCTGTTCATTCGCCGACACGCATGACAACTGCTCAAGCTAAGCAGCACTCACGCGACTTGGACTTGCCGTACCCGACTCAACTCTGTGCAGCACAGCATTCCAATAGTCCTATTTTTACCTTCTGTTTAGTCGCACGATGGGTATCGTCCTCTTTAGACTAGTCTTCTGCTTTGTTTCTTCGAACTCACCTCAACCTCTTATCTGGCGATAGAGCTGATCACGATCAAGCTCACGACACGATGGGACTCTACAACTACGCATATTCGGTCCTGCTGGCGCAGCAGGATGGCGGGAATGGGACCGGCGATTGTGGTGATGGACGAGACTTTACGGATCCGAGGAGTGGGACTACAGACCTTGTTACACAACTCGCGATATCAGTTGCAATGGGAATGTCAGCTTTCCTATCATTCTGTGTACTTCGTCCTCGATGGAATACCCTTTATAGTGCACGGAAAGCCAATCAGGCGCCAGCACTACCAGACCTACCTTCAAGTTTCTTTGGGTGGATACCAGCACTCTATAAGATCAGCGAGGAAGAGGTCCTCAGTGCCGCAGGACTTGATGCTTATGTCTTTCTCGGATTCTTCAAGATGTCTATGAAGATCCTCTCAGTATTCACCTTCTTTGGTCTGTTCATCGTATCACCGCTCCATTGGAAGTTTGAAGGAAAGAGCGGATTTGATTTCAGCCGGCCTGGATCGTCGAACGATACTTGCACCAACGATACGGTCCACACGTGGAATACGGATGGTTTTGGAGGCGGCGACCTGCCATATCGCTTTCTGAAGGACCATGGCGAGCCTAAAATACCTAAAAATACTGCGTGGTTGACTTCATACCTTATATTCGTTTATTTCTTTACTGGTGTCGCAGTGTATTTCCTCTACGACCAAACAAAAAAAGTCGCCACTGTCCGTCAAAAATACCTGAGCCGCCAGAGTACCGTTACGGATCGTACCATTCGGGTGTCTGGTGTCCCTGAGCACCTACGAAACGAAGACGAACTAAAGAGATTTATCGAGGGGCTTCGTATTGGCAAAGTCGAGAATGTCACCATCTGTCGGGATTGGAAAGAGCTTGACAAATTGATGGACAAACGGATGAAAGTTTTGCGGAAGTTGGAGAGTGCCTACACTGTTCCGAAAGGGCAGGACCCACTAACCCGTACCGTCAAGTCCGGGTGGTTCGGCCTTTATGGAAAGAAAATAAATCCAATTGAACAATACACAGGAATGCTAGAGGATCTTAATAATCTTGTTCACGAAACGAGACAAAAGGAGTTCAACCCAGTTCCGATGGCGTTTGTCACCCTAGATTCAGTCGCAGCAGCAGTTAGTATATATTTTTCTTCTTTATGTCTTGGAATATGCTAAGTAGGTTTATATTGGCTAGCAAATGGCTGTACAAGCCCTTCTCGACCCCAACCCCCTGAGTCTCATTGCAAATTTGGCACCGGCACCTCACGATATTGTTTGGCAGAACACATATATCTCCCGGGGACAGAGAATCATCAGGATGTGGATAATCACAATATTTATTGGGATTCTGACAATATTCTGGCTCTTACCCGTTGGTACACTCGCCGGGCTGTTGAACATCAAATCAATCCATAGAGTTTGGCCGTGGCTTGCCGATGTTCTTGCCAGTAACCAGCTTGTGAGCTCACTCGTTCAAAACACGCTGCCTACAGCTAGCTTGACGCTGCTAAACATTGCTGTACCTTATCTCTACGATTGTAAGTCACGCTGCTTTGCGGTATTTCTATGCCATCGGCAACTGACTAACACGATTCAGGGCTCTCTTCGCTCCAAGGAATGATATCACAAGCCGACGTCGAGCGCTCAGTGGTCAGCAAGAACTTTTTCTTCACATTCTTCAACCTCTTCCTTATCTTCACGGTCTTGTAGGTTTCCTCTAAATAGAGCGTAGCAAAAGTGCTCATTAACTAATATTTCAATTATAGTGGCACTGTTTCTGACATGTATAATGTTTTGAAAGATTCGCTGAAAGACTCAACGACGATTGCATATCGCCTTGCTAAATCATTGGGTAGCTTCGCACCATTTTATACCAACCTCATAGTTTTACAGGGTATCGGGATGTTCCCTTTCAGGCTACTTGAATTTGGTACTGTGGCTCTATATGTGGCATCAAGGCCACGAACACCGAGAGACCATGCCGAACTAAACTCACCTCCCGCCTTCCAATATGGATTTTTCCTTCCGCAGCCTATACTTGTCTTAATACTGTGCGTTGTGTATAGCTTGCTTGAAGCTGGGACGGTAATGCTCGGATTTGGTTTAATATATTTCAGCTTGGGATACTTTACTTATAAATATCAACTTCTCTATGGTATGTGCCAATTGCTTTCCCTCAACCTTCTTCTCGACGACTAACTAAGTATATAGCTATGGACAATCCTCGCCATGCAACAGGAAAGGCCTGGCCGATGATTGTGTACAGAGTATTCATTGGCCTGCTTCTATTCCAGGCATCTATGGCAGCCTTACTATCACTCCAAGGCGCCATTATCCGAGGTCTTTTGATCCTCCCACTTCTAGTTGCAACAACCTGGACATGGTGGTTTTTCAGGAAATCATTCTCTCCCTTGATGTCTTATATTGCTCTTAAGAGCTTAAATGACCCCGAATATACGCCGCGAGAGGGTAGCCTTATCGACATCGAGACAGAGACAGTCGATGAAAGCCGAGAGCTGGGGAGTCGATTTGTAAACCCCAATCTAGTAGCCGAGTAAGTAATTGTCCAAGTGGATGGTCATTGATGATAACCAATATTAACGGTTGAAACCATGCATAGATTACAGGGGTTATGGCTACACAGCGGTATTGCCGGTGGGCTTGCCGCACTCCCCGGGATTACGGGGGTGCTACCGGTTATTTCTAGCCCAGGAGGTCATGTTTAGTAGACTATGGCACACGATGAGACAATAAGCATATGATGGCGCATCCTTTTATCGTTGCTCTGTACTCTTTATGCATTCATTTCTTTCTAAACAAAGATCTTTGGTATACATGGGCTGTACATCTACTTGGGTATATCTGCAACTCGGGCATTTTTGGGGGTCGAGCTATATGCATCTTTTACAAGTCTTTACACTCTAACTGTTTTCACAAGCAGAAGCTTTTTTGATATCGTACTAATTCCTCGGACTATAAGATATTTAATTCACGCACCCAGTTGAGTTTCAATTCACGCACTCACTTAGAGGAAAGCTGGTTACGAAACACTAAGCTGGCCACCCTTAAGTTTAAGAAATCCCACCGTTGTTCCAATACATGCAGTTCGTTATCTCGTAAACCAGAATTAATGCTGCTACCCAGTTCGTCTGCCTTCCGTTGACCGCATAGGTATGTAATAGTCTGACCTAGGCGGTAATACTCATAAAATATGAGAGATTCTATTCTTTCATCTGAGCATCCAGTATAATAGCCAATACACGCTAACCCCAGATTTTTTTGCATGGGGCTACGAGACAAGCTAACCCCTATGATGCGCATTTTATGTACACCTGAGCCGACATTTTATCAGTTGAATAGGACTAAATCTTGCATTTTTATTCGGAACACCGGAAAACGAATTTGATAGAAAATAGCCTTTAAACTTTGCGCATAAATATCATAATACTGTGCCGCAAATATTAGTATCCTAGCTATCTTGATCCGTGTAGCCGCGAGCCGCAAGATGGTTGAATAAATCCCACACGCCAGTTGTGTTGCATGCCAGGAACTGAAGCCCGCCGCCATATCTTTCAAAGCACAGAAAACGGCCACAGAAGTTTAGCAACCATTGGAATTAGCCACAGCGTCCAACGAAGATATTCCACATCATTTCGATCCTCACTACCTCTTCATAAATACCGTTTCCAAACACCTCTCATCAGTCCTGTTCAAAGTTACAAAACTATCAATTAATAGCTATTAAGCTATTGACATGGCTGAAAAAATCATGTCGGTCACAATAGAAGCATGTCTCAAGTCCGACTACACAGGCCCCCTTCGGGATACAATCCCAGCTCTACGAGAGTTGGTCACGGGAAATTACGACACTCTTTCAAAAGGGCAAGTAATAGACGGTGGAGGTGAGTGTTGCATCATTAGCCTACGGTAAAACGGAAAGATAACAACCTAGAGGCTGATAGGAGGACATTCCGTGCTTGCAGACATTATAGGTACCCTTGCTGAAAAGATCGAACGACTCGATGTGAGCGATACATCTGAAACCAAGGGATTTGAAGGGGTGGCAACATCAACTGCTAGAATACGAGTACACCCGTACAAGTACTTCAAGTCACTGCCACAAACCATCAAAATACCCATGGAGAATGAAACTGGGGATTGTTGTCCAACAGTTTTGATGCATGAGTTACCTTCGGTTCAACTGGCCGCCTCATGGGACCAACTATTCTTTGAACCGGATATCAAGCCAAATTTGCTGAGATTTGTCACATCTATATGTAAGTCCTCACCTTTCCGATATCACGATGATAGGACGATGATAGATTCGGATGCGGAATGTGATATATCACTATCATTTATTTATTTATAAGGAAGTTTCTTGTTGCTAACAGGGTTTGATATGTATGTCGAAAAACAAAAGTGACCTTCGCAGATCGAGGCGTTAGTTTAGATTGTGTGTCTTGGAATCGAATCATCCTGCTCCACGGTAGTGCAGGTTCGGGAAAAACGACGCTGTGTCGGGCCCTGTCCCAGAAAATTGCTATGCGGTCTTTCTCAAAGTTCAACCGAACAATCCTATTGGAGATTAACACCAAGACAGTGCTATCGAGGTGGTTTACAGAGAGCAGCAAACTAGTGGATGCCCTGTTCGATTGGATCCACACCCAAACAGGTTCCGCACCAGACCATTTCTTTTTCATAATGATAGGTAAGAAACCGGCCGACAAAAGAGCAAGGTAGAAGGATTGGTGGCGATTATGCCTTTAATTTCTTGCTAATTTGTTTTCCGGTGGGATGGTCTGATCGGGTGTATAGACGAGGTGGAATCCATTGCTTCTTCTCGAAAGGCAGCGGCTTCTGCCAATGAACCAGCTGACGCAATCCGGATCGTTAACTCGCTCCTGACGTCTCTAGATAGGCTAAAATGCCGCCGGAACATTCTAATATTGACAACATCGAACCTGCTCGAAGTGATAGATACCGCTTTCCTTGACAGGGTAGATTTGTGTCAGCATGTGTCAGCTCCATCGGTGGTAGCTACATACAGTATCCTTCTCAGTTGCATGCAAGAGCTGATCCGGTGTGGTATCATAATTCTTGAAAATGAAGAGGTATGTATATACCTAACGTCAAAGAAGCAATCTTTCCTTCTACTTTCAAGCTTACCGTGCAGCCATAAATATAATTTTGGACTCTTTAAGCGAAGGTTGAGCTACAAGGGAACATTTTGTGAGGCTGTTGGCGTTTCAACCACTAATTTGTTTCCTTCTCTTGATTTCAGGCGCTATACGACTACAAAATGGCTAGCGTTTTTAAAAATGTTCGGCCGGATTTGCCGTCGTCGAAGCTACTTTGCATCGTTGAACAAGCGAAGGGTCTAAGTGGCCGGGCATTGAGACGAATACCCTTGCTTATGCATGCAACCTCCGTAGAGGACGAATCCATGAGCCTGTCGAGCGCCTTAGATGCTATGCGGCTTGTTGTCGAGGCAGAACAAAGCTCTGCTCGATTGGCTGTAGTAACTGACAGGGAGGTTAACCTCACAGCAAAAGTTCTTACTGACCAGCATTATTATCTGTAGGAGGGAGGATGTTGCAGTTACAAGCTGTTAGTAGAGCTCTCTCAACTGATGGAGAAGCAGATCTTGTTTTAGTCGCCGAAGCCACTACCTTTTTTCTCTCAAAAGAGACTGATAAAATCTCCTATTTTGTTATCCGGAAGCAGCTGCGCTGGATGGCTGAATCGGCTGCATTCTGGGCACCCCACATTATGTTACCAATATCCTAACTGGTCTGTCAGGTGAGAACAAGCGTTTTCCTCCTTGAACGGATGTGGGATAGTTTAATATCATTTCACTAATATTGCTTGAGACCCTGTAATAATTTGGTAACGACAAGCACAGTTCGTTTGCCTTGTAAAGACGTCGGCCGCCGGGGCTGGCCAGACTGTCTAGCTATCACGCGCTAAGGACCGTTGTGTTTGTTGGATTTTGAAATGAAGCGTGAACCAGACTTTCGGGACCACCGACCTAGCAACGAGCTAGGTGCCTAATGAGCCTGCGAACCCGGTTTTCTGAGAGGGGGCATTGCAAAATCTAAGATAATTTGGCTAAGTAGCTGAGCCCTAAGCAAGTGCTTTAATGCTACATATACGCAGTGTAAGCATGCACGGATATACAGACATTCAGAGGAATTCCTCCCATGCTTTAAATTTCGACATCACATTGACCGATCAATGTAGATCTATCGGGAGGGGCTAATTCTACGCAACTAGCTCCAGAAACTACAAACCCAGCTGTTAAGTGTTCCGACTATGTATCTAGTTTTCTTGCCTTTTTCGAACCGCGGGTCAACTGGTGATATGCGCTTACTGTCAAACTCTCTTCTATCCCGAGATTATAATTACTTTGCTCGCTAGGAGAAACAAGGGTCCCGCCATACACAACGGATGGTCGGCGGAGTCAATCATGCTTAAACTTGTCGAGAAATAGCGCAAGCTACAATGCTAGGAGTCCCCTGCAGGGTCAAGCCCCCTTGCCCATCCAGCTTTTTAAGTAAATCATGCGACGCTACGTTACGGCACAGGATTTCGTTTCTCGTCCAGCAAAACTTCCAACCAGGACGTTTTATGATATGATGTTCCAATGACCCCGACTGCATGTCGATTTGAAGTACAGACCACCCTCCAGATGCACCGAAAATCTTCCATTCTTTGGTAGCGAACAATGCATAGCTATGCAGTGCACAGGCGTACATGATATAAATCGCTAGGCTTACAGATACCTACATGATTGTACAGGAGGTACCCTGTTGCATTTTGGACAATTTTAGATTCTAGCCGTGATATCGATACATGTGCTGTGGTGGGTATGCGTGTTTATTAGAGGGTTTAGTCGGTCCACAATTCGGCCGCTTCTCTTCCTCTCCCACGAAACAGCCTATAATTAGGCGTCTAGCCCGAGATGGTGGAGTGCAATACCCTTCATTCTCGTCGAAATCTTCCCAATCGGGAGATATAAAGGCCCAAAGAGGAAAGCTAGAAGTGCCGACAAGGTGACTGGGCGGCAAAGCTCCCCATTTCTTGTTGGAAAGAAGTCCAGTATAGAATCACGGTACTTTTCCGTCCCGTAAACCGTCTGAGGTATAGAACTGGCCGAGCCGGTTAAAACAGCCTAAGAAGGCTACTCCATTTTGATATGTCTACCTACATGTATACAATTCTCATGCCTTGAGCTGGCCTTCGCGCTTCAGAACTACAGAGTCATCCTAGCTTGATAGCGAAGCCGCCACCATGCGTACTATTCCAGTCATTAATATTTCTATTCAGGTTTATTGTCACAGCCAAGACACGGGATAAGGGATTTACCGTCGATATGCTAGCTGTCGTGGTTCGACAATATTCCTGTGACACAAGCTTGGGACCCATTATTACCTTTGTGATCGATGCATCGAACGATAAACTATCGCCATACATTAAATAATGGTATTTTGTATAAAAGTCTTTATTGTTAGTTTTTGAATAGAGGTATCTGTTCCATGCACAACGGAAACGCCCCTGCCCTCGAGGGGTCTCGAAATCGCCCCACCACACACGAGGTACCCCAGCTGTTTCACGGTACCAAGAATGGAGTAAATGGTGGTCAATGGGTGTACTTTCCGCCCAGTCACCGGGCGTATTGATGCCAATCACAAGGCTTATGATGTTGGATTACATGCCTTAGTTTGATTCAATCCTATTTTCTCACATGCATGAATCGTTCGAACGTCTCGACTAGTTCCACAAAAGTTGGCATAGTCCCGTACAACCATGGCCAAGGGCATCCCCCTCTTCGGACGACTAGCTAGTCGACTTACGCTGTACGAGGCAAAAGTTTGGGCTTGGCAGGCGTTAGCCTCGCTCGCTCGGGAGGAGACGTAACAACGTGATTGTATGTTGTCAGCGGAGTTGCCGCTGCCTGCTAGCTAGCTTGTAAGTCAATATTTGGACTGGCGTAGCGTAAGTTGCGCAATTACAACTTGTGCCACTTGGGCTATATCTCGGCCAGAGATAGGCAAAGTCGCGCGGGAAATCTTTCGGCCATGGTTTCAGACATATTGTTGGAAAGTCTATAAAAGCAAGTTGGAACCTCGACATTTCGTCCAGATCAACTAATTATAAGCTGATCGCGACATTGCATGCTATAGCGCTAATCTATAAGACTTATGGTATGTAAATGCCCAACCTCAAAGTCTACAACAGTCAGTCGCATGTTCTTTCTTTCTTTTTTTTTTTTTTTTTTGGGAGGGGGGGGGGGGGGGGTACGAGACAAAGTAGATACGCTAATAACTTATCCTACCGTCCAGTTTAAGTCTATCTTCAGAATAGCCGTACTCGAGACTAGCTAAGGCTACTGACGTTCGGACCCGACGATACATCCTCGTTTAACATATATCCGTCAGCTGGCAACGGCTGCCTTTAAAGCTATCAAAATTTCTTCACTATACCTTTCACAGCACTCCTACATTGTGATGGAGGAGCTGCCTCGGTGCCGATATATTTGGAAGCGATACAGATGCGGAGGGGTGTTCCAATCACACCAAGTGCACCATTGTTCTCAGCATCCGATCAGTGATCCATGCCCCAATGCTTTGGTAGACCACTACCAAGACGCGGGCAAGGACTGCCGTACTTGTGTCGCGATAGAAAAAGCCAATAGGAAGATCATTCAAATGCAAAAGGATATCGAAACGCTCAAAATGGTACAGCCACCTGATACTTCCGCTATCAATAAGTTAAGCGCAGGTATAGCCCAGAGAGTAAGTGAGATAAGTTTGTGGCGGATGCAAGGACATGTTGATAGGTAGTCCATGGACACTTAATGTGCGTCTTTAACAATATCTAAGTACCCCTTACGCATCTAAAATATTGCTTGCCCCGACTAACTCTATATGATAATTGAAATAGTTCTACATTCATAGATAAATTTCGTTCAAGATTTCAATCTTGGGTGGGAGGTACATCAAGCTCGAAGTATATCGGGGTGATAGATCTTACTCCTGGGTTAAAAGAGATGACGTTTATTGATATATATATTGATAAACCTTTTAGATTTAAACGAGGTTTGGAGGAATATTAATTCTGCGGTTATGTTATAATTACCTTGAGGCTGGCTCTTATCCGTTAAATTTTGTATTCACTGCATGTAGTGTCATTCTTTAGAGTCATTCTTTTTTTCCTTATCTGTCTTACGGTGACTATCTACGTCGATCGAATTCTATTAGTTCCTCAGAGTTATCGTATATATTCTGGATTGACTCAGTTATAAACCTGTTCGTGAATAAAACTTAGTTCAGAATGCAACGTCAAACCTAGTCGGCCGTCGGTGTTCGAATTCCCTTAGCTGGTTGATTATATTAACAAGACATTTGATACTGAATGTCACAATGGATATCTATTAGAACAGTATCAAGTACCTGGACTGGGGGCTATAACTAGGCTACAGGTGCCATGTTAAGCCGAATATTATATATGTTACCGATATATATCGATTTACTTAGATAGCCAGCTATAGCTATATATAAGCTACCTAGTGAGTGATTCCTCGAATCTATCAAATCGATCGATCGATTAGGGCGAAGATATATTAATAAGTGAGCATAATAAAGTACTCTCCCTACGGACTCCTAATTATCAACTTAGGAGCAACCGGGTAGAGATACTTATTCGAGCGTTATCCCGATTCGAAAACTTCTTCTGTCTATTCTAGTAACGTTTTGTCGGCCCGGTCGACGCTCCTGGCGATCGAGATAACTTGTTGCATATTTTGTGTTGTGCCACAAAATGTGGCTAGTGGTTCAATGCGCCACACCAGCCCACCAAATGCAGTATCGATAAACTTTGGTGACAAACGCCCCTCCAAAACCGAAAAAAAGTTACAGCGTTCAGACAGCACCAAGCTCTACCTTCACGTCAATACTCCTATCACACCGCCATTTCCTACATTATACCCTCACAATCATATTTTCGAAATGGTATGCATAGTTCGCAACTATTATACTTTGAAATATACCTTGAAAACTAACTCTTTGCACTCCTAGGCAAGCTTTAATCCTGTAAACATCTTTGGTGACGAGGTCACAGAGGAGAAGGGCGAGAATGCGCGTATGCTTTGCAATACCTCCCAGATTTCATCGAATCGGAAGCTTACTTTTATCTCGATTAGGTCTTTCTGCCTTTGTTGGGGCCATCGGTACGGTCACTCTCGCGATGGGATTTGAGCAATAGTGAATGCTGACTCGTGGGGTAGCTGTTGGCGATCTCGTCAAGTCGACATTAGGACCTAAAGGAATGGATAAAATCTTGCAGTCGGCGTATGAAACCCTTAAAAACATCTTGAGATTACTCTCTAAAGCTAATAATGATGTTGAATTAGATCTACTGGCGAAATCACAGTTACAAACGATGGCGCTACTATCCTAAAGAGCATCGCCCTCGACAACGCCGCTGCTAAAGTTCTTGTCAACATCAGCAAGGTCCAGGACGATGAAGTTGGTGATGGAACAACATCCGTCTGCGTTCTATCTGCTGAACTTCTACGTGAAGCCGAGAAGCTTATCGACCAGAAGATTCACCCGCAAACAATAATATCGGGATTCAGAACAGCCAAGGAGGCAGCTTTGAGGGCATTGCAAAAGGCCGCTGTGGACCATGGATCTGATGCAGCAGCCTTTAGAGAAGATCTATTGAACATAGCTAGGACAACTTTGAGCTCGAAAGTTTTGAGCCAGGACAAAGAGCATTTTGCAAAGATTGCTGTTGATGCCGTCCTGAGGTTGAAGGGCAGCACAAATCTTACCAACATTCAAATCATTAAGAAGGCCGGTGGCAAGTTGATCGACTCTTACCTGGATGAAGGTTTTATTTTGGACAAGAAGATCGGAGTTAACCAGCCCAAGAGGTTGGAAAAGGCTAAGATTTTGGTTGCGAATACGGCTATGGATACCGACAAGATCAAGATTTTCGGTGCCCGTGTTAAGGTCGACTCGACAGGCAAGCTCGCCGAGCTTGAGAGGGCAGAGAAGGTATGTAGAGTGTAGAAAATCATATGCATGTATAGAAAAAAAAGCTACGGTATAGCTAACATTTTAACAGGAAAAAATGAAGCAGAAGGTCGAGAAGATCAAGGCTCACGGGATCAATTGCTTTATCAACAGACAGCTTATCTACAACTGGCCCGAGCAGCTATTTGCCGATGCTGGTATTGTGTCGATAGAGCATGCTGATTTCGATGGTATTGAACGCTTGGCTTTGGTAACTGGGGGTGAAATTGCATCAACTTTTGATCACCCAGAGAGCGTGAAGTTGGGACACTGTGATCTCATTGAGGAGGTTGTAATAGGAGAGGATACCCTCATCAAGTTCTCTGGGGTTGCTGCTGGTGAGGCTTGCACTATCGTTTTGCGCGGAGCTACGGAGCATCTTCTGGAGGAAGCCGACCGATCTTTGCATGATGCCTTATCGGTTCTCTCGCAAACCGTTGTTGAGACAAGAACTGTTCTTGGTGGTGGTTGCTCCGAGATGTTGATGTCCAAGGCGGTCGACACTGAGGCTCAGAATGCCGATGGAAAGCACGCTTTGGCTATTGAAGCTTTCGCAAAGGCCCTACGACAACTCCCAACCATTCTTGCAGATAATGCAGGATTCGACTCTAGCGAACTTGTAGCTAAATTGAGGTCTGCAATTTACAGCGGCCATTCAAATTCAGGGTTGGATCTGATGACACCGGGTGGAAAGATTGCCGACATGCGTGATCTGGGAGTTGTAAGTTGCCACTCCTCTACATATGCATATGTTTCACCAACATGCATCCATTTTTCCCCGCCCAAAAACATGACGCATCTCCAGTTCTCTTAGCTAACAAAGTGCTCCGCAGATTGAAAGTTATAAGCTGAAGCGAGCTGTTGTGTCGTCGGCATCTGAAGCTGCCGAGATGTTGTTACGGGTGGATAATATCATCAGGGCGGCACCAAGGAGGAGAGACCGAATGTAATTTCGAGTAGAAGTATATCCCCAGATTGAATTTGTGTCGATAAAAAAAGCATATGGTCCAAATACGGCCAGGTTTTCCGGCGTCAAGCATAGATGTAGGATAAAAGTTCAATATCAAGGATGCATCGATACACTTCAAGACACACATACAAACACGTGCTTTTTACCGTTACTGATCTTCCAGGTACCCGCACCTCATCCGTTCGGTCGCATGACAATGGCGGTTTAGCCAAATGTGCTGGGGCACCAGTTGTGGAATACATAGCATGTTGCATCGAAGGCAATGGAAATTTATATTAGCCTGTCATGGCCGGCTCCAAGGTTGCATGTTATGGAAAAACAATCTCCGCCCTCGCCTGGCCGAACATGGCTTAACGAAAAACTCGATTGTGGGCCTCGAATTACGCGGCTGAGAATGTCGAGCCGATACTTTGAAACCCTCAAAGCACAACATTTGATAGGGTTTGGAATAAATGCAAGCCACGAGAGAAAAAAATCTTTCGGTCAACGTGCATCATTGCATGACATCAATTTCTTCATAACTGAGAATTGAACGGACCACCGGGTGATGAGAACTTTAGGAAAGTCGTTTGCGGTTGGATATTCAACCCTAGGTAAGATCCACTCTTGAGATGCCTGAATTTTCACACGATACGATGCAACAGTCGAGCCGTTCCAACAATCGACAAAGACCGATGCAAGTTGTTAGAACTCAAGTTGCAGCCAAAAACCTCGCACATGATGTTGTCCCACAGTGCAGGGGCGGCTGGGGGGTCTAGGTAAGGTAGTAGTAATAGAAGGTTTTTTTTTTTGAAGAAAAGCTCCCACTGTTGGCCAGATTTCCACTCCTCTATCAGTCCATGCTACTTACCTCTGGCAAAGCAGTTAATTATGACAAACATACTCAAGTTTGTATAGTAAGTACATGGTGGTATGTTCTTTTGATGATCTGGGATTTTCTCATGCAGGCATATGCATTAGCACCAATTGCCAGAGTGGTGTATGGTGGATTCGGCCTCGGCATGGGAAGGTGTCTCCATCGAAACTTGAAAGCACCATCGACAGACTATAGAATGTAGCAAGCTCGAGAGAGTAAAGCTTTGCCCATCAATTACCCCCCATCCTCTTAGCTAGTGGGATATATATGGATTGGCATGATTGCTAGCGTTCGGTTAGTGAGGGAAGTTGGTGGGTTTGGAGACCAATCGAGCATCTGCATTGAGACCGTTTGGTGTTGGTGCAGGCTACTCGTCGAGGTCCCATGCTCGTCCCATGCCCGTTATGGACCAGCTGGCAGCCATTTCACCAAGCAAAATTATTTTTTCATCCTTCCCTGTCACTGTTAGTTAATAGCATTGTTAGTTCGTTTGCTAAGTAAGGACGAGTTAGTGTGAAGCATATGAAGGAATTCGTGGGAGAGGGAAATCTATCGATTCTGATGCTCCAGTTCTCTGCAAAATCGAGTAACGTTGATTGTTGAGCGTCTGTCGATGTTACGTTTGGTTGTGTTGTCTCCCACACAAAAATAAGATTGGCAATTTTGGGGAGGCCCGTTCCTTTTTTGCCCTCGCACGTTCTCTCCCAGCGAACTTCCATTCTCATCCAAACCTCCTCACCCACCATCACCACCTCCAAATCCGCCCTCCTCCTCCTCCATCCTCTCCTATCGCTTTTCCGACCACCGAATACCGACTTTACTACTATCCTTACGACCCGGTGGTCTCACCACTCCATCCTTTTCGGCTGGATGACGACTTGGACGGATGCTTCCTTCGGAGAAGCCTTCTACTGAAAAACAATCTGCTGACAACGCAAATCGACCCGACAAAAAAAAGCTCCTGAAGGAACACCTCGGGAATTCTCCCCAGGGGTCCCTGTAGGACTAAAACCCCACCATTCATCATGAGAGCCTTATCGACAGTAGGCATGCGCCGGAGCGTGTCATTAAATTTCATTTTAACCTTTTTCTTCGTTTTCACGGCTCTGTTGCAGGTCATCGGTGCTGAGAAGGTGGTTCGGAAATCCGCGTATCCAGGGAGTTCTGCTTCGAGAAATGCGGCCGAAATCAATAAACAATTAGACGAGACTTTGTCGGAGAAAGAAACGCAGCTGGCGAAGGGGCAAATCATTCCACCGAGTTCTTATCAAACATCCGACAAAAGACGACGTTCACTTGCCAAAGAAGATATTGAGAATGCAGGAAGCAGGGGTCCGTCTGTTGAGAGTTATGCTGGGGATGTTCCAAGCCCAATCAAACCCGAGGATTCGCTGGCGACAATGGCCAACCCGATTGTCAATCCACCTTCAACTCTTTTTGAACAAGTGGAAAACAGTCCTCGGCCCGTTGATCCATTCACTGGCACAATGAGATCGCTGTCAGATTGGAAATTGGAGGACCTATATATCGCCATTACCATGAATGGAAATATCACAGCGTCGAATCGAACAACCGGGGTTCCTCTTTGGAATGTTACAAGTAGCCCTCTTTGGAATGTCACACGCCATGTCCAGCTCGACGATGACAATGACAATGATCTCGATTGGATAATCGAGCCAGGAAATGGCGGATCTCTGTACTCACACTCTCTTACCAACGGTTTGCAAAAGGTAGGATCTATATTGTCGATAAGTCCATGCCCAAATAGTATATGGTTTCTAACTCGTTTTTCAGGGTGCACTCCAATCTATGAAATATATTTGTGATCATTCGCCTTACCAGGCTAGAAATGGGATGATTTTACGGGGCACTAAAGACACCGATATTTACACCATCAATCCCTTGACCGGGAAATTCCTCTCTACTAGTAGTGGTAGTATCTCAAACGGACTACCAGACAAGTGCATAAAACGAACTAGACTAGAAGGCCTAGACGACGACGACGACGAAGAGTGTACCCCCCGCAAAGTTAGCCTTGCGCGAACAGGTGAGATTAATGTGCTATTCTTATCAATGCTCAAGCTAATGATCTCCTGAAGATTATACCGTCGATATCTCGCATGAAGATAAGGGGCGGTTGTGGACTTTGAGATATACTGAGTGGGGTATTGGCTCGCAGAACGTCGATCTTGAGAAGCAATATAAAGTTAGCTTGGACAATAAATATTTCTTTCCCTTGCCAGGCGGTGGGCTCGTTTGCCGTGACATTGTCGAAGGTATGATCCTCTTATCTCTCCATGGAACCTATTTTTGAGCCAATTGCGCTAATCCTTATGGTATAGATAAACGAAAGTTCAGGGCAAGCTACGAAGAGGCTGTTGCCCAAATATTCGATCTGGCTAGGAATGTTCATGACGAAAGCCTTGTGCTCCTACCACATCCGAAAGCACCATCGCAAGATCACGGAAGAAGGATACTAGCCAGCCTGGAGGGAGGAAATGGTGTTTTCGCTTTGCCAGATTTGTCGGAAGATGGAAATGGCCTTTCCGACGCAGCTACTCTCCCAAACAACAAATGGTTTTCAATGGGCTTGAAGGAGCGCCGAGACGCTCTTCAAGGGAGGCGTACCATCAAGGGTTTTCAGCTCCGAGTTCCAAATACCCTTGAAGGACCTTCATCTGACTCAAATACGTCTGAACAATCGGGTTCGCACGCCGGTAGCGGTGATGTTCCTAGAGCTCGCGGGGAACCATTGAAAGAGAATACAGCCCTCCAGGTTGTTGCTCTTATTATAATGATGTCTTTGATGTGGTTTGCCGGCAGGCACTCCACAGACCTCTCACTAGCACTTCGCCGATTCCGCCAGAAACTCCCAACGCCTTTGCAAAGTGGGCCTACCCGTCAGATACTAGACATCAGCCCCAACACCCCAATGATCAAGGAGACCTTTACGACAGAAGAAGTTCAACAGCCCATCGCTCCAGAGTCCGTTCCGGTACAAATTGAAACCGAAGTTAAGAGCGTTCAAGTTGTCATCAAAGAAGAATTACCACCACAACTCGCCGCAGAAATTGAGAATGAAGCGACACCTGACGATTTTGTTGTTGTTCCAGTTCCACAAATTGTTCCTCCGAACAAGAAAGTTGTAACATTTGCTGATTCTAATGATGCTGATGTCAAAGACGATCAAGAAGGAGGATCCGACAACGACGAGCCAAACGACGGCGACAAACCCTCAGCGCCATCCACCCCTAAGAAAAGTAGAAAGCGTGGTGCTCGAGGGAATCGGAAGAGAAAGAAGAAGAACTCAGAAACCGAAACCGAAGAGAAGAAATTGAATGTTAGCGAGCCAGAAGACCTTTCGGGAGGAAAGGCTGGAGGCTCAATAATCCGCGGCCCTGAGCTGCTACTTCTCGATGAAAACGGCAATGGTCAAGTTGCAGAAGATCTTTTTGTCACCAACACCGTTCTGGGTTACGGAAGTCATGGAACTCGCGTTTTCAAAGGAAAGTTTGGCGACAGAGAAGTCGCTGTCAAGCGTCTTTTCATTGATTCATACGATATTGCATCTCACGAAGTCAACCTATTACAGAAAGTCGATGACCATCCCAACGTCATTAGGTACTTCTGTCAAAAGCAAACGAACTTGTTCCTTTACATTGCTTTGGAGTTGTGTCCCGCTTCGCTCCATGACGTGTTCGAGGCTGCCCAGCACAGGCATATCCTGGACCTAATGCACCCCCCTGAAGTTCTAAGGCAAATGACGATGGGTGTGCAGCATTTACATAGCCTCAAAATCGTCCACCGCGATATCAAGCCACAGAATATCCTGGTGGCAGAGCCAAAGCGAAGTCTCCGAGATCCATCAGAAATCAAACACCCGAAGATTTTGATTTCCGATTTCGGACTCTGCAAAAAACTCGAGGCCGACCAGAGCTCTTTCCGAGCGACGACGGCACATGCTGCAGGTACATCTGGCTGGCGTGCACCAGAACTTCTGATAGGTGAATCCGGTGATGCAACCATATCGAGCCTATCAGAGCATACCAACGGATCCACATCCGATTCGTCGGTACTTGATACTCTGACGAATAGGAGAGCCACACGAGCCATCGATATCTTTTCGTTGGGATGTGTCTTCTACTTCGTTCTTACAGGGGGTGGCCATCCTTTTGGTGATCGATACCTTCGTGAAGGAAATATCATCACAGGCAAATTCAATCTCTCCGGCTTAGATGTGTTGGGTGATTCGGGATCTGAAGCCAGTGACTTGATTGCTAGCATGATCGCCCGAAACCCCAAAGCAAGACCCGATGCTACCAAAGTCCTTACGCATCCATTTTTCTGGTCGGCGGAGAAGAAGTTAAACTTCCTCCTAGATGTATCGGATCGCTTTGAGAAAGAGGAGAGAGACCCCCCTTCGCCTTTGCTGCAAAAGCTTGAGAGTTACGCGAAGCCCACCTTCAATGGGGATTGGTACAAGAAGCTAGATAAAGGATTGATTGACAATCTCGGAAAGCACAGGAAGTATCAAGGAGATAGGATGCTTGATCTTCTTAGGGCTTTGCGAAATAAGGTAAATACCATCGCGCAAACCACAAATGCGAACAAAACACTAATTTTCTTTCCTAGAAACATCATTATCAAGACTTACCGCCAGCCGTACAAGCAACTGTTGGCCAACTACCGGACGGCTATTTGAGTTATTTCACCTCCAGATTCCCAGCCCTCCTCGTCAACATGTTTCATCTTGTGAGAGACGAAATTCAAGATGAAGCGATGTGGAGAACCTACTTTACTTCCTAAACCTCTACAACCTTTCTCCCTCGCGGGAATATTTTACGCAACGTATATATGTGTTTCGATTACCAACATGACGGATTATTGTCTTGAATACAGAAGCTAGCGTGCATGGGGGAACTAGTTGTTTTAAATCCCTTGACTTGATTATTTTTCTTTTTCGTTTGGGTTTGGTCTTCCCTGCATGGCGTTAGCATTGGAGTTAAGGTGTATTGGATATCTCTTTGTTGTTTTTATCTTCCATTATGACTCCAGTTCCACTATGCAGGGATGGGTGTCTGGAATTCAAAAAAAATCTTCGGTCGTTATATTTTCTCTTCGTTATTTGACTCGGCATTACGTGCTTTTCTTCACAAAAAAATATTGGGAGCGCAACGGAACACTAAAAACATGGGTTACTTGGGATAAGGTACATGGGACTCGGCCGGCCATTCGTTTACACACACCATTACAGTACTTTGGTTGCTAAATGCTTTATTTCTGCTACCGCTACTATCACTCATATTATTCTTTTATACGCAGATTATATGTGTATACTGGATGCTTTTATTGCTCGAATCTGCCTTCTGTTCGCGGCTTTTCGTTCACATTTTTTTGCATTTTTCGTTCTTTTCAGTTTGGGACCCTTGGTCTTGGTATCAGCCTCAGCCTCAATCCCAGTCATATTTCTTTTGCGTCAGCAATATTATATTATTGTTCTGCCTATGTCTTGTGGATTTTGATGTTCTTTGAAGCTATTTTGGTATTAGCCGCTTGCTTACCTATACTTATTTAGTATCTAGTGATATATCTAGTCTAGAATAGCTAAATAGTCTAGAAGAATAAAAAAAAGTATTACAATCAATGAATTAACTATGCGATAGTCGAATACGGCTAGGTAGCGTCTATTTTATAAACTTTCGTCGCTTTCTGTGACTACTAAGGGAAAGTGGGCCTTGGATAGGTAGTTAATAAGGTCTAAAACTAATATCTCGCGAAACTAGACGTTAATATATATACATATCTCATAGAAATTTATGACGCCCTAGCTAAGCTATAGCGCTAGATATGTCGATACTAGATCTGGTACTGTTCTTTCAGAATTCCTAGACTATTAAAGAAACGGGATTGCTGTGTGAGGATCGTACCATGCAGGTAGGCATGAGACTGATCTAGTTGGTCGAGAACATTGTTATCTAATTATATATAATGGATCGACTCAATATAAAACTACTAGTAACAATGCAATATATAGTCAAACTCTATCGGATGAATATGGCTATTATGGGACGCCATAGGCTATAGCTGTATACATGTATATAGCCTCGGACTAGTCTCGTACTGCAGACGCGGTCCACAATTTGATCCGCTCTCAAACATTTACAGGATTCATACATATATTGATATCGCAACGTGTATGCTTTCTTTCTTGAAACCTTGAACTGAAAAAGAGTTATTCGAATACTAGTAGCGTTTTACGATAGAGTCACATATAAACACACTACTGAATGGTATCATAATACTATGTATAGTATGGGTGATGTTTTTTCCAAAAGCAGTTCGTGGGATCTGAAACAAGGCTATACTCATTCGAAGGACCCCGGGAAGGGGGGGACAGAATCCTCTAGGTTGATATCCGCAGGAAGATTCTTATAATATCAATAAGAGAAAGTAAACATTAAAAGATTAAATAGTACAGTCGTACAGAAACAAAAAGTGTAAAAAAAAAGTACAAAAAAAAGGAAGGCCGAGAGACGTGTTTGAGGATCGAAATAACCCACCGCATGTATGGCCCGAACCCCCCATACTAATGCCGTTGTTAATCAACCCAAATCCTGATTGACTGTTACCAACCAACTAGGCCATCTCTCGGTATGAAAACACATCCCCACTTTGCTGTATATATACCCTTCTACAAACTAAGAGTTGATTAGTGTCAAAGGAAGAGAGGCTGGCGGGATCCCAGCCATATTATATATATACACGGATAGATAGATACTAATCAATGGGATGTTTCTGATTAGTCCTGCCAAAGGTGACATCCCATGCATGCATATCAGCTCAAAACTTGTCGTCCAAAATTTCCCCATAGTTAGAGTCAATATTTAGTAAATTTGGCATCACTCCTCGCAGTGGACTTTAATCTAAACTTGCAGGGTTGAAAGACATCTCACAAAGCTGAGAAAGCACTAAAAGGCTCAATTCTAATCACAGAATCATGTTACGAGCCTAGGGGGCGTTTATTAAGCACATATATTTATATATTCAGATACTAGCTGCCTATCTCCGAATTTGTCGAGTATTAATATTGCTCATGATATTCAGCCTTCTATGTAGTCTCGGGCCTTCTCGTATCAGATTTTCAAAATCACAAATCTCGAGGTCTCATTAGCAAGCCCCGAAGTGCGACTTAAGTTTTCCGAAGCGCGCAGCCAATAATTATGTGATCTTCAACGACATGGCTTCACTCAAGCGGCCGTGGGACAGGTATATATTATATATACCGTTCGAATTCTTTCCAAGCACTAGTTATACATGTACTATTTATCGAGCTTTAGCACGGCAAAATGGCCCTGCAGACTGTCCTAACCGTTGCATGTTGCATATTGCAACGGCACTCTAGAGTTGTGTAACATTGTCCCGACGCCTCCAAATTTATAAACAATCCTCCAGCCTATCAAAAAATTCGGTATGCAGCCCTCTTGAGACTAGACCAATGCAATTCTTCGCTTTGGCAAACGAATTCGGCTACTGTAAGCATTAACTCTGGTTTACGAGATAAATTTCGAAAGACCTTTGGATAAAAAAAAAGGATCCTAGGAAAAACATAATTTCCTGCAAGAATGGGCCGCCAAAGAAATCACTTTTCGCTCTTCCTCTTGAAGGGACGCTTAATTTAGGATTCCGTGCGTGCCTTATTTGCAGTAGCACCTTTCCGTCGTAGATTAAGCTGAGGTTCCCGGCATCTGATCTCGGACTGGTCAGATACAGTGGAAATTTACGGGGTTTACTAGAATCACCCGATACGTACGCCTCTCCAGCTGTGCTCGTTTGTCTAGCGTTTTGGTAGCCCTGTATCTCTTTATAAAGGATCCATCATCCTTACTGGAGATATGCATTTCGAAGTTTGAGAAAATCAACCTTAATTGCAACCTACAGTGGACATGTGCTACAGGTGCGGAATGTGTCAATGTAGAGATAATCAAGCTGAACAAACTCCCCGCTCCCTCGACTTCTAGCTTACTAGTTCTTCGATTTAGTTAATTTGCAATTATTCTTTCGTTCTCAAATAAATTTTTGTACTTGTACGTCTCACTCTCTATTTAAAAAATGTGTCAGCATATTGTCGCAAGATTCATTGGGTGAAATTTGAAACCAAGCTCGCCGGGACTAAAAAAGACTTTATGATTATTCTTTGCGCGCTATTGGTTCTGCCAAATTCCGCTCCTGAATGCATTTTGCTTTGCTAGTCAGAACGAGGGCGGATCAAAATCGATTTCTAACAAATAAAGAATCTGTTATACGTGAGGTTTCTTGGTTATCTTCGAGAACTTTGAAACAGTTGGGATTTGGTGAACATAAATAGGCTGAAACATTTATCGGCTTGTAAATACCTAGATATCTCTCACACCAGCGTATCGTAGTCGCGAACGTTCGAACTTGTATCAGCGTAGCTACGTGCACGTTTAATAATTCGCAGTAGGCAGATCTAGACCTAGCTCTCATAACCTCTGAAATGGTTTCCATGTTCTCTCTCTATAAATTCCGTTCTTGTACAGTCAATTTCACAACTCTCTCTTTGCAATTGTTATCAATCAGTTCCTTTCGTAGACTTTTCTATGGTCTAAACCTTTATCACAATCGAAGTGCTCTATTTCATTCCCAAACTCCAAAATCCAGCAATGGTTGACCCATCAGAAATTTGTACTCTGATGCCTCTTGATGAGGATACTCAATATGGCAATACACAGGCTAACGACAACTCGAACGACTTCCTAGGAAACCTAATCAGACGAAAGTATATGGGTACGGGTGTACGTCTAGGAGGATTGAAGGCACATCATAAGGCCCATAAAATCCCCGGCCAAAACCTTACTCAAACAGTCCCGGGAAATACCCGATGGGAAACAGGCCAAACCATCAAAATCCGCTTGTTAGGGGGGTCCCAGAGCCTGCGCAGAAAAGTAATCCGCTTTGCTAGAGAATGGGAGAAATATGCGAACATATTTTTTCGAATTTTCCAGGGGGGGCAAATCTGATGTTCGCATTTCATTTGATCAATATAAGGATAGCTATTCGTACCTTGGCACCAATGCTATTACGATTCCTCAGGACACGGCTACCATGAATCTCGCATTAAATGATCATACTACCACGGAGAGGGTAAGGGCTGTGGTGCTACATGAATTCGGGCACCTCCTTGGATGTATCCACGAGCATAGCTCTCCAGCATCTTCAATCCCTTGGAATGAGGAGGCGGTGTACGATTTTTACCAACGCACCAATGGCTGGGATCGGGCAAAAACATGTCACAACGTTCTCCGCAAGTACGACAGAAACACTATCTCTCAGTTCTCGGAATTCGATCCAAAATCGATCATGATTTATACCATCGATGAGTCTGTCCTTCTCCCAGGAAACTCCAGATTCGTTACTTCTTGGAACACAAGACTATCAGCTACCGACAAAGAATTCATCGGCAAATTGTATCCATTTCCAGAGGGTGAGGAAAGACCACGCCGAAGCAAACGTACCAAAAAAAAGAGACTCTAGGCTATCTCTAAGATCACTGAAACTGAAGGTCCCCTAGCTCATTCATCCAGTAGCTCGCCTTGATAAAGTATCGTTTCCTTACGGATATATGCATATATGTCGATCATAGGGCCAGTGTAGTGGGCAATTCGATTCCGAAAACCGAGTCTCCAGACTAACCTAAACACTTGTCTTCCAAAGCTCTAACATACTAACCGATACAATTGAACTCCATTTTAACAAAGCCCGTTTCCTCTCAGGATTTCCGATCATAAGCCTAAAAGAACTCGGGGGAGCCTTTCTAATGGATTAAAAAATGCCGATGTACACCGCGCCGTTTATTTATTTCAGCATGTCCGTTTACTTTTAAACCGGCATAAAAATAGTTTAAATTTTTGATAGAATCCAACTTGTAGCTTACTACTTACTTCATCATCAAATCCATTCTTATCCTCGAATCGAATCCTATTCTATATAGTAAAAAACCACAGTCCTCCCAATCTATAGCGCTAGCTTGAGCCTTTGATATTGCGTTGACTGTTGGAATCTGATCCCGGGCCAAAACCTCCCCGCGCTAAAAGCTTGGCGTCGGCGGGCGACAGCTCTGATCCCTGTACCTGGTAATGACAATGACTGAGCTACTCTAAACCTTTTTTTTCTTTCCATCTTTTGCATGAACCATCCGATTTTCATAGACATCTACACAACCATCAAAAAAATTCATCAGCAATGGCGACACTAGTACCCCCAAAGAGCAAGCGTATTAAGCTTGCAGAACAGAAGAAGGTACTTATGCGATTCTATTTTTCTTGCTTTTAAATTCTCTAAGTTTTTCTTTCATCTTCTAACTATTTTTGATATGATATTTTATAGACCGCAGAGCAAGCGGAATTCGCAGAGATACCTTCAGACCTTCCGGATATTTTGATCCAGTTCCGTGCTTCTGATACCGGCGAAAACGATAAAACACCTATTAAGGTCCCCGGCGCTACTACTGTTAAGCAGCTAGAGCTGCTACTGAACGAATTACTCGGAACTGTATGTCCCGAAGCGCTCCTACAAACGATTCCTCTCTTCTCTGTGGTACAAAATTCTTATATATGTCCAAACTAGACCGATGACCCACTCCCATATACCTTCTGCGTCGCAAAAGACAGTGCCGAAACCAATCTCGCAAACGTAATAGACATCACCGACGACATTTACAGCTCAGTCTTAAAATCCGGCCACAAAACGACCGAAGACCTCCTAACCGTTCTATACACCCCACAAGCCATCTTCCGTGTTCGCCCAGTATCTCGATGTTCTTCATCGATAGCTGGTCACGAACAGGCTATTTTGGCCGTATGTTTCTCACCACAAAGTTCCAGTCGTATGGTCACAGGTGGAGGGGATAATACCGCCAGAATATGGGACTGCGAAACCGAAACTCCTATGAAAACGCTAAAGGGCCATACCGGTTGGATTCTTTGTGTTTCTTATTCCCCATGCGCGAAGTATATTGTTACGGGGAGTTATGATAAGACTGTTCGTTTGTGGGATGCTAAAACTGGTGCTCCGTTGGGGGATGCGATGAAGGGACACAGTGCTTGGGTTACGGGATTGGCATGGGAACCGTACCATCTTAGAACGGAGGAGGATTCGCTGAGGTTTGTGAGTTCGTCGAAGGATTGTACGGTTAGAGTGTGGGATGCGAAGTTGAGGAGGGTGGAGATGGCGATGAGTGGGCATGGTGCTAGTGTTACTTGTGTTAGGTGGGGTGGGAATGGGTTTATCTATTCAGGGTCGCAGGACAAATTGATCAAAGTGTGGGACGGGAAAGATGTAGGTTTATTCTTCAGCTTTTTACTAATGTCGGTCGATATGGGAACTAACAAATGGAATGTCTACAGGGAAAACTACTACATACCCTAAAATCGCATTCACATTGGGTCAACCACCTCGCACTTTCGACTGATCACGTTCTACGTACCGGTTTCTACGACCATACCGGCAAATCCCCATCGACCTATGAAGAAAAGAAAAAACTGGCAAAAGAACGCTACGAAAAGGCGGCAACAATCGGTGGACAAATCATCGAGCGCCTTGTCTCAGCTAGTGACGATTTCACAATGTACCTCTGGGAACCCTCCAAAGACACAAAGCCCATAAAGCGTCTTCTCGGCCATCAAAAGCTAGTAAACCACGTTACTTTCTCACCAGACGGGCGACTAATTGCTTCGGCATCATTCGACAACCATGTAAAATTGTGGGACGCTAGGACCGGTGACTTTTTGTCGAGTTTGAGAGGTCACGTTGGAGCGGTTTATCAGTGCGCCTTTTCGCCGGATTCGAGGTTGTTGGTTAGTTCGAGTAAGGATACGACATTGAAGGTGTGGGATGCTAGGAAGGGGAAGTTGGCGGTAGACTTGCCGGGGCACAAAGATGAAGTTTTTGCGGTAGACTGGAGTCCCGATGGGATGAGGGTTGGTAGTGGCGGGAAGGACAAAGCTGTGAGGTTGTGGAAGCACTAGTGAAAAAGAAAGGTGGGGTGGAGGGGCATGGCGATTGGAGGGGGACATGTGAAGAGGGGAAAGCGTCGGCGGCTGGAGATGTTTGTTGGTTGGATTTCTTTTAATCTCTCGTCTTGAAAAGTTGGCTGGGCGTCGATATTGATCGATAGATGTTGGGTATTATCTTATATCGGTATCTCTGGAGTTACTACATATTTACTTTGAGTCTACGCCTGCGCTATCTCGAACCCGTGCCGTCCCAAGTTCGCTAAACCAGGCACATGAAGCCTAGTCGGATCAATCGAATGTGAATGTGAACATGAATTCAGGGCTGCTAGTGGAGGCGAAAGAGCCCGATTGTGGCCTGACCGGGGTTAAATTCCCCACACACTCAGCACAGGCCGGCACCACTGTTTCGCTTGGGCTTGTTTGAACATTTTGGCCTAAAAATGCGGAAGCACCCCTGGTAAACTAACTAAGTTCAGTCAATCGATCAGGACTGATCTGATAATTGGACATGTGAGAGCGGGATTCGTTCTAATTAATAATATTTCCCCTGGTTGAAATGCTTAGCTATAAGAGAGCTATTAAGCTCCCGAACGTTGTCCTTTTTCACTTTCTTTCTCTTCTTTCTCTCTCTCTCTTTTTCTCTTACCTTACTTAAGTCTCTTATTACCTAAGTATCTGGAGTTTTTCTGTCATTGCATCTTTAAGTTGCAATTGATTTTATATTTTTCATGCGACAGGTGCGCGCTGGTTTGGGGAAAAAGCCAGTTCGGATCAACAATTCGCAACGTTCTGATCACCACCAAACGTTAACACTCGTTCACATCGACAAGACCCTATTTGCATATCCTCTCTCCCACGCGAAACCCACACGCACACGCACCCAAAGACCCCTCAGCCTGCAGAGGAAGTAGGGAAAAAAAAGAGACATGCCCAAAAAACCCGCAATCATGTCACGCAACCGTCCAATAACCTACATCGCCATAATCGCCGCCTTCATCTTCTTCTACTCATACTTATTATTCCCATCGTCGTCATCACGATCAGCGTCGCCGTATAATTCGCCTGAACAGAGTTCTTCATCATCGTGGAAAGGGAAGGGAGATGGATTATTAGATAGTAGTGGTGGTGGTGGGGTATTTCGGACGCCACCGATGAATGCGCCTGGAGAGGTTATTATGCCGAAGTTGGGGAATGAGACTATCAAGTAACTTTTTCTCTTCCTCTAATTCTTTCAAATGGAGTGGATGGTATTGTTTTGGGAGGTTCGAGGGGCTGATAAATTGGTTCTACAGGCAGGAATTGGGAAGAGCGTCTTGGAAGGTAATACTAAAACTTATTACCATATGTTGAAGTGGTATATAAAGTATGGATCTAGATGAGATGGGAGCGCTGATTTTAGGGAATATCCTGCTTTAGTTACTACACACCATGCTGGCACGATTCCCCGAGAAACCAACAATGGATGAACGAGAAGCCTTAAAGTCTTATCTCTATCTTTTCGGACGGTTATATCCTTGGTAAGAAACAATCCTGTCATAAGGTAGTTTTTGATATCACAAGCTAACATATATCAATTTCCAAAAGTGGTGAATGGTACTTGAACCCCCTCAAAAAAGAAAAAAAACTCCGACTTTAAGATATATTCAAATCTAACATATAAATATATTTTTTTTCGATATCTAAACAGTGCAACCCATTTCCGTCTCCTCCTCCAAAAATACCCTCCACAAACTTCATCCCGAGACGCAGCTTCCCAATGGGGTTGCGTAGTCCACAACGTCGTTAACGAACGTTTAAGAAAACCCATCTTCGACTGTGGTACCATAGCCGATAAATACCACTGCGGATGCGCTGAAGAAGATGAAAAGAAAAGGAAATTAGAAAAGGAAGGGAAAGCAGAGGGTTCTGGTTCCGAATTGGTTGAGAAACAGAAGGTTGTGGATAGAGATGGGGAGGAAGAAGGGGAGATGAAGTTGGTTAAGGAGGGGTGAGTGTTTACTTCCCGCTCCCCGCACCTCATCTTTTTTTTAAAAATCTCGCTTTTCTTTTCTATTGGGGTACTGTGGATTTTTGTTTTGTTCGTAAGTTAGGGAAGGGGATAGGCTAATACCTTAGATTGTGAACTCATAGGTTGACGAGGGGAGGGTGATTTAATATTTTTCTATGGAGAAAGGGTATGGTAAGTATCGAATCGATTGTGTATATGAATATGTTTTGGTTTGGCGTCTTCTTCTATAGCTATCTTCTTTGGCCTGCGTTCTAGATGTGTAGTTTGTGTGTACAGTTTTATTCAGCTTCCACTTTACATATTACTAGCTCCTGGTCGACTGGTACTTACAGACGTAACCTAGCTCCGAGTTTAGTTATTAGATGTCATAATCCACAGATTAAATATTCCATCCAATGAGATATTTGAACGATCCAGTCAAAATCAGACCATAGTGTATTTTTATATATATATTCCATTTCCAAAGCTAAGGACTCAGGTGATAACTATGACCATACATACGTCTATAGATGAATCCCCCAAATTATATAGAAATAAAAAACAAAAAGAGAGAGAGAAAAATCGAAGAAATTATATACGCGTGATGCACGAAATTTAAATCTATTACAAAAATAATTGCAAAATGATGTATATATATGCGAGAGAACCATGTAAGTTTCAAGGTTAAGATGCTAAGTATGTGGATAGTAAATGGTTTATATAAGTATATATAAGGTTGAGTAAAGTGAGATTGATAGAGAGAGAGAGAGAGAGAGATAGAGATGATCGGGAAATATATGTCCAAGAAGAAGACCCTGAACTCCCGCTTTGAATGTTCCATTTCATCATGCCATGATTCAAAATAAATAAAAGTAAGTAAAAGGAAAAGAAAATAAAAGAAAGAAAGAAAGAAAGTTAAAAAAAGGCGTGTATCAACCAAGGCCCCCAAAGTTAGCAACCGAATTATACGTTCGTTTCCGCCAATAATAAGGGAATGAAACCAAGTCAGAAAGAAAAGGGAAAAAACTAATCGGGGCTCGCTATGCGCAACATGAAATATGAAAACCAAAAGCGGAAGAACGGATGTGAAAATATAGAAATTAAAAATGCTGTTAACGTATGGTATATAAAGAGAAAGGTAAGAGGGGTCGCTGAAGCAGAAGAAGCAGGGTCACCTGCTAAACAAGAAAGAAGAAAGAAAAGAAGAAGAAAAAGAAGCCAACCTCCATTAAGTATTTCAACTCCGTGAAAGAGAAAATTGTGGAATATGCAATTCAATCATCCAATGTAGAATTATGCATCTCGAAACACATGCATGAGACGGATGAAGCAAAGACAAATGTATAAATATAAACAGTTGAAACCAAGAATTGAAAATTAAACTTTTGTTTGTATGAGAAAAGAAGTGGAGGTTGAAAGAAAATATAATTGTACCGATCACGTGGGTCAGTAGTTAGTAGTGGCAAGTCAAAGAATCGAAAAAGAGGTATAGAGTTTAAAAGTGGCCGTAGTTTGGTCCTGCCAGGAGAGGACTCAATGGTGGCATCGGTGGCAGCAACTCAACTTCTCGAGGTTGAGAACTTCGTTCAGCAGACCGAGCTCTCTGCTGCCCTTGCTTTGGCCTCGGCGACGCCGGGGCATTGTGAGAAGCATTTCTCGAGCTTCCTGTCAGGGGTTGCCGAGGGGGTATGGGCTCGGTTGCAGCATGAAGAGGTCCCTGGCGGATTCTCGGCGAGTCAGTAGGGAGTGGAGGAATTCCCGGAGAATGCAATGAAGCTTGCTGAGCTAGGATAGCAAGCTGCGAGACATCCACGCTGCGACGTTCCTTAGCTCGCATCCGGAATGACCCGATGAGTTCGTTAATGCGAGGGGATAATGGATCATGATCTCTAGATTCCCGTGGGACTTGGCGAATGGTGGCTCCTCCGTGGCCGAAAGAAGCATTTCCTGCCAAGCTTGATGCGCTAACAATCGATTCTGCAGAGGATAGCCGTCGATGGTGTTTGATTGTGGAGGGAGTGGGTGGGGACGGCCAGTCGATTTCTCGGCTGGCACGTTTCCGGCCACGCTCAGGGTCAAACGCTGTATCAGGTGCATCGTGGATACCGGACATGCGCTTCCTGCTGCTGGACTTGCCAATGGTGCTCGCCGAAGGGGAGGGTTCCCTGGGGGTCGGTAGTGGCGGAAGGGGGATATCTAATTCCTGGCTATTTCGACGATCGCTACGACCATCATAGCTCCGCCCGTCCTGACTGGGTCCGCCGTGGCTACGTCCATCATTGCTCCGAATGCCCAAACCCATCGGCTCATCTTTTCGGCTGCTCATCGCAGACTTCGATGTCTCGGAGCGGGTATCAAAGCTAACTCTCACACCGCCAGCCGCCGCCATCTGCTCCTCTGCCCAACAACCGGCCCAGCAATCCGACCAACTTCCCACAAGCCAATGGAAAATGTACCTATCCATTTTCATGGTGCTACAGAAGATCATTGCCAGATTCGATAGACCCATACGGGTGACATCCTCCGCGAGTCGGACATTCGAGAGATGATTCGTTAAGAGTTGAAGTAGATAGTAGTTTTGCGGTGGTAAAGCCGAAAGCATGTCAACGAATACTTGCGGTGGTTGCTTTGCATTGGTATTGTCGCGGACCTTTTCGTATAGATCTTCTTGGAATTTAGGAGGCAGGATTGGTTCCGGGACTAGAAATATATTTGCTTAGGAACCACTATCTAGAGTTATCAAACTTGTGCAAGAGAATAACTTACGTGAACGGATGAAACTCTTCAACAAGCTGCTAGCAGTGTTGACATCATCTGGTGGATCCTGAAACAAATCAAGATCGTGATTGCGAGAGAACTCTTCTCGCATCTTATCCACAGCCGCCGTACTTCCAGGCACACGGTAAATACCCTGCTCTTTGGGCCCATGGACGTTGAGATACGATATTAGCCGATATGCCATGGCTGGTAACCAATATGCAGAAGCATCAACACCAGGGACTAGTTCCTTCGCAACTCTGGTTTTTATGGTCGCTTCCGGCAATGGCATGCCGACAACGTCGATTGGGGGTTTCGAAGGGAATGTCCCAAAGCTGGTTGGCGCGAATACTGCCGATTTCGGATTCTTCGAAAATTTACCCCATATGTTCTGTCCCTTGATAGACCACTTCTTGCTTTCGCTTTGGATGGCTGCCTTGGAGGCCTTTAGTTTAGAAGTAATCCGCCCGTCGGTAGAAGAAGATCGCTGGCCGGATCCCGAAGAACTAGGAGGCTCGGATGGCCGCCTTTGTGTTTGCTGTTGTGGCATTGGAGGCGGTGGAGATGAGGGATTCGGGACCTCTCTAGGGGTTCGTGGGTAGCTGCTCATTATCGGGGACTCCTTGGTTTTTGTTCGACCTCTTCCAAACTTGCCGAACCCAGAGTTGCTGGGAGTAGTCGCAGTCGCAGATTGTACCTCTGGCATGTAGTATTCTCTTTCCTCGGGCTTTCTGATCATGAGTTTCGGGACAGCCTCTTTCCTCCTCGGCTTCTGGAGCGTATTTGGCTGCGAAGGTGACTTATTGGACCGCATATCGGATAGTTGATCTTCTTTCCCTCGACGACTGGCGGGCGCTGGCAACGGAGGTGTAGAGCGAGAGTCCTGGAGGTAATAGTCGGGGATTTGGACACTAGAAGAGGCTGCCGATGAATTTGAAGGGGCTCTGCTCCTTGATCGTTCTCGAATAACTTCGGATCTCTCCTTAGACCGGTGCCTTTCCCTCTCCCGCGAGGTAGAGGGCCGGGCCGGTAGATCCTTGTTGTGCTTTCCCATTGTAACGTATGTTCCTCTCACTCTCAATCCTAATCTAGCCTATCACTTTGCAATCCAGGGTCCGATGATGACGACGAGGCGACTAGGGTCGGTGGAGAAAGGGGGGAAAGAGAGGGGGGAAGAGTGTCGAAGGAGAAAGGGAAGAGGTCGCAGGTGCGACGTGAAAAGGCGGCGGTCGTGATACAGGAAACCTGCTGCTGCGATTGCCAGAGGACAATGTTAGTATGTAAGGATAATAGACGGAAGGATAAGTATGAGTAATGACGATAAAGTTGGGGATAGAAAGGCGACGATAGGCAGGATATGTACAGCCTTGCGACCTGAAAGCATATGCGCCAGGCAATGCAATATAAAAAATTATATATAAATATATATAAAAAGATAGGGACAAAAGGAAAATGAAGAATAAAAGTAAACCGAAAACGTTGATAGGCCTATACAGAGCAGGTAAACGCAGGTTGACAGCAGCGGATACTCACAGTAGCGGCAGGGGAAGGGGAAAAAAAAGGCGGGCTGCTATCTGGCAAGCTGCATTGTGGCCAGGGGAAGTGGTTGAGCTTGTCTTGGGATTGGCTGACAGGCGATGGATTGGGAACCTCGTACTCCAGATGCAAACAATCCCAAATTCCCAGACCGAAAAATAAGAAAAAATAAATGCGAAAAGGGGAACGAGGTTTTTTGTTTTAAGGTATATGATGTATTGCGTAAGGAAAGAATATCAAGAGATATCAGTGGGAGGAACAGGATGAAGAGGAAAGATCGCAATGCGCCAGATAGAAAGGAGGGGTTAATTGGCAGGAGGATCGATACGGGGTTAAGGTCAGATGCACCTGCTCGCAAGACAAGTCAAGAAACTTCTTTCGGTTTCCCACTAAGAAAAGCAGCTAGTTTATCTTTTACTATCCACAATGCCAGATAGCTTAAAAGCAGCCGATCGAAGATGCTAAGTGTATGTAGGTATGATTTCGATTGATATGATGAAGGGAGGAGGGGAATGCGGTTTTTTTCTTCGGGAGCGCAAGAACGGCAGAAACAGGCAAGAGATGCTCTTTAGAGGAATATATTCACCTAGTTTGCGAGTTTGGATCCGAGAATTTTTGACGAAAAGAAGGAAAGAAAATAAGAAAAGGAAAAGGAAAAGGAACCTGAAGATTCCAGTTCAACGTCCGTGTGATCGGTATGGTATGGGGGCCCTTGAAAACAACCGATCCTCCAGGGTCGAAAGAATCCAGGGTTCGAAGAAGAACAAGAATAAAGAACAAGAACAAAAAGGGAATATGTATGTAAGAGCAAGCAGGAAAGGGCGGAACAATCCTGGTGGATATCGCAGGTACGTACAAGGAAGAAGGGAGCGGCCTGAGGGCAATCCGTGCTAGTATATACTACTAGTATGTAGTATATGTAAGTAGTATGTCACTATCGTTTGTTCGCTCGGGTTCGGTCGTTCCCTCAATCGCTCGATCGAGGAGGGAGAATTAAAAAGTGGGTCGAAAAGCACCGGCTCAGAAGCGGGACTAGTTGATTGTCGAGGGACCTAGCTGGACAGGTACTGTACTTCTTAACGGCTAGAAATAGCAGCATTCGACTTCAACTTTTGAGACGGGTCGGAATGATAGAAAGGCCAGAGGTGCCTGTTAGTTATCAAGTTGATGGCGATATATAACTTTTCTTGGTTTTGGTTTCTGATTCAATTGGAAGTTAACTGTTGGAATGATCCTGCCACCTCGAACAGTTAATTAATTAAAATGATGTTAATTGTTTCGGTTTTGCTTGGTGTTTTCGAATAAGTTGATAACAGGTCGTAATCAGGCCAAAACATAGACCGTCCAAAGCAAAAAAACAACAGTGTCAATATGCAACTGGAGCTTAGTTGGCGTCGTTCCCGTGACTTTTCGGGATGGTGGTGATGATTGTGGTTGGTGTGGTTGTGGTTGGCTGGGTGGATGTGGAGACCTGACGGGTTTTTCTCGTCTGATGGATGCAGTGTAAAAAAAGAGACGGAACCAGCGTCGATGAGAGAAAGAAAGTTAAAAAAAAAACCTTCTAAGCTTCTTGACCGAATGGACCGGACCTTGGCCAGATATATACTCAAGTAAGTATATAAGTATATGGTTTCTATATTCTGGTGATGGTTTAGTTTCGATCGTTCGTGGTTAGTTATATAAATAGGGCTGTGCAATCGACAGGACTCGTTAGAGAATTATTCCGCCGCCGTCGAAGGAAGAAGCAAGGAGGCAACGGGTTTCACCAGCAGCAAAGCAGCCAAGCAAGCAGACAAGCAGATATATTCTATAGAATATATATCAGTAGCAGTTATATATATATATATAAGATCAAAGGGGAGTAATTAAGTAAATAAGTAGTACTTACTAGACTATTTTATGATATCTGCAACTGACAGCTATCCTTTTTTCTCTCTCTCGTTCCGCTTGAACAAGAGCGACTTGGTCATGGGAAAGAAAAGAAAAGAAACGAGAGCAAGAACAAAAGAAAATAAAAGAAAAGAAAGCGAAAAAAAAAAGCTGTTCCTGCACCAGACTATAGACTACTCAGTATAGTCTGTCATGTATGTATGTCTAGTCTGTAAGTCCTGTGCCTGTGCCTGTGCCTGTGCCTGTTCCTGTTCCTGTTCCTGTCGGTCCAGCGTGTGCCTTTTTCTTTCTTTTTCTTCCTTCTCGTTTGGTTGTCCCTGTTGGTCTCATGAATGCTCTCGCTGGCTGGAATGGTGGACATGGAACGTTCCATCAACCAAGCATAATATCAACCATCAACCATCACTTCACTTCACTTGACCACAAATGCAATAATACCAGACGGACAGCAGTCCGAATAAGTTTATAAACAGTAAGCTTGATATTCCTAGCTTCAATAACCTTAAATCTCATGCTGACAACTTGGCTCAAAAACCTTTGTGACCCAAAAAAGCTAAGCATGTATCATCCCAACTATGCAACTATAACTACCTAACAGGTCGTACACATTTAGATTCGTCGATTTACTTGAATCCAAAAGTCTCTAAAAGTCTATATGCATGCAAGCCCTTAAAGCTTTGCCCCCCCAAAAGGGTACTGGTCAGGCACCTTTGATTTCTCAGCTTCAAATCCCCATTGGCTTAGTTCTCTGTGCCTGGCGCTGCACGTAATCGATCAAAGGAGCGAGTAGGTGCCAAAGCTGGTAAAGAGGTCCGGGTACAGGTACAGGTACAGGTACAAGTTCCGTACCTGACCCGACAGCCTAAAAAGCCATTCGACTCGACTCGACTCGACTCGAACCGGCCCACACCCACAATGTTAACGTCACCCACCGCTTTAAACGAAGGACTAAACTGACCGACTGATCGACTGACTGACCAGTCTGCATCTTTAGTCTGTCTGCATGCGTGCTGAAGAATCAACCCATCGGATCCACAGTTATCATCAGGCACGGTGGTAATTGGTCCCTTCGATCAACTGACCTACACTACATGCATTACATGATGGAAATCCTCCAAAAATGCTTTATGCAATATGCCAAATTCGCTGTCAAAAATATTCTGTACTTGACTTCACCTGCTTGCTCAATTTATTGATCACAGACTCGCACGATCCCGGGACGGACAGTACACGGCTTGTAAGTAAATGTATGTAAGTTGGTACCTAAGTCATGTCTTGCGATTCAAAGACAATGAACCAGCCAGTCGCCTGCAAACGGCTAGGAACCTTAAACAGTCCACTGGAACAAGAGCCGATGGATGACCTTTCTAACAAGTACCAACAAACAAAAGGAATAAAAATAAAAAAACAAAGTCTATCCATGTCAGTACCCTATATCAGCTATCCCACGCTACTAGCTTGCCTAAGAATTTGGATCCATGGATAGGTGGACGGATGGATTAACAGATTCTGAATTCCGACAGCGTTGACTGCAAGCTCGACAAGATCATACGACAAGTTATGTCCTCCGTATCGGTCTTCTAATCATTCAATCGGCCTCCCCTTATTCCGTGGCTAACCAGCTATAATTGTAATATTAACTCAGAGCCTAGTACTAGTTTCATATAAATTTGCAAAATACCGCGAGAAAGATTAATTCTCTCTCATTCAAAATAATGATGATGATAATACTCCACAATCCTAGTAAGCTCCAGTATAGTTTAGCCTCAATATCCTTATTTCTTCATCCTCTTCTTGTTCTGTTAGCTGCAGCTGTTTCTTCCGTTAGAAACAAAAATATATCCGATTCTGCCGTTCCAAACCGGCGAACCGCAAGCGCCAGCCCTACACGGGTCAGTACCTACAGTAGTAGACTTAGCTAACCGGAACCTGCATATCACCCAAAATCAAATATCTTCAACCTGCCACAGGGGCGTTTCGTTTCAATTTTTAAATATATTCTTTCAAACAGAAACAGGATATATTAGTCTTTTCTTTCTCCTTCTAGAAGGCGCGAAAGATTCCTACTCGGTAAAACTTCAGTAAAGTAATATTAAAATGTTTAAAAGTTATTTTTACATACCGGTATCGTATCGTCTTTTACTATAGATAATCAGATTAGCTGTAGGGGAACTAGACCCGGACCCTTGCATTCTACTACGATTAATATTCCATCCAACGAAAGAAAGAAAAAGTCTTAGATCTTTATTTATTCTGGTTTTAAACAAGAGGCAGGGTTTTGGATAGTATGATGTTGGAGGAAAGCTTAGCCTCAGGTACCCTTCCGCAGAGCTCGGGGGTATTTCGAGAAAATGGGAGCCCATGCAAGCTCGGAGCTATGTTTTTCCAGCCTTAATTATGAGTAGCAGCTTGATTAACTTGATTAATGATTCCCTGTGGACGCTTGAGGCTCATGTACGAAGAAGAGATTTTGGGGCTAGTGGCAGATGCACCGCCGTATCTTGAAACGTGGCTTGCACTGTGCCTTTTCGTGGTGGCTGATAACGGATATCGACAAAAAGTGGCTAATGAACAAGAAACATTCTGTAGAAACAAGCTTAACCGTTTTTTTTTTAGACTGTACACTCCCATAGCTTCATATCTACACTCGCTTCCTAAGTTAATCTACCGAGCGTATCACTGTCTAGCTTGGATACTTGGGGTTTTGAGATATCGATATCGTGGTTGTGAAAATTAAATCGAAGCATGGGAAAAGAGTGCCAAGTCTTCCCGGCCAGCTTTCCGTTCGCGTGGAACCAATCACATCGCTCTCGCCAAAGAAAAATTTAAGCTTCTTGCGACCCAGCAAAAAAAAAAAAGTGAGAGAGAGCCTCCAAAATCTCTTTCTTCAACTTTCCCCACAACTAGCGATTCGATTCCAATCCACCATCATCATCACCACAATCGCATACCAAACCAAAAGTTCACAATGGTTTCCTTCTCCTGCGAGGTATTACCACTAACCTTGATCCTCCAAGAATCAATTTGAATCCCAGCTAACAAAAGGAAAACCCCAAAAAAAAAGGCGTGTAACGAAACCCTTGCCAAAAAGAAACTCGACCAACATCGCGGTCGCTGTCGTCAAGCCGTTTACACATGTCTTGACTGTAATAATACCTTTTACGGAACTTCGTATCGGGAACATACTGTGCGTCCTTTCTCACTCCTCTCCCTTCAATTTCCTTTTGGTACTATTAAAAGACGCTGACATCAAGCATAGTCATGTATCTCCGAGGCACAGAAGTACGAACGAACGGTATACAGAGGGGAGAAGAAGAAGGGGAAGAAAGGTGGTCAGCAGAATGGCGTTAACGGTGGTGCGAAGGTTGAGGTTGTGGCTCCTGCTCCCGTAGTTGAAGAGAAATTCGAGGAGCCGGTGCAAGAGACGGTACAGGAAGAGGCTGTCGAAGTGGAGGTGAAGGAGGACAAGGAGAACAAAAAGGACAAAAAGGACAAAAAGAAGGAGAAGAAAGATAAAAAAGAAAAGAAGGAGAAAAAGAAGAGCAAGGACGCCGAAACAGAAGAGCCTACATCACAGGAGGAAGATGTTGTAATGACCGATGTTCCTAAAGCAGCTGACGAACCTGCCATTGAGGAGAAGAAAGAAGAGAAGAAGTCCAAAAAGGAGAAGAAGAGCAAGAAGGAAAAGGTGGAGGAACCCGAAACTAATGGTTCTACGGAAGAGGCTGCACAGGAGGATGAAATGGCTGCGGAACCCGTAGAAGAACCCAAATCAGACGAGAAGAAGAAGTCGAAGAAGGAAAAGAAGGAAAAGAAGAGCAAAGCAGAGAAGGTGGAAGAACCCGAAGTAGTTGTACCAGAGAAGACAACAGAGGTCGCAGAAGAGCCCAAGTCTGACAAGAAGGAGAAAAAGGAGAAGAAAGACAAGAAGGAAAAGAAATCTAAGAAGAATGTCGACGAGGAACAAGAGAAGTCGGGGGAGGCCCATCTTTCCCTGGATAACATCGTCATGGAAGACACGACCCCATACCCGAACGGCGTTGCACCATACACCTCCAAGAAACGCAAGCGCGATACCACCGAATCCGAGGAAACCCCAGCAGCTAAGCAAGTTATCACCGAGAAGGCCTCCGAAGAAACCCCAGCCCAGGCTTCGATAGCCAATGGCGGTGAGGGGGGGTCTGATTTCATCTCTTTCAACGACCTCGAAGAAAAACCCAAGAGTAAACTTCAGGAACGAAAAAGACCCGTGACTGAAAAGGAAATTCTACGGGACGAAAAATTCAAGGCTAAAAAGGATAACTACGAAAATGCTTATAAGACACTCAAGGCTGAACTCGAAGCGAAATCTGCAGAACCAGCAATGCCACCAGCAAAGAAACAAAAGTCACAATCCAAGAGGAAGGCGACTGCATCAGATGTCAAGCGTATAGTTAGAGACGTCATGGCTCACCCACTTGTGAAGGGACTTACGCCGAAGGAAGCCAAGCTTTTGAAGAAACAACTACGGAGGGACGAGCGCAAGAAGAGAGTTCTAGCAGCTACCTAAAAGGAAAGAGAGGCGAAGAAGTCATTAAAGGCTTCACCTAAAGTCCTGAAGGATAAAATGGAGAAGTTGGCGGCAAAAGTTGAGAAGGATAAGAGAAGGCAGGCTAAGTTAGAGAAGCAGGTAGAGCAGGCCACTAAGAAGCCGGGTGATACCAAGCGGCCGGAAGCTCCTGCTACGGAAGAGTAGAAACTCTTACCGCGATTCAATCGGATATCGGCATTTTCATTTCGAGCGGAGTGTATTATAGGAAGAATACTTGTATCATATATCATACCATATCATATTTTTCATTTTATTTCATTTTCATTTGTCTCATTTCATCTCTTCTATCTCTCATAACACCACCAGCTGTTGTCCACGACACTCCGACAACTAATTGCAATTACTAACATTGGTCAATGCAGCGGTCCCAAGAAAGCGACAAGCCGCCACTAATATTTCCGGTGCAGGTACAGCTCCCAACGTGCTAACCGTCCAGCACAGCTACTTTCAGAGCTATTCCGAGCATTGCTTTGGTCTGGGGTGGCACTAGCGAGAATGCGGGGCGCCCGACGCCAGGTTTGGGAATGGTCAGCTCCGTCATCGGAGTCGTTCAGTCGCAGTTCCGGTGCGACACCAAGCTATATGCCTCTAACACCCGCCCCGTAGACAACCGAAGAGGCGAATCAGCGTCGTCGGAATGGAAAAAAAAAAGAAAGATGTCGCACAATTGCCTAGGTTCCAGTCATCCCCAAAGCTATATTAAGCCGGACGATCTTCTGGTTCTTTTTTTCTCCTGTCCTTTGCGGTTGTTGAATCACTATTTATAAGCTTAAGCTTCGGTTCATTTCATACGTTCAACATTGCAACTTTATTCTCGTTCAAAAACCTCACTAAATTCTATCGTTACAACGGTATTCCTTCAGAAAACTACATCGTCTGATATCAATATCTAAGCCAAGGGGCCCTTGCATATCCAATTGGCACTAGCACTACCATCTTTTTTTCGGGAAGCTATCAAAACCAGTCGCATAAAAGCCGCAACCGTCCGTTTACACATAGAAACAATGGTTTGGCCACCAGAACCCACCTCGGAATTCGGTATGCAATTAATTAATTGTCCAACCCAATACTTTATTATTCACGAGAGCTGACCTTCTACTATTAGACTGGAACAATCTCGGGTTCGCCATCACCGAAGGTACATCTCCTTTTGTATGAGAATGCCTTTAAAACCCCAATTGCTGATGTAAATTTGCCCCGCAGTCGCCGGCCATGTCGAGACCTACTACAGCAGGAAGGAGGGCAAGTGGACAGAACCCCAATGGATCACAGACCCATACGTTAAGATCCACGGGCTGGCACCTGGAATGAACTATGGTATGTTATTTTTATAGAAAATATCACTCGGGGGTAACATGTAAACTAACAGTGTATTCAGGTCAACAATGTTACGAGGGCCTCAAAGGTGAGCTTCAACAGTCTCGTTCTTACCACCAAACCAGTATTATGTTAACAGTAGAATATAGCCTTCCGTCAAAAGGATGGTCAAATCCGTATCTTCAGACCTGAACAAAACGCCCTTCGCATGCAGCACTCCGCATCCTTCATCTGCCTCCCAGAACCCCCCGTCGACCACTTCCTAAAATGCGTTCATCTCGCCGTTGCCAATAACGCCGCCTATGTCCCACCATACGGTCTAGGTGCTGGAATGTACATCCGTCCGCTCCTTTTCGCTACCGGTGAACAATTGGGTCTCAACCCGCCAACCGACAAGTACACACTCTTCGTCTACGTTATCCCCACGGGCGTTTACCACGGAACACATCCTATTGACGCTTTGATTCTCGACGACTTTGATCGTGCGGCACCACAGGGAACCGGAAGTGCTAAGGTTGGAGGGAACTACGCTCCTGTGTTTAAGCATGCGGAGAAGGCGAAGCAGATGGGATACGGAATTACCTTGCACTTAGATGCTAAGATAAGTCCCCTCTCTAAATTTGGTAATCCGATTTAAAAGCTGACAGACTTAGCACAACAGAACACATATTGAGGAGTTCAGCACATCGGGTTTCATTGGTATGATCCATGAAAATAAGGAAACCGGAGAGCCAGCCAAGATCGTAGTCCCACAGAGCAACAGCGTTATCAACAGTGTTACAGTAAACAGCTGTATTGAAATCGCAAAATTCTTTGGATGGAATGTTGAGTATAGACCCGTAAGTGAATCCCCCATACAAACTGAAGAGTCATAATAGAAGAAAAGTTCTAACGTGCCCATTGAAGGTCCATTATGACGAACTATCTACCTTCAACGAAGTCGTGGCCGCCGGTACCGCAGCTGCTTTGGTCCCAATCAAGAGTATAACACAGCTTAGCAAGGATGCTAAATTCGAGTATTTGAAGGAAGACGAACCAGGGTAAGTTTACTCTTCCGAAAGCCCCCCAGAGAGAAAGAGGGAGGGAAAAAGGCATACGTAGACGTTTCAGCCCTAGCTGACATGTGGGTGTTTCGAATAGTCCAATGATGAAGGAACTCGTCAGAGTTCTCAAGGGTGTCCAGCAAGGGAACGAGCCGGATACCTTCGGGTGGTGTCAACTTGTTTCGGATCCTAATGCCACCAGTAACGGCCATTAAAATATAATATGGCGCTGAGCCCTAATTGAGCATTGATGAACTTTGGCCCGACGGGGTTTATGGGTATTGATGAATGTGTTCTATGGATTGAACTAGGTTATCTATGTACGATATATGAACGATGAATTTTGTATTACGCTCCCTACTAAATATCAATATCAGTATTGATATTGATATCGAACCGATTTTTAAGAAAGAGAGAGACCCAAAATGATAGGGACAAAGAGGTGCAATGTAGTTCTCTTCCTTAATAACAAGAGTAAATATGATATCTGTTATGATAGGGAAAGTATAAACCGTTCCATGCAATGTTGTAGACGATAGCACAGTGCATATTATACCCCTCCCAGACTAGCTGCAAACCCGACAGAAAACGTGCATACATCCTGTCCGGAATAAACTCACGAAACTTCACCTTTTCATTCCAAACTGTGGTACCTTTTGCGTTGTTATAAGACCTCGGTCTTTGTCCCTGCTGTCCTTCCTCAATCAATCAATCAAAATCCCTCCCGCCGCACTAAAAAGCCAGCCACCCTGAAAGTAAAAAAAAAAATCTCTTACCATGTCAATTTCATCTCCTGTAGCATTCACAAATAATCCAGACGAATTGTTCGTCAAGAAACATGTCAAGTATATCCAGTCTTTGGATACGGTATGTACCCATCCTATCATGTACACCCTATGCATGCATCACATCACTCCCCAGTGATGGAAAGATACCAGACTAACATACCGGTGAACCGGGTAGTAGCGTAAAGATGAATTCGAATATTGGTTAACAGAACATCTGCGCCTGAGTACGTTTCTTCCTTCCTCTTCTCATCTCTTCTCATACTTGGGACTGTCAGCCTTATACGAGATGTGATTATAATAGATGGCGTATACTGGGGTCTCACCGCCCTCCACCTCTTAAACGACCCCACCGCCCTTCCCCGCGACGAGACCATCAACTTCGTCAAAAGCTGTCAACACCCTTCCGGTGGTTTCGGCGCCCATCCAGATCACGATGCACACCTCCTCTATACGCTCTCTGCGATTCAGATACTCGCCATGGTAGATGCTCTCGATGCTGTTGATACAGCTGCAACGGTAACATACGTTGCAGGGTTACAAAAGCCGTCGGGGGTGTTTGCTGGTGATGAGTGGGGGGAAGAGGATACGAGGTTTGTGTACACGGGTTTACAGACCTTGAAGATCCTGGACAGGTTGGACGCTGTTGATGTTGAGAAGGCGGTGGGGTTTGTGCTTGCCTGTCAGAATTATGATGGTGGGTTTGGGGTTGTACCCGGGGCGGAGAGTCATAGTGGACAAAGTATGTTTTTAATTTCTCTTTCTTTTATTCACTCGTCCTTTTTGTCGAGGATGGTGACAAGACTGAGTGATGCTAACTGAGAGTGATAGTATTCACATGCCTTGGTGTCCTAAGCTTGACAAATTCACTTGACAGACTGTCAACTGCGTCGAGAGACCAATTAGCAGGCTGGCTCGCTCAACGCCAGCTCCCCAACGGCGGCCTTAACGGACGTCCGGAGAAGCTGGAAGATGTATGTTATAGCTGGTGGGTACTCTCCAGCCTGGCTATGCTGGGCAAGCTCCACTGGATCGATCAGAATAAACTGGTCGGTTGGATCCTGAGCTGTCAGGACGAAGTTAGAGGAGGGTTCGCGGATAGGAAGGGGAATGCCGTGGATGTTTTCCACACGGTTTTCGCACTTTGTGGGTTGAGTCTTGTTGGGTGGGGTGGTTTGAAAGAGGTGGATCCGGTCTAGTAAGTCCCGATATATTTCGGTTTCGATGGAGTGAAGGTTTACTGACTTTTCTTCTTTCTTTGATAGTTGTATGCCAGTTGAGACTACCAAGCGGTTGTTTGGATCGAAGTGAATTAATGATATCTTATAATATGAATGATACGACATGCCGTGCTTCTCGAATATGAAGTTGTCTTCTTTTATTTCCCTTTCGTGATTCTTTATATAATGAACTACGTTATCCTCAGGCTCTTGAGGGTTACGTGTAGTGTCATTCGTCTGTTTTTCTCTTGATATCTAATAACCCTCATATCGCGAACTTTACATGATAGAGGACTACAAATCGAGAGTAGAGAAAGTTATAACATGATTATAAGCCGAGTCAAATACCCCTTTCTCACCCATGCTCAGAAGGGCTAGGGGTGGGAGAGATTTGATGCGATTCGACATTTTATATCTAATGTTTTATAAACTTAGTTTGGTATGAATTAATGGAAAAAATGCAATGAACTTTTTGAATTTCTTTTCAGAATCCCTTCTCTAACGCCTGATAATAAACACTACCATCACTATCGTAACCCTTTCATAAAGACAACCTATCGTACATACATGCTCTTCCAAGTGTCCCTTTGAGGCCCCCTTTTAGGCAAAGGGAATCTCTGAAGATGTCCGGAATCACATCATCTAAGTAAATTATCGACTCTAACGCCTGCGGTTCTTGTACCCTCCGGAACCTGACGAAGAAGCCGCAGTAGCATTCTTCTCATTCTTCCTCTGCTGCTTTTCATTCTTTCTAACCCTTTCCACCCTCTCTGCTCTGCTCAAACTCCTGGGATTGGCATTAACATCCTCCTGTTTCCTCTCATCAACCTCAACAGCCCAATCATCTTCTCCGCCCTTATTACTACCCTTATACCCCCACTTAGGAACCCACTCTCCGGTAGCCTCATCATAGACCATCTTCCCATCCTTAGCTTTGGCAGCAATTCCCTTCTTCTTTGCGAATTTCTCCCATGAGGTGAGTTCTTTGGCCTTGGGCACTGGTTTCTCACGCGGTAGATTTGTGATTGGTTCTGGCAGGGTGGCATAGACACCGTCTTGGGTGGATTTTAGAGCGACGGTGGTGAGGATTTGGTTTATGAGAAGCTGGGTGGCATCACGGGCTGTTGAGTGTAGGGTTTGTTCGAGAGTTGAAGGGGTCAAAGGTGGTAGAGGATTTGAATCGAAGGCAGTGAGGTGGCCGAGGTCATATGTTAGAGGAATTGGCTTGGTGACTGTGACGGGGCTGTTGTAGATTGTATTTATGTTAGCTGTCTGGGCTGGTTATAGAGTATATGGGTAGTGGGATTGAAGGACTTACAGTCTTTGAGGCTCATCAACCTCCATTTCTGTAGACATCTTGGATGATAATAAATAATTATTTTAATAGACGGTAAAAGCAGTAGTAGTAGCGATAGGCGGGCAGTTGTATATGATTCTGTGGCCAAGCCGTCGATGTCGATGGAGTTGATGATGTTGGATGTCGAAGAGATGTAGTTCGAAGAGAAAGCTGTCGCGAGAAAACTCAAGTTTAGGAAGTTTTTTGCAGGGATTCTTTCAACCTGCGAAATTTTTAGTATGCGAAGAAAAAAAACCTAACAACGTCCAACGCAGGTTCCAATTCCACCTCGTACCTCACTTATCAACCGACAACCTTTTGCTATCAAAAAGGGACTGGGAACTTGGACGACAAGGAGATCTTGGGAGCTAGGGATTTGAAGTTATTATCCGGGAGGAGACGATAGTGATAGTAAGGAGGGGAGACGGCAATGGATAGTTTATAGGAACGACTACTACTACTTCGGACACCCCTCCTCGACCAGCAAATTAGATATCGACTACCACCCCACCCCCACTATCGATTATAAAGATACTATACGACCGCAATGGCTTCCTCAGCTTGCTGGAGATGCACGGGTCGTGCTCTCCTTCAATCTTCTACTCGTTCGCGATCATGCTCTGCTACTCGCCTTACCCGCCCGGTCATCCTCCCGCCTTCATCTTCGTCGTCGTCGACGACACCAGTCGACACAAGATCATTCCACACCACCCCGGCCGGCCAAAAGGGAGGAAACATTCGCAAACCCGCCGTAAATAAACCTTTAAATCTAAAGGCCAAAAAGAAGACCGTCACATCTGCCAAAAAGCCCGAACCCGGATACCGTCGTGCCATAAGAAAGGCCATCGTACTATCAAACTCCAATGCTCCAAACCTCGAGCTTCCGGAACTTACTAGCGAGGTTCTAGTGGATACAGAGTCTGTGGGGAAGGTGTTTGCTATCAATATGGAGGATTTGGAGAAGATGAGGGCTTTGGAGACCTTTCAGAAACGACAGGGTTGGCAGTTCTTTTATAGACCGACGACGTTTATTAGGAACGAGAGTGTGGGGATTGCTAGGGCTATGGAGAGCGTGGAGAGATATACCGGTGAAGCTACCGAGAAGGCTACTTTAAGCGGTTCTACCGCTACTACTACAAAGGATGCAAAGGCCATATCGGAAGCATCCGATATAGTCGATGAAGCGGAACCTGCCATCGCTGGTGGCGAAACCGCAGAAGCAGACCTTGCAGCCGCGGAAACAAAGGCTTCAATGACAATAAGCACCCTAGAAGCTGGCCTCACCGCTGTCAAGGAGGAAATCGCAGGTATCGAATCCAACCTCGAAGAACTTTTCTCCTCTGAAAATGCAGACGGCAAAGCGAACGGCAAAGCCATCACTCAACTTCTTCGTCGTAAAGAACATTTGGAAGGGGTCATCCGCCGAGTCACCCCTGTTATCAACTATCATGTCAACCAAGAGGAACGAAAAGTCCGCCGCGCATTGAACAAAAAGGAACCCCCACAGACACTTGAAGACTTCGAAGCCCTCATTGCACAGGAAGAAAAAAGACAACAGAAACTTAAGATCAAGAGGGAGGAATGGGCAAAGATCAAGAAGGAAGCACAGGATAAAGTATCCCGCCAGTCCGCAAACTACATCATCACCGGTGATAGCGGAACTGGTAAGAGTATTCTCCTCTTCCAAACTATCCTCAACGCTATTCGACACAAGTGGATCGTTATGACACTTCCAAATGCTCATGATATCGTTATTGGTACTACTGCATACGAAATTAATCCCGAAACCGGTCGTTACGTTCAACGTGATTATCTCGCCAAGCTCCTCAGCAGGATCGGTAGAGCGAATGCACCCATCTTAGCAGGATATAAGATCCCTGAAGCTGTTCATTTCTCAGGCATCGATGTTGCCGCTGGTAGTCCCTTGACTGCTATCGTCAATCATGGATCCGCGGGACCCGAATATTCTTATGAAGCATTTATGGCTCTGTTGGCGGAATTGGAGAAACCGGGCGCGTAAGTCTCCTTCATTTCGATGACAGTAATAATAATTATATCACAAATCGCTAATTTTCTTTCACTAACGTTCATAGCCCACCTGTTCTCTTCACAATGGATAACTTGGACTACGTAACCCGGAAAGGAACCGCCTACAAAGACCCGGAATACAAGGATGTTCACCCAGCTGACCTTGATATTGTCCACACTTTCTTCGAATACCTCTCTGGACGTCGCAAATTCGTAAGTTCTTTCCTGAATCACAGCCTTACCTCTAAGTTATCCATCTCATCCACTAACACTGCCCCGCTCAGGCCCGCCAAATGGTAGTCGCCGCCACAACCTCAGAAATCTACCCCAACCCATCCCTCTACGAAACCCTAGACGGCAAAACCCTCCCAGGTATAGGAAAATACGACCACAGAATCCCCACTTCAATTGGTAACCTAGCCAAAACGATCACCCTCCGCGGCCTTAGCAGAGAACATACCAAGCTTCTCCTACAATTCTACAAATCCGCAGGATTATGGGATTACTCTTGGGAACGTTCCGTACCCACGAACTTAGCCTTGGAAGGAGCGGGCATCACCGAGGAAGATTATAAACGAGTAAAAGGAATGTTTGATTGGGACACCGCTTCTTTGCCACCGGTTGAAGAAAGTGCCGAGGGAAGTGACGCTGAGGGAGGTGATTCTGCTGATACTTCATTGGCGGATGTGCAGAAGGCGTTGGTGATTGGTGAGGTTGCGAAGGAGGAAGGGAGGGCTTTTGAGGTACAGAGGATGATTGAAGTGTTTAAGGCAAAACCGTTGACGGAGCATGAGATTGCTGAGAAGCATATCTTGACCGGTGGCGTGCCAAGACAGGTGATGAAGTTGTGTTTGAGAGTGAAGGGGAGTTTGAATATGTAGGAAGACTCACTCCATTGTAGATGTAAGTTCGATCGAAGAAGAACTGTAAATATTGTAGAAGAGAGAAAGCTGTGTATAATTTTTTTTGTGTGTATAAAACCCTTAAAAAAGACTTTACTATCTAAGAAACAGAACTCGGTGGATTCCAACTGCATAGATGAAGAACGCTGTCTACGATTGTATTCATAGGGTGTACGCTTCCTTACATTGTTCGACTTGGATTTCATGTCGAATATCAAATATTGATATCGATGCTACTATTCATATTTAGCTATACATCCTTGGACGCCTTTCGATCGAAGACTTACAGGTTCAATCTGATTAGCTTTTTTTTGATTAACTCGGAGCTCACACACTCACATCGTACAAATAAGAGCCCGAAACCTGCAGAGGTCGGGCCCTGCATGCAGCACAAGGGTCGACTCTCACTCGAACACGTGCGTGCACATGCATGCCGTGATCTCTACTAATCACAATATAATTGCTCATATATAAGGTATGATGGACTTGTAAACGGTCTTGCATACATGTACATGATTAGTATACCTTACGGCCTCCAACCTCTTAGAATGATATGATATAATATTACTTTGTAAGTACTACACTATTAATATTAGTACTAATCGACTTTCATAACCAGAAGGTATCACCATATCGAATACTATACTCTTTTATCAATTATAATATTCTTGAAACAAAAAAATGTTAAAAGGCCGGCTTCAGGTCCGTATCAGCCAAATGAAGCTTTTATATTGTATCCTGTAATCGAACCTTAAAAAATTTATAAGAGAGAAGAATGGATTGAACCACGAAAAACAAAAACAAAAAACAAAAGAGAAAGAATATTACATTTCTTTTAGTTACGAAGAGCTTAGAAAAAAATCGAAGGAAAAAAAAAGACAAAGGAGAAAAAAAGGAGAGGAATAAGAAAGAATGATACGCCTTCATCCATACCCGAGCCCCGCTACCGTTTACTTTTATGATTTTTGTTGCAATTGATGATTGATGACAATAATTGATTGATGCAATATGTTTTTTTTTTTTTTTTTTTAAGACGAGAGTGTGTATGTGTATGTGCATGTGTATGAGTGCTGTGCCTGGCCCGAGCTTCCCAAGCCGGGACGGGGGGAGGAGGTAAGCAATCTATGGTAAAATTGCAGTGGGTAAGTTGCGGTTGACCCATGGTAGTATGAAGAATCATTACATGATAACTATAGTAAATGGTTTCTTAGGACTGAAGAAGAATAAGAAAGGGGCCAGAGGTGGCCGTCGGAGGGAAGGGTTAAAAAGAGAATAAAAAAAAGGGGGGTGCCGAATTAAAAAAGGAATGAAAAAAAAGATGTACCATAGAAAGGGAAAAGGGACTTGGAAAAGGAAATTCCCCGAGTAGCGCCGCCGTAATAGTAAGACAACATGAGAAAAGGAAGTAAAGCTGAGAAGCTGAAAATGGTGACCAGATAGAAAGAACTGGTACGGAGTAGTGAATCAGAGGAAAGGATGGCCGTGGGATATCACTAACAGAAATGAGGTGAGAACTTCACAACAATGCCCGCAGAAAAGAACAAAAAAAATATCATGTAAAAGAACAAAGGGAAAAAAAAAGAGAAGTTTAGACGCTAGTAATGCAATGCACTGTAGAAAGCAGTTGGACTAGGTATATATATCGCTAAGGAGTCTATGTATGTAGGATTGGTGCTTGTCGTAATTAGGGTGGGTTTCAAAAGGTTTTGTTGAAGCTCAGTCGAGAGCCAGTCTTGCGAAATGCTTGCTCCAGATCCAGCCGAAATCTTGGCCTTTGTCATCTTGGTTTCTTGCTAACCAGTATTCGCCCTTAGCGCCGATGACATCGAAAATCTAAAAATACCAATTAGCATATAAATTACCGAGATTCATAGGACTTCAAGTTTATCAACTAACCTCGCCTTGATCGTAGGTCAAGTAGGGGAAACCAGAATCCCGCTTGGCGTCTGCTTCCTTGCTCGCATGGTAGGCGTAAATGCTGGCGCAAAGCCACAACACAGGATGTCCTTTCACCATTCTACCGGTGATAGGGGTGGTGGTTGCATCAGCGGTGGTTGGACGAGATGGGTTAGGCGAGCCTCCGTCGACGGTATGGAACGCATTGAGGGTATGGGTTTGCGGTGCGGATGCTACGCTTGGGGCAACCGAATGTGTAGAGTATGTTGGTGAGAGACCCGGGCTGTGCGTTTGTACTGGGACACTGGCACTGCTGAGGGCCCGGATGGGTGGTGGAGGCGGCGCCCGCGTAGGCGGTATATTGAAAGCTGATGCAGCCCGCCCTCTTTGGGCAGCTTGAACGGAAGCTACTGCGCCAGGTAGGATTGGAAGAGCATGGCCGAGTGAAGCAGCTACTAAAGCTGAACCAGGGCTGTAGGAACCAGAGTGCCTATGGGATGAGGAGTTACCCCCGAGACTACTGCGTCCAAAATTCGAAGGATTAGGTGACGGGGTGGCGCCATCAGCTGTTGGAGACCTGTAGAGTGAGTGGGAGCTTAAGGATGAAGTTTCTGGGTTTGACGAGGATGAGCCTTGAGAATATATCGAATATGTCTTCCACATATTTGCATTCGTATTTGTGATGGTCAGCGACTCAACAACGGATTCGACTTTATTGAAATCGGACTTGTAAACTTCAATAATGTCGGAAAAGTTGGAGGGGATATCCAAAGGATCGAGCAAACCCTCAAGTCGAGAAGCCAAGTACTTATCCCAGACACAGCAAAGTTCTGCAAAGTTGGCCAGTACAGCATCAAGGAGGTTCTCAACCATAGTGTGTAGCTTAGGAAGCTCGTCCAACAGTGTGTCATTGATTGTGATATAAGCGTCGGCTAGGTCCTTGGTCTTCTTGTCGATTTTATCGCCCTTTTCCTTCATGGCTTGATACCGAGCGTAGTCTACCAACTTCTTCTCGCGTTTTTGCATAACCTTGTTGGTGTTCTCACATAATTTCTGAATAGTCTCTATTGGCGTGATGACATGCCGTTTTATGCGGATTCGCTGTGCCATAGTTAGTACGTACAACTTCAATATCTCGAAAACCTAGAAAACTTACATGGTCTAAAAGCGCGACCTCCTTCATTTCTTTTGTGCGCTTAGTAAGAGTTTGCCATCTCTCCTCATATTCCTTAAATCTAGTTGGACTACAGGAAGCAAATTCCTCAAACCTCAACGCCATTGCACATAGAGCATCCATATTAACAGTGGCTGCATTGGAATATTCGTCAATTTTATCCATCAGTGGCTTTAGTTTGGCGGCTTGGATGTGAAATTTTTCTACTGCGGTCGTATACCGGGTATCGGCGGGCAGATCTGTAGACAGCCCGACGGTCTGGCGAAGTTTCTCTGCTCTACGCTGCCAGCCCTTAGTTAGGCCGTGTCGAAGATCATTATCGCCTTTCCGCCGGGGTCCGACTAATTTGTCCATCATATCCTTTCGTTTCTTAGACTCATTGATCCTTTCGGTAATGATACGCACTTCCTTTTTAACCAACTCAATTGCTTCTCTATCAGGATGACCCACGGGCGTACAGTCGAGAATCTGGTCGAGAAGCAGCGGATATTTGAGGAGACGTTGCACGGGTTTGATAAGTAACGATTCGAGAGACCACGCGTGCGTTAAATCATCGGCTACAACTTTGCATTCCTGTGACACTTGTTAGTCTCTATTATTCGCAATTAAAATGCCAAGCAGATTCACCCACCTTCAGCCAAATTGCAATCCCTCGAACTTTTTCTAAAGTTTGCAGTTTACTAACAGCAGCCTCATGGTTTTTGCAGTAGTCTCCAAAGACCCTCTCTAGATTTGGCAGCGCTTGCGCAAATGCTTCTCCAACCCATGTTTGGGAATCTGCCTCTTGAGAAACCTCTGCCTCTGGTTCATTGTTCCCATCGTTAACGTCGATTTGGGACCCAGACGGCGTCTTTGGCTGTTTGCTCGGCACATAGACGGCGGCGGCGGCGGCCTTGAGGCTATCAAGAAACCCACGAGAGAATGCGACTATAGCATGTGTATTACCAAATAAAACCCGGATGTCTTCTGGCCTTAAATCGTCACAAGCGTCTGCGGTTCCCTTGTAAATTTCCTCTGTGACTGTCATATCTTGAAAGAAAGTTTTCTCGGTATCGATAAGTTCTCGAAGCAAAAAGCGGCGTTTCGTTAACATCTTTTTCTCGACGGCCTGGGCGTCCAAAGCTTGCGGCTCCTGAGTGGAAACGAAGGACCCGGTATTAGTGATGACTGATGTATTCGGCGACGTCTCAGGATATACCAAAGTCGCGGATTCCCTTGTCTGCGAGGATCTATCGGATGGTGCTTCGTCTGAATATTCGCTAGATGGTGAATGATCGGAACCTTCGGGGGCATCGTCCTGTGTAGCTGGATGCAAAGAATTTGCAGAGTTGATGCTTATCGGGCTTTCGTAGACCTCTTGATGCGGCAGAACGGGTGGTTTAGAAATTCGAAGTGGTTCAACGTTTTCCGAGGATGAGCTAGCGCGACGTGAAGCGATTGTTTTGGGTGGGGGCGGTGGCATGGCATCAGAGGCCACCGACTTAATAGAAGAAGCATGTTTAGGGCTAAAGACGAAATCTTTGGGAGGTGGTGTTGGCGGAGTGTCAGCATTTATAGGCCTCTCCCTGTCCATTATTTTCCGGTTGAAGCTGCCATTCGGGGCTAGGCCGGAACTGGTACTATAGCTGGTCATTGTACTATCAGTGGCCCAGCTTTCCCGCGGCGGATTACCTTCGAACTCGCCAATTGACGGCTGGGGTGTCCAATAGTCGTTTGGATCCACCGACCTGCTACGGACCGAAGAATTAACTGTCGATGCAGAGTATCGATAAGTTCCTTCGATGTGGACGTACCCGCCGCCTTCATTCCCTTCAGGCTCGGCATCCAGAGTGTACTCCTTATCGTGCAATTCATATCGATTCAACGCTTTGCCTTTGCTATCTGTCGGTTCTTCATATTCCGCTGGTGATTCGGGCTCGACAAATCTCATAAGCTCTTGTTTGCGTCGTCTAGCCAGAGAGAGCTCTTCCTGTTCTTTGTAGAAAGTATCGATCATACTCTCCCCGCTTGTCGACAAAGGGCGATATTTCCACATAATCTGCCCCAGCGAATCTGGCGGCGCCAGGTGTGGTGAGGCGGACCATGATGATTGCTTCTTGTGGGAGTATCCTCGGGGCGTCGTGTCATTTTCTAAGAGAGGCGAGCCGTTCTTCGGGGTAACGGGTGTTGAAAGTCGGTTTTTAAGTTTGAGTTCTCGGTCCTGTTCTATTTCCTTCCTTCTACGCTTTTCATCTTCCACAGCTTTCTCCCAACCATCACTCCGAGCGGACGGCGAACCCTGTATCGGAGACAACGACCTCCGGAATAACAGTTCATCGTGAAAGGCGTCGGGTCCAGACGGCTCCGGGGATCTATGGCCAGGAATAAGTAGTTTGGGATGGACTCTAGGAGATTCTGAGGAAGATGTTGCCTCGTGGGAAACGTGCACTTCGACGATAGGCGGCGATGCCACAAGCGTAGCAATAGCAGACTGATCGTCGACCTCGGTAAACATCTGTCGGGAGGATGGCCGGCTGCTGGTGGTCGATCCGTCATGTGGAGCTGAAAGCGAAGCGGCCGATAATCGTTTGTATGACTCTGGTTTTCCGAGCACTCTAGGGGACCTTGGCGAGGGGCGGCCAGCTGAGAACGGCCGCTCAGGCAACCCGGGTACTGGTATTTGCGTGGAATTCTCATTTTCAGGAGCTGGCGTGGTTTGCGTTATTTGGTAATTTTGGACGTTTATTAACGAGGTATCAACGAATTCTGCAGCATGTGAGTCGGAAATAAACTCATTTAACTCTGCTTGCTCGATTACCTCGTTCGATTCTGACGTCGTTACACTATCGCCAAAGTCAAGACCCAGACCAATTGGAGGCTGCGACGTCGGACTTATGTTGTCCTCATCCAATCTAGCAGCCACGGCAACCGCTGCCTTCTTAGCTTCGGCCTCCTGTTGCTTCCTCTTCACGGCTGCCTCTCTTTCTTTCTTTTGATGGGCTCTGTTCCGTTCCTCTCGTTCCTTTTCCATCCGATCGTTGAATGCGCTAGCGATCATTTTTCGGCGGGCTGCAAAATCAATGGTTCCTAACTCTGGAATCTTCTTCTTCGGCTTGTCGTCCTTAGCGGCCGACGCCGCTGGGCGCGTGGCCCGTCCATTCATCTTGCCAGAAGTCGAGGAAGATTCTGTCATTCCGGAACGTGTTTGAGGTGCATTCTTTACCGCTCCAACGGGCAACCGAGGTCTTGAAGATCGTAAAGCAGGGGATTTTTGTTGGGATTCTGGTGCTTTTATATAAGCGTTCAATGAGGGGGACTTTAAGGGGCCTGTTTTCCCATTTGAGCTGGTCCTGGTATTAATTGGCTTCGGTAGAGAGGATCTTGAACCGGGTGTCGTTGTTGATGAGGTTGTTGTGCGGCTCGTGGAAATTGACGAGGGCCTGGGTCGTTTTTTAATTTCGGTGGGAGATATCGGTGATACAGGTGGAGTGGAAGAGTCCCTAGCCGCTGTCGTCAGAGTTAGTGATTTTGCTTTCGTCGGTTTTGGACCAGTTGGCTTCGACTCCGTGTCAGAGGGTGCTGTTCCAATCGAGTCCGCTGGTGTTGCACTTCTAACGCTAGGGTCAGTGGCAGACCGGGTAGCGGTTTTTCGACCCCTTTGTTGTGAACTTGTACTCGACCCAGAATTCCTACGATCTCTTCCAGTTTTTGAGGTATTCAGAGAAGGCTTCGAGGAAGTCTTCACAGTAGAGCGGGTGGTAGAAGAAGCCGGCTTCACGATCGAGGCTAGCTTTATAGCTGAGGCTGACTTGCTTGGTGCATGTGTTGCCAATGAGGATTTAGATCTTATAGGAGTAGGGGAAGCACAACGACTGCTTGATATGCTAGCACTTCGGGGTTTCGGTAAGGGTAAGGATTCGTCGTTTTGGTCATTAAATCGTTTGATGATATCTTGAAAGGAAGGTTTCGATTGCAGACGGGAAGAAGAAGCGGTAGAGGGCGGTTCGAGGGTTTTCCGAGGAGCTGTTGTCCTACTAAAGTCTCGTGGATTTGCGCTTGCCGAACGTTGGCTTCGTTTAATGCCGTTCAGTTGTGTGCTACTCTTCAGGGTAGCATGTGAGGTTGAAGTTGAACGATGTTTAGCGGTGGATATTCGGGACACACCCTGCACGGATTGTGAAGAAGTCGATGTCGGAGATATAGATTCAGATATAGATGCCTCCTGATCATCGGAAGGAGCACTGGTAGTTGGTGAGATGTCTGTGGATAGAGTAGTATTGGACATGGCCCCATTCATATGGAGCGCCGGACTTTCGTCCTTTGCAGATGCCGTCACACCAGACGACATCTGGTCGGACAGGCATTAGTCGTGCAGTGCAGAGGCGTGTTGGAATGCAGCTTGGGCTGCTGCTGCTTTTAGCAGGGTAGGACAGGGCTTAGCAAAGTCAATAAGTAAGTTGGGGAGCAGTTGGCTGACCCGGGTAATAAAGGGAAGGAGTGGCACGAATGTGAACAAAAAGCACGATAGCGGGGTGTATCCCAAGAAAAGAACAACCAGGGCTGCCGGATTTGCTTAGTGATATTGAGGGGTTGGCAGCGAAGTTGTCAAAGGCAGAATGAGAGGTAGCATGACCCGGTTTTGTAGGGAGAATGGTATATATAAGTAGGTGGTGGAAGTCAGGATACGAAGTATATAATAAAGGAGGGCTCGCTCGGTCTCAGGTGGACTAGGGAAAGAGAGACAGCATCAGTAACGGTGGTACCAGTGGCACACATGCACACATAGATGAGAACGGTATAGACGGTGCATTAAAAACGAAAAGAATCAAGGGGAGAATGGGAAAGAAAAATATATCATCACGATGTCAAATCCATTGCCATGATGTCTTTTTGTTTTTCCCCTTCTCTCTCTCCTTTGTAATACTGCAAATTGTGATGGAGTAAGAAAGGAAGGGATAAAAAAATAAAAATAAAAAAGAGCGTCTGATGGATGATTGATAACAGTGACGAAGACGAAGAAGAAAAAGAAGAAGAGAAAGATAATGATGAAGGGATGGAACATACAACAGTAACAAGAGTGGTACGAAGGAGTCGGACAAGCACGGTGCTCTGATCACTATCTGAGTACACCTAGGCCTTGGCTCGGGTAGGCAGCCTCTAACCAGTACAGTGCTGCGAATAAGAGCGATGCCGAACGGGAAGGATACGGTCGAGCGAATGCAAATGCTGGGCACCAGTTAAGATGACCGGCCTGGTTGGGTATTGATGACGTTGGCGATGATGTTGACGATGAGGTTGATGAGGTTGACGATGGTGGGGGAAGGGAGAAAAAAAAAAGAAGAAAGAGAAGGACCAGGAAGAAATGCTTGCTTGCCTGTCCGCCTGTCCACCTGCTTGTTGATCTGGTTGATGGGATTTGACGGTGGTGCAGTGGTTGTGGTGATTTTTGTTTGGTTGGAACCACCAAAGCGGCGGCGTTTTTGATGAAAGGATGGTAGGTAAGTACCTAACTAACACCTTTCAAGACTCTGGCGCTGCTATTGTTTCGTCAGTCTCCTTTCCTCGTTCTCTTTCTCTTCTATTACCTACTACTCCTTCTAACTAGTAAGTAATTCCTATTCTTGTTATTGTTCTCGATTGCGTTTGCTACGCAATATCATTACAAAAAGTTCACTAGTGTACTCTGTATGCAATGCTTCTATGTAGGCATGCATTGGTCGAGGTATACTAGGAGGTCTGTTAATACAGCAAGGAGCCACCCACGGCTCCACTTCGGGCACACCAACAGTCCACCAAACCGGGGTTATGATCTATCAGGTGGTATGCGCATATCAGGACTGATATATTAACTGAATTGAAATAAGCCAGTACTTGTAAGTACCTATATACCCTCAGTTGCCTATATATGTAATATAATATCTTCGAGATTTCGGATTGAAATGAATCGTTACCAAAGGGGGGAACTAACAGATATTATACACAGTACAGACATCCTATAGTAACAGCCATTGTTACAGATTCCACTACTTGAGAGAGAGCATCTTCTTTCTTTAGATAATCGATCAGTCACATTTTGTCTTTTATCTGGTATTCACGCAGGGACCAGCGCAATCGCATGCAACTCGATGTCCCTGTCACGCAAGGAGACTAGTACCTTCAAATATGCAAATATCGCTGCTGAAGTCCATCGCTATCTAACGTTCTTCATTGGTCTCGCTACTCCAGATGTAAGGTCCAATGGAACCCCATCTTGTGGCTTCGACTCCAGTGACTGGTGCTGCCCGAAAACCTCAGTTGCATATTTTGGGGGGCGACAGCTTGATGCAGGAAGTCTAGCCAGCGAAGCGCCCCACGTCCACCAATTGTCGGCTCTCCCGCCCTTTGATTTCCCCTTCCCGAGATTTGGCACTCTTTTTTTTTTTTTTTTTTTTTTTTTTTTTTTTCCTTCCCCTTCTACTTACTTTTTTATACATCAGGAAACAAACTTCTCAGAAAATTATCCGGCAATCGCTCAGATTTCGTCAATTGACATCTGCATCCCGCGATGCCATTTGCATTCACTTATCGCGAAGAATTTAGGGGATGCATGATGCGCATGCTCGCTAGCAGCCTTCGTCTCGACTTCGGCTAGTACTGCAATAATAACACTAGCTAAATAGACCGATGATCTGCTGAGTGCCTTCCAACTCCTGTTTGACCATTGGCACTGCTTGCCCTTGCCATTGACGTAGTTTATCCGGCCATATGGGTCGCGGAAATTACAATTCATATCCAACATGTCAGTGTCGTCGAAGAGCGAATTCAGAATTTTCACCATCCCAACCGTTTTTAACTACTTAGCTTCGGCATCTACCACAACCGCCAGGAGAAATCATCCGTTGATATTCGATCTGTCACCGATAGATTGAATAATCCTGGATGCTGATGCGTTAGTGACACTTTCCGACTTCGAATTTCGCTCGTTAGAAAGCTTAGGAAGAGAGAGAGAGAGAAGCTAAGTTTCGCAGAATTTGAAGGTGTGGTATTACCGTTAACGCTCGGACACCCCACCCTCAAGCCGGTTTCTGTTCCTGGCCCGCGCCTTGCCTTGGGCCAACGGAATCTTTCCGCTCGCACGTTTAGGAGCAGGGATCGTTTGATTGGGATCTTTCAATTGGGATCCTATCAACTAGACCCCCAAGAGACATGTGTTGGGCCTCGCCCTCGGATCTGTGGCATGGTCTATTCAGTACCGCTAGCTTCACGCTTCATCCCTCTGATGATCTTGACAAAGTGTGGAAGAAAAAAGCCGGGAAATGCCTAGGTGTCCGAGATCTTTCGGATCTACTACAGTAGCATCTATCCTTTTGAGGAGTTTCTCTCCGAACGGGTCTCGGAAAGGTCATGGGAGGCGTTTCGTAAGGTGTGAATGTCACCGCTTGAACGGCGGAATAGATAGTGCAGGTTTCTCGCTTCTGCAAGTAATCCACATACCTCAAAGCCCTCGAGTATGTGACATGATCCACCTAGGATATCTTAGCGGACGCCCAAACGCCATCTGTGGTCCAGCGCGCCTATCGCCACAAGCTACAGATTAAATTGTTCACAGATCTTCAGTTGACAGCTTCCACGGAATCCGATAGGCGTGTGGTGTTTTGGCGAACGTGAGATTAGATCTCATTTTATAGCCGCGACGCAGCTAGATATGGCTATATATAGAACTACCAAATGATGGATATCTTTAGATATTGATCCAAATTCGATTGAGATTCCAGAAGCCACGGCGGTACCATGGTACCGATCCAGTCAGTTCTTTGTTTAGAATATCTAGTAAATACATTGTTTAAATTAGGCTTTTCGAAAATCTCCTCACGACCATAATAGTCTCGATAAATTAATCTCAAGATAGCACGATACCATATGCATATTCATAGTTGGCAGATCAGATTCCTGATCCAGCAGAGCTGGAAACAAATACCACAACCCTAATACCAGCATCAAATTTCGAAGGCTTGCATGTTATACATGTACTTTTGTGTATAAGCTTTATGCCCGGACGTTTGTGCTCAGCCCGGCGCGGGCTAACAACTTAGTGGCATGTTTTTAAATTACAAAATTAGAATTCAAACTAAGAGCGAGGTCTTCAGCTAGCTACTTCTAAAGACACTTTTGAATAATATATATTCCGGGGCTGGCACGCATTGGATAATATTACCCCGTAAGGTCGTTTAAATGTAAAAAATTATATACATATACATGTGAATCTCTATATATACTCCCCCAATCAAAATAGGAAAACATGTTAACATTATTAAGATATTTCTGCAGCTCTCCTTTGACTACTTCAGTGATTCTCTTCTCACGCACACGTAACACTATTCATAGCACCAATGCCCACAGAACTCCCCTTCCCCCACAACTAGCAATTTATCTAGCGGTATTGCTATGGAATGAGGCGCGCACTCCCGGTTATTTACTTATGGCTCGCCTTTTGTGACGTCTGGGAACGAGACCACTTTTAGCTGGCTTTTGTGTCGCAATACCTCTAGCAACCCAAGCAACCTTTAGAAAGTCCTTTTTGTCGTATTCCGGCGTCTCTTCTCGGCAAATCCAGTAAGCATCGAAGTAGTCCTCCATAACCATTTCGTAATTTTCTAGAATCGTGTGGGCGTGTGCGTCCTCGTTCCCTCGGCTTTTAATAACAGTCAATAACGACCAGAGCCTGGGGTCGAAATTGATCTCCTCAAATATCGGGAGAACCCCTGTGTGAGCAGGGAAGTCATCCGGATATTTTTTTAATATGCCGAATAAGCTCAGGAGTTAAAGAGTCGAATGGGTCTCGTTCCCAGACTCTTCTCTTATATATATCCCTTTCGGCCCTGAGTCGTTCACTCCTAAGTCTCCCTTCCAGGATCCCATAACGCAGAGCTTTCGAATCTTTCTCGAAAGCTGGAGTAACATCTGGTAAGCTGAAATACTTTTCAGTGACATGGTCGAAAATCACGTCAAGGATTTCAGCTGCTTGGATACGCAGCAGACAATATTTTTCAGCCCTCTGCCGAAAGATTTAGCTTAGAAGATTAGAATTCATCATTTTTTTCAAACTTACCCTGGGTGCCGCTAGAGAATTGGACTTTGCTGGTGATGGTTTGACCTGCTCATCAACCTCCCTTTTGGTGAATGTGGTATCTTCCTTGCTTTCATTAGCAAGTTTAGTGTGGCGCGCTGCTTGAGAATGGAGCTCTCTCATTCTCTCTAGTATTGGGGAAGCTGTGACAGGTCTGGTCGTCCACTCTCTCGATTGATCAAGGTATGGATCATTGCATAAGAACGACTATGGCTCGAAGTCAGAACCCTCTGGTTTACTTGAACCAAGCAAGGTTTTAAGGTGGAAGCATGATAAAAAAAAAATACCGAAAATGCCTGTAACCAGGTTCTCTGAAGCACAAGGCCTCTTAATGATCGAGGACTCAGTATATGAACCGATACGATCCGCTGAGTTCTTGATTGGCGTCGCCGGAATACAACTTTCGTTGATAGCATTTGGCCCATCCTGGGCTAGAAGTGGGCAACCAAGTCTCGATTGGTTTCAATTCGTAGAAACTTCGTGGCTCTTGTTAGAATGTAGATCATATTCGGGGCAGGGGTGTGAATATGGTTAATAAAAGATGTGGTGTGGAACTTACAGTACTATTATACCTGCCAGACAAATAGCAGGTGCCCCTAGCCGCGGTAGCTATAGATTCGAGCCTTAGTCGATGCTTTATTCACTCATAGCTTTTGGTTAGCCTACGACCTTGAAGGCGTTTCGACCGCGGTATGGTGTCTCTATTAAGTTAGGCAGTGGTGGTGATAGTGGTGGTGGTGATGTTAATGTTAACGGGGCTTGATTTGGGCTCGACAATTATATATAAATAACTCGTCGAGGCAATATTGGAGGGCTTTTAATTTTTATTTCTTTTATAAATTTAGTAAGACTCCGTTGAGTGTCTGTCCTTAGTCGATCGTTAGAACCAGAGCATGCATGGAGTCGAGAGGAAGGTAATAGAAACTCTCTCATATGTCAAAGCCCGGCGCTGAGCTACCGAGCACGTGGTGCTAAATAGCAACTTATATATATGTATTCACATATAATATTTTATATACATACTTAGTATCTATGAGGTGCATCGCGATAGCCACTGATCAGAGTTACAAGATTAATATAATAATTGGGTTGTTATTCAGAGCTGAAGGAGCTGGGATTAGCCCCATAGAACCGTAATCAATATGCCCTTAAATTATGCCAGTAGCTATGTGTGGTCCAAAGGCTTATATCATACACATAAGTATATATGTATCCTCCGCCCCGCCCCGCCACACATACATACTACTACCAGCTCCTTACACAGCCGAGGAGTCCACAGTGCAGTGTAATCTAGCGACAATTGCAAGGCAATTAGCAAGAATTGAATCCAAGGTAACACAAGCCAAAATGAGTTGTGTGTGTGTGATCCCTGCAATATTACCCAAAACGGAACCCAATATAATTAGCAACACATATGCCAATCTAAAGTTTAGATTCCCTTTGGCGATTTTGACCTTCCTTCACGAGCTCGTCTAAATAACTATAGTTCAAGGGTGGATTATAGAATAAGGAAAGATTTTACATTTCCAATCCAGAACAGGGCATCAAAATGAAGTAAATTGGGGTTCAATCAGTATGAATTTCTATAGAAGCTGTTCTAAAGAATTCAAGATGTTGTACTACAAGTCTGCCACTTAACTACACAGCTCGTGACGTTGTTTGGCACTAAGGGGCTCCTGTAATTAATTAAAATTAGCGTTAGCTCTCAATACAAATCCATCACTCCACACGTAACAGGCTTCATAAACAAGATACGCGACGGGCAAACGTATATACCAACGAGACAGAAAAGTGAAAGTGCGGGCAATATCAAGGCTAATACGGAGTGGAGCTTAGTTCGATGCTCGTATCTTCGGTTATTGACGAGAGAGGAGCCTAAATGCTAGGCGATGCAAATCCAAAAGGCTTGATTTATACTTACTACGTACCTAAGTAGTAGGTATATACAGTACTCACCAACACTCCTCTAGGCCGGGGCATGGTCTGACGGTGCCATCGTCAAGCATTGGGTGCGATATACAGAGAGGCATCGCTCGATAATAATCACCCGGCAATGGCCTCAGCTAAGAGAAAAGCCAACCTAATCGGGCCAAATCTCGAATACATTGATACCCGACATGATTCCGACTCAAAAAGGCAAAAGACGGTACATCATGACAAAAGGAAGAGAAGGAAATCCAACAAGTCGAGAGAGGAACCGGTCCAAGCGCAGTCCTTGCCTTCACAAGACACCGATACTAGCCAACAAAACACATCTCAAGAGGATCCTGTAATACACCATCCTGTTCTTTCGGCATATTTTCAGACGCTTCTTCCGCTTCGTCAATACTTGTTGTTGGCCCTTAAATCATCAAAGTCGATCGCCACAAGTTTAATATCTCGGAAGAAAAGACTCTCAAGATTCGGATCCGATGGATCATTATTACATAATGAGGTGGTACGATTGTTGGATACTGTTATTGTTGGATTATTGAAACCAACCAGTGAAGTTGACGGGTCAGATGCCTTCGTGGAGAAAGCACTAGCCGAGAAACTAAACGCTACACAAGATGAGAGGGTGGCAAGCTCTCAAAACGAGGTAAGAGCCTTCCCATAAAGACGGTAAAAAAATTAATCTGAACATTTGGGCCGTCGTTTAGCTTGTTGATTGTAGTATCGCAATTCTCCTCCAGAAGGCACGGGCAAACCGCAACTGGGCAAACTCGCCGCTTGCGTCTGGCTATCGAATAATCGATAACAATGCTCACTCGAAAACTGTCACTAAGTTTCGACAGTTTGGGGTAGATGTTATATCATTATTTCCGAACCCTCATTCTGTAGAGTTTAGAAGTCAGGCTTGGAAAATGATCACTGATATAGTTGGTCAAGAAACAATACTCAAGCTCCTATCTATGCAGGGGGACAACGAGGGCGCCGTATTATTCCCACTTAGCGATAAAGTGCGACGAGGCTATCGTCTAAGTTCTATATCTACAAAATGCTACCAACAATATCTTGGGAGTGCACTGTCAGAGATCCAACTTGAGAAGAAAGTCGAGAGGGCCAAGTCAGTAGAGGATGGGGATGTGAGCATAGAGGTAACGTTTTCAAGAAAACAGAAGAATCTAGAAACCGTACTTCGAAAACCAAGCGAGATCCGTTTCGTGAGGTCTAGGATGTTCTACGGAAAACCGGCTAACAACAAGAACTCCGAACCTAAAACGGGACTGCCTCATATCCGTAAGGTCCCTCTGTTCAATGACTCTCAATATAGAGCCTAATAATGATCGCAGATGTCCTTAATCGATTTTACAATTTCAAAAAGCGGGACAACAATGTCCACGTCCTGAAATACATATTTCCCCGAGCATTCGGTTTGCACAATGTATTCACTTCGACTGTGGATAAACAAGATACCGCACAGATATTCAAAGACTACACCCTCCGAGAGGATGAAATAGACTTGATGATCAGCAAGTCAAAAGATGATAGGAGGCTCAGAAAAATCTTGAAGAAAAAACAAGAAACAGAGCCTGGTTGTCCAGATGACAATGACGAACTTCATCATGGGCACGTCACACCACCTAGTCCTTTACCGGATATCAATAGGAAAGAAGGTAGGGCGTATGAAACGGTGGAGAACTTACCGCAAAGATTCCGTGGGAGAATCCCACATTTGGTGGGAGAACTAGTCCGTCTACAGCGGAGGTGCAAATACCATCCACTTTTGCAACATTATTGCTCTTCTTCGGTATGAATACGAATGTCAATTCCACAGTCTAAAATTATGGCTTACAGTCATTTAGGTTATCAATACTACCGCACCAGACCCGCGCCCCAGGGTTCCAGCCCCCCCACCATCAACACAGGTTTCACCACTAGCAACAATGCCCTTTAAAACGCAAGTGAGCAATCGTCGAACTTCAGGCGGGTCAAGGAGCAAGAGGACGTCACTGCAAGGAACAATCCCAATAACCCCTCTCAAAAAAACTGATCCCGGCGAAATTAGCCCGCAGGATCCCATGTTGCTTTTTACAACCAGCTCGCACAGTGTATATGCTTTCATCAGAGCTGTGATAAGCAATATAATTCCCTTGGAATTTTGGGGGACTGGAAAGTCGGTCCTCAAGAACCGCGATGTTTTCTTTGGTCACATGGAGACCTTTGTGAAATTGAGAAGATATGAAACTCTGTCACTGCACGATGTAGTGCAAGGCTTTAAGGTAGCAAGTTCCAATATACCTGATTGCTATCAATTATTGCTAATATACTAATTAGTTAACGGATTTCACCTGGCTCCACCAAAAAGAGCCCAATGCTAATGGCAAGATCAGACTTGATGCCGCAGACACCAAACACTGCACTTCTCTCTTCGCTGAATTCATCTACTACCTCTTCGACTCCCTTGTAATCCCTTTAATCCGCGCCCATTTCTATGTCACCGAGTCGACAACAGACAAAAACCGCACTTGCTACTTCCGCCATGACGTCTGGCGAAAGCTCACCACTCCGCACGTCAACAAAATGATCTCAGTTATGTTTACGGACGTCACGTCTCAAAGAGCGAGGGCGATAATGCAACGGAGAGCTGCAAAATTTAGCACTGTCAGATTATTACCTAAAGTCGCAGGTGTTCGAGTTCTGAGTAACTTAAAACGCAGACCGATGGAAGTAGATACCAAAACTGGTCTTAGGACGCTTGGAAGAAGTATCAATCAAATACTCAAACCTAACCATGCAGCCTTGACATTTGAGAAGAATAGACAACCGCAGGCTGTTGGTGCTTCGCTATTCTCAATGAATGAAGTTTTGAGAAAAATAACCGAATTTAAAGACCGGCTAGTCTCCCAAGGAGCCTTCGGTAAGCAGAAATTATACTTTGTCAAAGTCGATGTCACATCTGCTTTCGACACGATACCACAACAACGGCTACTCGAGGTAATAGAACAGTTGTACATGGAAAACACCTACAAAATCCGAAGACAGGGCCGAGTAGCCTTGGGTTCTGGTAGAGCTGGAGAAGCAAAACCAAAGATATCCTTCCCTCAGATCGGAGAACCCGGTGATAACGAAGAATTCTCCATGGAACGAAACAAAAACAACATTGAAAATTCCGGTATGGAGAAGAAGAGTTTGATATTCATAGATCGTGTCGCCTGTGTTTATCATGAACGAGATGCATTAATCAGAGAGCTCAGAGAACATGTAGTAAATAACTTCGTTCAGGTAAGCTTTCCATCATCGAGAAAAGATATTTGGATAACTGAGTTTATTTCCAATTCCCATTTAGATCGGTAAACGTTTTTACCGTCAAAGCCTCGGTATCCCCCAAGGATCCGTAATGTCTACTTTGCTTTGCAACCTCTTCTACGCCGACCTTGAAGCCCATGAACTCCCGTTCACTCAGGCCAAAACGGGCCTCTTAATGCGGCTCGTAGACGACTTCCTTTTCATAACAACAAATCGGGATCACGCTAGACGTTTCTCAGACGCAATGCACACTGGATTCCCGGAATATGGTGTTACAGTCAAGCCCGAAAAGTCATTAGTAAACTTCGAAGCCGACTTTAATGGACGGAAAATCGAAAGAGTGTTTGGGAATACGCCGGGGTTCCCCTATTGTGGTACTCTAATTAACGAAAAGACACTTGAAATCAGGAGAGACTGGGCTCGAAGAGACGGTTTGCTCGTTAGTAATCTATTGACTATAGATCATGGATCGAAACCTGGTTTGAAGATGGTGGATAAAGTTTCTAGGTATATTCATTCGAGCCACCTTTAACCACAATGAAACTGACTTCTATAGTGGCTGGAAACTCCTCTCTAGTGCCATCTATCTAAACACAACCATCAACTCCCGCCCAACGATAGTGGTAAACCTTTACTGGAGTTTCGTTGACGCCGCCATGAAGTTTTATAGATATTACCGCGGCCTCTCATTCCGCCCAAAACAAATCAGAAGGAAGAAGGCTCCCAAGCGCCCGCAACAAGGAAACGAGAAACAGATATTAAATATGATATCGGAATTCATGTCATTGGCTTATACCCTTCTCATGTCTCGGGAGAAACGCGAGTATGATGAGGAAGGTAATGTGATACCGAAAGAGGGACTGATAGGAAGGATCCAGATTAGGTGGCTTGTAGCGAAAGCGTTCTTGAGAGTGCTGGGGAGGAAACAGACCTTATTTCCTAAGGTTCTGAATTGGTTAGAGGGGTGTGTGAAGGCGAGTGCGGGTAAAGTCGATTGGGTGTTTTATAAGGCGGTGGAGGATGAAGAGATTAACGAGATATTTGATACGATGAGGTATTGATTGGCGTACTGGGGCTTTGCAAACTTGTTCTGTGACGATAAACTCTGTTACGTTGATATCTTGAAAAAAGACAGAAACGTTATAGATTTGAGTATAAAGCAAACACACCGATACCCCGATTAAATCTACATGTTGTATAATATTAAAAGTACAAGATACTACCTAAGACCTATATGCATAAAATTTTGGCAAGTTGCTGTTTACGAGCTGCATGCCTCGCCTCGACTTCGAACCTACAACTGCGCGCCGATAACCATAGCTAGCGCAGCTGTACCAAACATAAGTGATGCCATTTTTGAAAGACCATTCGACGCGGAATTTGGGGTTGGAGTACTGGTGGCAGGGCTTTCGCTTGTTGGAGAAGATTCAGTGGGAGAGCCTAGATCCTCGGAACTAGAAGAGGACGGCTCAGGTAGCGAGTCTGTACTCGTTGTACCCGCCATGGTTGTGGTCTGACCTCTAGAAACAGAAGATTGAGTCGCAATTGACGACTCCGAGGTCTCATCGGTCATAGTCGCAGCAGAGGAAGAAGAAGAAGAAGTTCCATCCATAGAGCTCGAACTCTCAGTCGTAGGAGTAGGTTCAAGGCCGCCTGTAGTGGTCGATCTCATATTCTCGAGCTTGACGATTTTAGGATCAAAACATCGAATACCTTGCAGATCAACCGCCCCCGTGGCTCGATTAATAACCTGTAGCCTCACAACGCCAATTTCGTTTCGCGGGCAACAAGCATATTCGCCGGTATCAGGGTAGACGTCAGCGGCGATTGTACCGTTGGGGCAATCCAGGTTTACAGGTATGGCGGCAGTTCCGAATTGATCAAATTGTGTATCTGTGAGACCTGGGACGTCTTCGCAAGGGTACTGCGGAACCGGCATGAGGCTTCCAAAGGCGATTCCGAGTCCCGAACAACAATAGTTGGAATACCCGCCCCAATCACCGCAGAATTCGAGTTTGGCGGATCCGCCATAGATGCCGCAATATCCTTCGCCGCATCGGTTCTGGGCGGGGTTGATTCCTAGAAGCGGTGAGGCTATCGGGCTCGTAATGAGGATGGTAGCAGTATCGAGTGTTTTCTGTGTCGCTGACATTGCTGCTATTGGTTACAGACTCTTGATAAAGAAAATTGAAACAGATCAGCGAACAATAAGATGGCAATAAGATGTCAATTGATCGAAAAAGTGGATGAGCGCTGTTGTTTCTAGAGTTGACAAGGTGGTACCGCAGTATGAACTTATAAAATGCGTGAGTCGCCACTTACTTTATATACTTCCCAGTAGTCGCCGATATCCCCCCCCCCCCCATCCTTAGATCGCTAGATAACTACCACCATTAATAATTCGACTATGCATTCTCCCTTGTGCGAAACTCATGCGCGAGCTCAGAGGCCAGGCCAATAGCAATTTTCGAGTTCGCAAAGGTTGCCGACAATGCATTTCCCATATTGTTCCGTTTGCTCGGTGGCGTTTCCTTGGCAGCATTTAAGGCAAAATGTGTATCGAAGAAAAGGCAGCATTTCGCAAAAAATCGTGTAGGCAGGTTATGGGTGATTATTCCTGCATGATGCATGGATATCATGGATCCCGGTCGTGCGTTCGCAAAGCGGGGGCGAAACGGAAAAAAAGTTGAATCTCAAAAAAAGTTGAATTTTTTCAAAAAGCTCAGAGCGAGGTATATTGTTGTGTGTTGGATGCACGTTGTATTTTTTTAAGATTATGGTGTGTGTAACCTGCCCAGTTGACGGATAAAGGCCATAGCCCGGGTGGGCACGGCTAGCTCGGAATGTCGGTACGACAAGCTGGTGGAGTTGAAGCTTACTTAGGTAACCTAATCTACTGCGATTTCTCCGCGCCGGGCTTTACAAGTTGAGGGTTCTAGCAACAGGACTGAACCCACAATATATTATGAGGCTTTCAAGATCGGATGAGATATGTTGAGAAGTACGTACTTACTAAGTATGGAAGTTTTGATGTATAAGACTTGTCTCGTATCCTGACCTGGAAATATCAGATCTGTTTTAAAAAGAGAGTTTTAGCTTTTCCATTTTACAACTGTTAGGTCTTAAAACTACTATTAACTGCTTTGCTTCAGGTTGTATGTTGAGGAAGTTTGATCGTTAACTTGCTTGTCGAATTCTCCAAGTTCAGCCGCAGATTGCCTCACCCTGGCCTGCATAATCGTCCACATACACAGTTCTCCCCATTTTGCCCCCAAACTAGGTCCGGCTGGCAATATTGATATTTAAAGTATGAAAAAAAAAAAATGAAAAAGAAAGAAAGAAAGAAAAAAGGCCCGGATGGAGAACTGAAATCGAAGATTGACATTGAAGCGTAAATCTAGAACGAGCACCAGTACCCAGGTACAAGAATACTCGAGCGGTACATGACAAGTTAACAAAGGATAAAATATAAACATATAGCGAGACTTTAGCACAATACTATCAATTCCTGTCAATACTATGAATACATATAAGACCAAACGTTAAACCAATAGCCCAAGATCCTTCTAGTGGGATAGCCATTAGGATGGCCCCAACAACCATCGACGTTAATCTCGAAATACCATTCGTCGCAGATCTAGAATTTGGCAGGATTCTAGTCACTGGGAGAAGATGATTGAGTTGGAGAACCAGAACTACCGCAACCGCCGCCGGAATCGTCACTAGAATTTACAAACCTAGTAGTTAGGGAAGACTCAGTACCACCGTCCCCAGGATCCGGCGAAGTTTGTAGTACAGTAAAAACGTCCCAGCATCTAGTAGGCGATTTTATAACCAACCCCAGATTATCCGAATCGTCGAACTCCTAGTATACCGTCCCAAACCCATGCTAGTTGTAATATTACACCAAAACCATTGATCCTCTTGCACAAGTACCACTACAGCATCTATCGTGTAGACCCGACCAAATGCCGCACAACGTATGATTTGTGGGTACTGGATAAACGCAATAGCCTTCACCGTAGGTTTCGAAGGCGAATTGTTCGAGGATATCAGGATCTGTGAACGGTTAAATCACACGAATATCAATCGGCCCTGGGGGATTTTCTTGTTGCGGATTGTTGGATTTCGAGCCTCATATTACCAGCCAAGTATATGGTGTGTGCAACAGTGCAATGCAGACACACCGGACTCCAGATTCGATTCCAGCCGCTCAAACTTCTACTAGCGAATCAAGTTCTATCGATTCTCATTCGGGGGAAATCATGATTGTCGGCATTCGGCTTCAGCCGAGAAACACACACCTCATGTGCATGAAATTAAGCTAGAAAACGGGGTAAATTTCTAATTACTTAAGTAGCTATGTTAACCATTCGCATTCTAGGACTGGGTCCAAATTTAAGCCAATGCTCGTTTCCTCGAACCTACTGACGTGCAACTTATGCTTGCAATTGATTGAAGGTTAGGATTTAAAGTATATACGCGATTTAATTAGCCCAGTTAAGGGATTAGTAATAATATATTATCATTGAAAGTCAATTACTTAATAGTTTGTATGTTTTGCTAAAGCTGGGTTCAGGCTGTTGGAACGACGATAATAAAGAAGAATAAGCCGCCCATTGGGAGAAATGTTGGTCTCCGCACGGCCTGCTGATATATAGCCTTGTGAGGGCGGAAAAAAACAGAAACAAAAACAGCGAGAAGGCTAAAGAACGAGCATTATACAAAGATGATAAATAAAAAATAAGAACCCATCCACCACGGAACTGACTTCTCAGAGTCAGACGCAAGAGGACGTTTCAAACCCATTCACCTATCCCCAAACACCGGCCTACAGGAATGGGAGGAACCTACCCAACCCAGTCCTACCTTTAGTTTTCTCTTCCTCTTTGTCACCTTTCCCTTCGTCGTCACTATCATCGCTATCATCACTATCACTGTCATCATCAGAATCCTTTCCACCTTTTTGACTTGACAAGATGTTTTGAAAGCTTTTCATTCCTTCAGAAAGCCTTGGCTTGGGTTTCTGACCTGCTCCAACTCCACCGGGGGCAGTAGGTTTGGCACTCTTACCACCATCTCTAGTCTCTGGAATATCCTGCTGACTAAGCATGGTCAATCCTTTATAGTGAGAGGTAAGACTATGCCTCTTCCTAACATCCTTCGGTGACATCATAGAAGGCAAGCGCGCCGGCATGCTAGACGGCGGCCCCGGGGACGGACTTATGTATCCCAAGGTTCTCCTATTCATTCTCGAAGGGGGCAACTTAGAGGGTCCTGCAGTAGGTTGTGATGGCTCGGGTGTCTTTGAGAATCGTGGCGTATTCCCATTTAAAAGTTTGGGTGCCGGACTACGGAAGAGAGCGTCCATAGCTTTAGCAGTCGTATCTACTTTCTTTGGGGGTGTAGTTTTCTCTGGCTCTTCTTCTGAAGATTCATCAGAGCTGCTTTCTTCCTCACTAGAGGACTCAGCGTCAGCTGGAGGGGTTGCTGTGTTGGTATCATTTTTTCCTATGGCCTCTTTCTCAGGCTGGGGTTTAGGTGATGATGATTCTGGGACTACTGAGATTGAAGAAGGCGGATTAGCACTAGTCCGGGATGTTGGCTTCTCGTTGTCTGAATCAGATTCTGTCCCCTGATCAGACTTGTCGTCGTTGTCGTCCGATTCCGATTCACTCTCAGATTCGGATTCGGGAACCTGGGTTTGACTAGTTGCTGGAGTCGGTAAGGATAGTACGGTTGTCGCCTTAGCCCTTACAAGCCCTTCTTCATCTGAATAATCCTCCTCTTCCTCTTCCTCTTCCTCTTCTTCCTCCTCCTCCTCCTCCTCCTCCTCCTCCCCATCTTCTTCTTCTCCCTCCCCCTCCCCTGCCTCCTCTGCGGGCTGATCCACCATCTCCTGGTCACCATCCCCCACTTCGTCTTCCTCGTCGCCAGACGGCGTTTCACCAGAGGCCCCAGGAGCTAATTTACTAATTGGCTCAAGGGCAAGTTTGCTTGGCGCTGTCGCATAGGAGAACCGTACGAATTCCTTCTTTTCCGGCGAGGTACTTCGTAGTTGTCGTTTCCCGGGACCTTTTATAGGTGACTCTTCTCTTGTCATAGGGGCTTTGGAGTTCTGCTTACTAGCGCCCCCTGAACCATCTTCGTCCTCGCTATCTGTGAGTGCCATAAGTTTTTTGACGTCGATAAACCTCCCCTTCGGTTTAGCATCAGGCTCAGATTCCGAGTCTGAGGCTATGGGGGTTTTACGTTCCGCAGGCTTGTTTTCGACTTTCGGGGGGGTCTTTTTGGGTGTACCTTTAGCTTCATCTTCCTCACCCTCGCTGCTTTCGTCGCTGTCTTCTTCCGACTCTGATGAAGTCGCCTCGGATGAGGAAGAAACAGGACTAGATGATCTTTCGACTGATGCTTTTTTCGATAGAGGCGGCGCATCTTCCATATCCTCATCTTCCGAAGAGACCTTTTTGGCAGGGCTGGGGCTTATAGAAGCCTTGTTTTTCAAGGTGTCCTTTGCTTTGTCCGACGTCTGAGTCGTGTTCTTTTCCGTTGTTGTCTGCCCGGCCGCCGGTTCGTCACCTGCGTCTGCGCTCTCCCCTCTCGTCGGCTTGCCCTTGACCAAGGCCTTGGAGCTTGCTAGTGTGCTTGTCAGGGCCGAGATAGGGGGGGTTGAAGAGGTCGACCTATTTCTCGCTGGCTTCCCTAAAAATGCCTCATATTTCTTCTTCCCCTCCAGAGTACTCTGATCCGATATCCCTTGCAATTCCACCGGTATAATCGGAATCGGAACCTTAAATGTTGTTCTCGGCTTCTTCACCTCTGGTGTCGGTTTTGTTGCCGTTCCAGCTACGTTAGTTGCCGCTGCCGCTACCGTAATGCTCGAAGTTGATGGTGTCGGACTCCCTTCATTCGCGAACGACACACTCTTTTTAGCTTCAAGATTTTTCTTTTCTGGACTTCGCAACGCCGAATGTAAAACACTGCTAGAACCCGCACTCTTACCATTATTGACTTCCGGGGTGGCGGATTGCGTTGATCTCGATACAGTGGCGCGTTTTGATGATCCGGGGACGGGAGTTCTTGTTTTGTTGATGAGATTCTTTTCAGTAGTGGTTGGTGTTTCTGGTTGGTTGCTTCCTTTTCTGGCTTTTGTCGGTAACGAAGGCTTTATAAATTTGTCTTGGGATGACTTCGGCCCCGTGGCTGGGTCTTCCTCCGCCCTAGACTTAGTACCTATGAGATCTGCTACATTTGGCACAGGCGTATTCGAAAGTTCCCTTTCACCGCTCCGTCTAATATCCTCAATAGGTGGTATTTCGACAACAAAGTCGTTCAAGACACGAGGAGAAAGGATTGTATTCAGTTGGGACGAAGAAACTTCAAGTGTAGGAGTGACGCTAGAGGCACCGGATCGCCTCAAGGTTACTCGTTTTGGAGCTGCACCCTGGGGTTTCTTCTGAGAAGTGCTGTTGACTTTTCGCTTCTGCTGGGCAGGTTTCTCAGTTCCTTCTTCTTCCTCTCCTGAATCCGAGTCTTCTATTTCATATATCGAGCTCTGGTTTCTTGTACTGGGCTTCTTATTCGCCATTGCTTTCGCTGGCCTTTTCAGCGTACCCTGTTTTCCAGTGACCGACGTTGATTTCCTCCCACCTGAACCCCTCAGGGTATGTGGAGCGATAACTGGAGCATCCAAGTCCTCGGTTTCGGGCGACGAGATCTCTACTGGTTGAGTATTAGACATTACCTTCTTATAGGTAGTCGCAGTGAACAGCGGAGACGAAAAGGTTTCTTCTTTTGGAGACAGTAGTTCGCCGAATATCTGGCTTGTCTCTGGAATTAGGGAGCCACCACGTCCCTGGACCCTGTTTCTAAGGCGATTTGGAGGCAACATGCCGGCATGGTCCGTCGCTCTACCGATGGGACCGGATCCTAAGGGTGCGTTTCCTAGCCCAGCGCGAGCAGCGGGTGATTCAGAAACAATCCCACCTTGGCTTATAGCTTGAGATCGAACCCGTGATGACTCCACGACACTTGATGAGACTGGTAACCCCTCTGATCCCCCCTCTAGCTGTTGTTCGTCCGGCGTTCCCTCCTCTACCTCTTCTTCCCCTTCTTCTTCTTCCTCTTCCTGCATTTCTTCATCTTCATCCTCTTCATCGTCTGTTGACCCGCTCCTGGACCTTATTCTCTGCTTCTTGCTAGGACGCAGATTAACAGGCACCCCGACTTCCTCATCCACCTCTTGCTCTCCGTCCCGTACCTCCTCCGACTCCGCCACAGGTGCCAAACTTTGTATCGATCGCTTCTTCGAGCCCGTAGGCCTCAACCCAGACTCCGGTGGGACCGACTCATCTCGTAGAACATCTTTATGGATGACTTTTACTATACTTCCATCCCGATTCGATGATTTGTCGTCGAACACGTCGCCAACGGTGTACGTGAGATCCAGATCGTTTCCTTCCGAATCCTGTAGTCGCTGGATATTCAATGGTCTAGGTAGACACAGACCCATCAACCATCCCATTGGTTAGCCATAATCATGTTTCAGATGGGAATATCGTAGGTAGGTAGAATCTAGGGTAAATGAGACAACTTACCGATTCCTCGGGTATAGCCTCGCATATTTATCGGTAATAAGTAGCGTCAGATCCTCGAGGGTGACATTGGGAGCCGCGAGATGCAGGAATTCAGCAATCGGCGCCAGGTTCCTCCCCTTAGGATTGTGCGACGACTGGCTGATGACCTTGACCTGTAAACGAAGCCCACGCATTGTTGAAGATGGATTGGGGTAAAATACCCCAGGGTCGGATGTTGGAGGAAGGGGTTGCTGGGGGAGGTGGGATGTTTTTTTTTCTGTGTATGATGGTGTGTTTGTTGTTGATGATGCTAGTTAAGGATCTATCGACGGTAATTGCAGCAGGATCATGATTCTGAAAAGGGCAGACTGGATGAATGCTAGGTCGATGACGCGACGGGGAACTCAAGCGCGATAAGGGGCAATGGTGAGAGGTCCAGGGACCAGATGATGCTGGGATCTATAATTGTAGAGAGAGTTCGATGTTGAGAGGAAAACGTGGGTCTCAAATTAAACAAAATGAAGGGAAGGGCACGCGTAAAATGGTTAGCGTGGGGACTTAAGCGAACAGCAGCCGTCCCGAAACCGATTTATCTGCAAACTACGCTGCACTGACCACGATCGATATCGATCTCATGATATCGATATGGTTAATATAAGCAACTAGTATAGCTCTTGAGCCTCAGGTTCAATATATTATGATAAGGCACGTTATGATACGAGATATTTCTCTTGGCTGATAATCTTTCTTTCCATTTCTGTCTACAGTTCAATGTAACCATATGATTCAAACGAGGGACTCTTCAAGCACCCGCCCTCCCTAACTCGATGCCATCCCATCTTCAATACCGATATCACTCATTTGATATTGAATTATCACCGAATGGTCTTCTAGAAGTGACCTATCTATCGCTTTTCATCTCGATATTTTATTTCGCTCGTGTGTTTCAAGCCTTCTTCTTATCCTTGGGCATGTATGGCTTCCCTGCCACTTCGAGGACCTCGACACCATTCAAAATCCCATAAGCCCACTTGAGTACCAACGTCATAAGGGCCATCGTCACAGCACTCCCTCCAAACAACATGGCTCTCTTTGGAGTATCCAAAATCTCAAAGATAGGATATGGATAAAATCCATTAAAACTATAGCAATAGTTCACCCACATCCAATATCCAATCGCGATAGAACTGGACAGCCCGAACGCCGGTAACGCTTTGATCGTCCACGGCGGCGACAAGAGCACCAGGTCTAGGAACATCAAGAGCGCCGGGAACAAATGGAACATCAAATCCGTCCAGAATTCAATGTGGATTTCCGGCGGAACAACCAGATGTCTGTCGATCTATGGCGTCGCTCCGCAAGCACGGCGCGAGCTCGCGCGAGAGCTCATGTTAGCCGAGTTCCTTGTTGAAAAACCAAAAGGAAAAATGTGAACCTGGGTTGCATTTGCGTCGTGCATATGTATGAAATTGTACAAATTGGCGATGGCAAAAACAACAGCTATCCAAATGCAAGAACAGGGGTAGCTCCAGAGCTATTAGCTCGGGGTAGCTCAGCTCAGCTCGAGCTTAAGGATTGCAACCGTTTTCGAGGTTTTGCGCCCCGATGGACATCGATCGCTAGTCAAAACCTCGACGACAGATGTCATGTCATGTCATGCCATGTCACATCTATCGGTCTACATATGCAGGTCTGCAGAGTCCTACACATGGATGTACATGTACGGTACACACCGTCGGATCGAATCGATTTTAGGCTCGGGCATCGGATCCATGTTTGCAATGTAACCCGTAGGATCCATAGCCGAATTCGAATTAATTCGAATCGAAAGGTCAGATAGTAGAAACCTTAAACCGACGGCAGCGATCCTTTATCCTGACTTATCCGTCTGGAATGCAGAAGGTTTCGCCGTCGCCGTGCATGGCCAAGATAAAGAAAACGCTGTCTCAATAGGATCAAAAACATCGGATGACATTTGTCTCCTCGAGGCTGAGGATGTGATATCGCATGAAGCTCGACATGCACCTCGAACGCTTGGACATGCCAGAACAGGCATAACGTCTTCCAACGGACAACGCATCGATAGCGTCGAATCCCTGGCAAAAGCTCGAGCTTAACGACTGGACCAGAGACGAAACTTCCAGTTACGAGCTGAATCACTGCATAGATGGCATCTCTCGAAGGATACTTGCGCAAAAAAGGTATCGATCGACCCAAAAATAAGAGCTTGCATAGCTGCTAGCTCTCGAACAAGCATTAAAAAAATTTAAAAAATTTAGGACTTACCGATGATATGCCCCAGTACAGCAAAGAGATCAATACCCCCATAGGCGCACCGCAAATGGAAAAAATATTTTTGTAGGCGAACAGCTTAGGCGACAGGGTGATATCAGATAGCAGACCGAGCACGAAAGTGAGAGTTGCTAGAGCCAATCCAATGATAGCTAAAGAAGACTCGGAGATGCAGAATGGTACAAACCGATGGAGTTTTCCCCCACCGATTCGATTTCCATTTCATCCCATCATGTCAGCTTTGCAGTTCCCCACTCAGGCCAACTGGAAGACATCGAGATGCATCTTCCTGAAAAATTTTCACTCTCCTCTTGTCTGAGAAGACGGTTATGCAGGAGAAAAAAACAAAAAGGCGGATACTTACTCAGGTACTGAAAGTGCCATCCCGTACTGTCGTTGATATGTGTTGGGAAATTCACGAGGTACCGAAAGCATCTATTATGGAGAACAGGGTCCACCCTCGCTCGTCAGCTTAATTGTTAATGTTCCGGTGCTCAAATGTATCGCAAGTACTCCAAGCTCTGGCTGTATCCACACAAGCTCGGGGAAGCTCTGGAGAAGAAAAAAAAAGCCAAGACCTGGGAATTTCGAGACGCATAACCGCTCATTCAAACAAAATTTTTTTTTGATGAACGAATCATGGAAAGCCAAGCTTGTAAGGCGTGTGGGTTTGAACGAAAACATTTCTGCCATGGTTCTGAGACCTATCCGATATGCATCTCTGACAGATGTCGACATGCCGCACAACATATATATACGTACCCGACAAAGTTCGCGATACCTAGAATCTGTGTCACAAGTAACACGAGGTTTCCCCCAAAAAGAAACCAAACATCAGCAGCTTCACCTCCACATGATCACTTCATTTCGCTATCACATCTTGAAGGGCGCGGGTCTCGCCAAAGTTTTGGTTCATTCCATTCTTCATTCCACAGAACTTTATGTTTGCGTGACCGGAAAAGCATCCCGGCAGCAAATCAGAAGCTGTGGATCAAGAGGGATGTGATATCAAAACTTTCTTACATAGACCTGGCTGGGGAATCGAGAGATGATATCACATCATACTAACATGTATAACTGCCGAAACCGTCCTCGACGGCGATTCCAACCTCTGAAGAGGATGCCGTTCAATCACCGGTATCATGGCACTGGTCGCCGCTTCCCCGGCACCCTTCACTTTGTCGCTCAATATTTCACCAGCGGAGGCCATATTGTATTTCTTTTGTCCGTCGGTTGGTCTTGTTTCAAGACGTCTTCAGGGTGCTATCTTCAAATTTCTCGCGTAGTAATAGCCCTAGAAATATGCTCCGGAGAGCAAGGTTCATAGAAGAAGGAGTTTATGCAACGAGAGAGATGAGGCGAAGGGTGATCCGGATCCACGAGGGTTCGGCGAAACGAAGCGGGGCGAGGATGATGTTTTCGGGTAATAACCTGAGTTTATGCGAGGAGGGTTGATGCTGATAACTAAGCCTACTGAAGCAAAGTTGAAGCGTCAATACTGATACCCAAAGCTGATAGCTCTAGCTTAAATTTAGTAAAGATGGTTTCGAGAATGACCTCAAGTTTAACAAACTATGCCCGAGATGTCGGCGATAGCTAGCTAGTTGGTTGGTGATCCTGGTAAAGATGGAGGTTGGTTCTCCGTGATTCCTTGCCCCGATGGCTGGTGGTGGTAGTATTGGTAGTAGTGGTGAAGTTGACTGGTTAGTAATTCGATCACCGCGAAGCTCGTGGCCGTCGATAAGCAAACAAAAATGCAGATAGGTACTCGGACTAGTTGATGTTCCGGCTTCCGAGCAGAATGGAATGAAAAGAAGGACACCGTTTTCGCACCGATCAGTCAGCGTATTTTACGGTCCGATAGTACAGTTAGGTACTTGTCAATAGTATCATATCAGCGGGGAAGTAGTGGTAGTAATAGTATTACACTCAGTTCAGCTCAGTTCAGCTCTGAGGGCAAATCATGAAGTTCAACGTTAAGAGTTGGCTAAGCTAAGTTAGCGGCCAGCCAGACGACACAATGCAATGGGAGTCGTCATCGACAGCACGTTGCACAGATGCCAAGACCCGGGTAAGTTACACAGTCCTGAGCTCAACACTTCTCAACACTTCTCAACTCGAGACGCTTCAGGTGTAGTCCAGTGTATAGTCCTGGGGATATATCTTGTATATCAGACGCCTGGGAAAGTTTATGTACTATATTACCGATCACTATGCCGTCGACACAGAACAAGGCTAGCTAAGCTACCCGAGCGAGCGAGGCGGACGGCTCGTTTCTTCTGTTTCTTTTTCTTCTCCTTGCGCCTCCAAAAAAAGACTTCCTTAGTAATGAATGAATAGTGGGTTCCCAAGGAAAAACAAATCCGAGGAAATCAGACGAGAAAGGAAGGTCAATATCTGTAACAGCCGTTACATATACATACAGCCCGTCCTGCGCATCATCATATCATATCTCAAATAAATTATCAACTTGAAATGCTTAAGCCGGCTTCGATAGGATGTTTTGATGTTTGAGCATACGGCGGCCGGTCATACGATCATCTTCTCTTGGTCGTTCAATTCGATATCATTGCATGTACCCGGCCTATCAGAAAGGAGAAGTTTTCCGTACCGCATGTTTTCCAAGCTATACTTGCAATCAAAAGCGTCTATGCAAGGGACGAAAATACAATTCCTTTCTCTCTGACTAGTCTACTAGTTAACCCCAAGGCTACCATTTCTATGTAGTCTAATCGATGTCTCAGATTTTGTCTTAAATCGTTCATACCCACACTTGCTTCAATATATTTACATAGTACTTACGTTCAGGGCGTGTATGTACGTGGACCAACACAGACCTCTTTTGATATCCAACAAGATGATAAGCTCAAAGTGGAGAGACTCAACTTGTACAGCTGCGTGGCGCTTCCGCCTAGAGCCTCCCAATTTCCCAACTTTTCCACACATAAAACGTCACTCGAAATAGCAGTTATCGAAGTTCAGAGACATGAATTTCAGGGCTGAAAATAGTAAAGTCCAATTAATTTTCCATTATCGATGTTTCTATATACTCTTTGTTTTTGTTTTTTCCCGCCGATTGTATCATGTTTGTGGGGTATATGATATGATACCCGCCATTGCATTCACATCCCCAGCCGGTGATCACGAGCTCAACGCCTTTTCGGCATGAAATCCAAGGCAGAGAGAAGTAATTATAATTTCAACATGCAGATTGTCGAACACCCTATTTTTTCTTGTCCAGCATCTAAGACATTTGTATCAGATCGACTCAGATTCTTAAAACCATACTAGCATAGCAAAAAAGGGCAAAAGATGAACATCCCATCCAACCGTTATGGACGTTTTTTTGTTTCCCTTTCCAAAGTAATTAACCATCGTCATCAATTGATTCTATTCGGTGTCATTATTGCATCTCCAGTGGGTCCCGCCAGCCTCTCCGTTTACACGCGGATCATTTCGGCGTACCTCATTTGCACGCTCAAACAGAGACATCAACCATGCACCGGCACATAAAAAATGGGCTTCCCGTAATGTAATATCCCATAGGACATGACAGCTTGAATTCTTCTCCCCCACCACGGTACTATGTGCATATATGTAGTATATTACCACAAACACCTCGACATCATGGGTCTGGGCGCTAATACCACGTTCCATAACGGACAGGCACACCAGACACACATACAGGCATATATGCCAATGCCAATGCAAATGATGAATGCAGATAAGGAGAGACAAAATATGTATTCTAGGTAGGCGAAGTGAATACGGAACTTAATTGGCGTTTTAATATTGCATATCTTTTTTCTGTACTGTTTAACGGCTTGGACGACGACGTTCGCCCCCATGCCATCCATGTACATGTATGTAATCCACGTTTTTGGCTTGGATCTATCGAAACTCCAAGAAGAGTTAATACACACACTCTCAATTTCTGGCACATTAATCATCGGGTTTTAACCTTTAGCATCATGTAACAATCGATCCTTTTTTTCGGTTCGTTTCATTGTAACTAGCTAGCTATTAATATCTCCGCATGAAAAATACGACTGTATCGTGCCGTAATTGCGAACTAAAGGCTTGAAAACGACCCCCGTAGACCTCCTCCTCCCATTGAAACTGGTAATAACACAACGGCGTGATAACTGGTGAACTCAGCCCATGATACGGAGTCTATTACATCCCCATGCTCCTTCCTCCTCTATTCCCGGGGTAAAAAGAGTAGGAGCGCGGGGCTACCAGATACATCCTTTCCCCGGAATATAATTGATATAGCAATATCGATACTCCACTGTAACATTGATTTGATCAATCGCGGGCGGCCCGCGGGATGCTAGCCTGTGCAATCAAAGATCCTCTTCCATGATATAATCATATCTACTTTCCGACACTTTGAGCTTTCATCTTGGGCTTAGTCACAACTATCATTCCAGGGATCCAGGTGAGAATCTTCTAACCCGGGGGTACGGCATCCTTCTATCACCATGGATGATCCCCGAATAACATAACCCCCTCTCTCAAAGGATTTTTCTGTTCCCTAAAAAAGAAAGAAACAAAGTGCCCGATTTTGTTCCTTCTCGAACTCCTTTGATGGTAGAAACCCCCCTCCCCGGGTCGACGTCCTTTACTTTCCCAGGAATGGGAGGAGGTAACCCTAGGTTATGATGGGTTTTCCTTGGATCAACCTGGCCATTCGCACCAGCTTTGGAATATAATTTAGCGATAGAACATTGGGGAAGCTTGGGAAGAAAGAAGTCCATTTCGTATACCAGGTTCAAGGGCCTCGTGCCGTCAGTGGCCTGAGCTGGCAACTGCAGGAACGGCACGGCATCTCTGCAAACTTTTTTTTTGTTCTTACTTGATTGATTTTGATATCAGTTTTTTTTGTTTTGTTTTGCGAGGTATATATGTACTTTTCATAGACATATCGAGTTAGACAGTTCTAGGCCTTCAAATTTAAGCCAGGTAAACGCAATTCTTAAAAAATAAAATATAATACAGATCGAAATAGAGGAACGGAATCATAATCAGGATACTTCATTCCCAATAACCAAACAAGGCAGGCAAGCCCCGTGCCTCGGTCAAAGAATGAAAAAAAAAAATCCCGAACCAATCTTCGGCCTGGCTCCGTGCTGTGGGAACCGAAGTTTGTACGACTCGAACATCCATATTAATTAATTATTCTCCTTAAGACTGAAAAAAAAAAAAAAAAAGGAATCAAACCAAGACATTGAATCTCGGTAACCAGCGCTTCGGCGCGCACACCAGAGTTCACGCACGTGCCTCACAAAAGAAAGTCGTTGTTTTGTACGTTCAGACGTAAGTACGTACTTGACGTGCTGTAATATGTCAGGTAACAAAAAGGGTGCCTCATTCTGAAACTGTCAATCACGGTACCATTTCGACCGTATTTCTCGGCACGCAAGGCAAGCCATGTAATATCGGCCACTTTGGAAGACAAAGAAAAAACACATTGAAAAACACTCATACGCAGCTATATGAAAAAAAAGGGCGTAGGATTCAGTATTCACTTGCTAACTTGCCTACTGCCTACCTAGTTATGGATCTCTTAAAATAAATTCCGGTGTATACGTAAAAAAAAAAAAAGCTACAGACGATGATGGGATGATAATAGGGTTCTTTGTGTTTTATGACAACGTAGAAGTGGATTTTTGGTATATACAAGAAAGCGAATCAAGCGCAAGAACCACGTGCTTTTTTGTCCATTTCGCTCGCTTCGTCGGTTTTTTCATACAACAATAAAAATAAAAAAAACGGCGAAGACTCCGCTACCCGCAAGTGAAGGAATATTTTTTTTTTCCAATTCGTAAAATTCTTCGTAGCTTCGTAACGAGCCGGCAAAAGTAGCTCCGATATGGCGAACCTGCCAGAAAAGAATATCCAAAAGCAAAAGAGAAATATACAAAAAAAAGATCCTTGAAGTGCCCCCGTGAAGCAAATTTACGTACGTGGGGGACCGAGATGAAAAAACGAACTGAGCAAAATCGACCGAACTCCAAGGAACGTTTTCATATAGTGAGACACACGAACACCAGTAGCGAACGCAGGAAGAGACAGGTGAATGAGTTAAACTCTGGGATATTGTAATTTTTTTTGCTTCCGTAGTAAAGGTATTTGGTAACAAACAAAAAAGGTATCAAGGTTCTCGAAAACTCCTACCCATAAGGAAATATAATCAAAAAATTGCCTCTTCTATGAAACAATGCTTTAAAGAATAACTAAATTCGAAGTAACCAACCCATTGCCCCCCATGATACATGCCGATAATACAAAAGCAAAAACTAAAATGCACCGAAAGAAAACTAATACTTGAAACCGTAATGCGAAAAAAAAAAGACTTGCCACAACTCCTAGCCAATGAACTCGCCGTTGATGAGAGATTCCCAGCTAGACCCAGTCTCCCAAACCTTTTGCATGAGAATTCTCGCCCGTTGAAACTGATTCATCCCACTATTCTCGATCCCTAGAAGACGCTGTAGTATGTACTCCCGGTCTTCTGCGGTGGTGCTTTCGCACCCTGCAGTGAAGAGTGGAAATAGCACGGCATTTCCCACGTTACTCTTCTCAGGGATCACTTGCATAGCCTCAATGATGCGCTTGATGGCATCTCGAATGCATAGGTGATCTCTTTTGTAATTGAAAACCCTGCGGAAGAGATGAATTTGAGCAGCCCAGTGAAAGGCATCATTTGAAGCAAGCAATTCCTTGCTGCTATCATCCTCGGGAAGTATCCGATCATCGTCGAATGCTCCCGCTTCCTCGGATGATGCCCAAGTCTGTTGCGTGTGTTTGCAAGTGCCGAGGGAGTGACGTCGAGATTCTTCAAGTTGTTCCCGAACTCGAAGAGCGTCATGGTAGATTTGGCCTTCTGGTACCCATTCCGAGCCATGAGTTGTGTAACCCATGCCCCGCATACCTTCAATGAAGTGCCGCCTCTCTCCATCCGCTTGCCGCATCAGTTCACCTACTCGAGTGAGTAGGCCGATGAAGCGATTCGTAAACCCGAAGAAGCAGTCGACAGAAAAGTCGGCCATCATTCCGAGTTCTTCTTCATCGACTGTCCAATATTGTCCCGCGAATAGAGGGATTGTGTTGTTTTTGTTGTTGTTATTTCCCGAAAAACACCCCAAAATGTCAAGATATGCAAACCAACGAGACAAAAAGAAAGAAATCGGATCCCGCGAACGCATTTCTTTGGCACCTCCACGGGCGAGAATAATTTTCCGCGCCGCTTCGAGATGCACTTGCCAAGTTATGCCCTCAGCAAAGGGATTTGGCGAAATGATTTCATAAGAACAGAGCATGATTGCGGTGGCGAGAGTTGCATTCGAGTTTTGCTCCTTTTCGTCGTCCAAGCTCTGATGTAAATGTCGATAAGCGTGATCTAAAAATCCACTAACAAGTTCCAAAGGCTCCGGCTGTTTTGCCTGACGAGCTTTGTGACTTGCAGAGTATGCTAGTAGCAAATTTAAGAGGCCATCATGGTTCATGGCCACTGAGGCACGGTCAGTTACTGAGAACTGTGTGCAGACGAAACTGGAAACCTACTTTGAGGTAGGACAGACTTGAAGGGGTTGCCATTGCAATCATGAGGCACCAGTAAGGGAGCAGTTTCCGAAAGGAAATGCTGGAAGTATACTGTGCTCTGGGGGTTGCCAGCGATAGCCTGTGGGAGCGAGTTAAGCTCCTTTGGCAGGTGCAAGTAGGCTGGGTGACCCTTAATGGTTGCATAACCATCCTTCGCGTCTAGTGTAGCACTGTGCAGCTCCTCAACTGCATCGGCTTCGGCATCAACGATCCCAACAGTGAATGGAGGGGAGTTATGGCTGTGTTGAGCGCTGTATGATTGGCTAGCGAAGCTTGGATACTCCTGGGCGAAGTTCTCGACTGATCTTCTGTGGGACTTGTCAGAGGAGATGTATGGATTTCCTCTGATGGTGTCCTGGTTGCTGCCAAGAGTCGGTGGAGTGACTGGGCTAGCGTAGTAGAGTTGAGAAGAGAGACCAGCAGTGGTTGGAACAGAAGACGAGAGACTTGGGACTGTAGTAGCCAAACCATTGCTGTAGGTAAGCTCAGATGGATGAGGAGGAGAAGAAGTATTAGAAGTAATAGAGATGGATCGCTGGCGACGGAAAGCTCCGAGATCAGTAAAGCTGCCATGAGGACTTGGTGGAATACTGTGGGAACCAGTAGGGCTTCCGATGGTCAAGTGGGTAAGGCTAGGAGTTGGCGAGGACATCTGATAGAAGTCATATCCGGATGAAGAGGAGAACATGCTCTCTTCAGACATATAGCTCAAATCACTGTCCGCCGTCGAAGCAGTAGAAGGGGTGAGTGGGGGACGCTCCGGGATTCCATCCAGGGTCCACAAGTAAGGATGAAGGTGCTGATAGTTTCGTGGTGGGGAAGAAGAGCTGGCGAGGTGAAGAGGGGCCGGGATGGATGAATTGACCAGGGATGTTGGGGGCGAGGCCTCACATACTGAAAATACGTTCTGGTATGTAGCCAATCCCGCCTGTGAAGAGGTGCTTTTCCGGCTGGAGGAGGACTTTGTGGTGCAAGAAGAAAGCGTCGGTGAGGTCCTAGTCGAGCTGTGGGTAGCAAGCTCGAACTGGGCCGGCGACGGGAACTGTGGTTGGTTGTAGTTTGTGTTGAGGCTGAACTGGCCGGCACCAGGGATGTTCTGGCTGGCGTCGTCCAACTGGGCACCTTGCTCCAGCAGCTTCTTCTTGAGCGGTCGACCACCCCACGACAGACGGATTTTGTAGTCGCATTCTTCTCCCAGGCGGGTGCAATTGCTACAGCGAGGCTTCATCTCGCAGCACTTGACCTTGCGGGCCTTGCAGTTCCTGTTTTAATAGCCAAGCCAATCAGTATATGTCCAGATCGAATAGTAATAGATATCAAGAATAAGGAAGTAGACTTACCAGCAGCCATTCCTGCTCCTCCGTCGGATCTCGCGGCCAGCAACTGGAGCACGAGGCATTTTTGTGTATATGTATGAAATATGTAGAAGGACGAACGAAGACGGATTGTGATTGTAGCTTTGGAAAAAAAAAAACAAGCTACAGGAAAAAGGAAGACTTCGAGGGAGCTTTAAAGTGGTGTGTGTGTTTGTGCAGGTGGGTGTGTTCAAGTAGTGTGCGAGTAGTGTGTGTGTGTGTCTGTGTGGGTGCGTTGAAGTACAACAAAATCCCTGTTTTCCCTAACCGAGGCACGCTAACAAGTGAAGTGAAGTGAAGTGAAGTGAAGTGAAGTAGAGTAAGTTTGAAGGGAATGTTGATAATGATAGTGATCCAGAAGAAATAAGAAAGAGGAAGTATATAGTCGGATACAAGTACTGGTGAGGTAATAGTAGTAGCAAGGGCCGTGCAGTGGGGAGACAGCTAAGTTCTTATAGGTCTGAGATGTGATAGATATGTAAAGTCGCAGGGAATGCAATTGCAAAGCAGAGTGGACCAGGCCAAGCTAGCAAATCAGAACAGCTTATTTTTTGGTTTCAGTCGAAGGGAAGAACAACAGGAGCAAGGGAGACCCGAATGAACTGGACTGGACTGGACTCTGAGAACCGGTGAGACAAAGAGGATTGGTTGAATTGTTTGGTGGTGATGATGGTGATGTTATGCAAAAGAGAGGCTCTTGGTGGAATATAAAAGCAACTCTGAGAATAGATACTGTTTATGGAAGGAGGAAGAGAGTGAGGTTGGAGATGAAGTTGGTTTTAGATTGGAATCTTCGGTATCAGATATCAGGACTGGTTTGACCTGAGAGATGTTGATGATGCTGATGAATGAGAAGTGCCAGAATTGACGCGGAAGAAGCGTCGTATAAGTACTTTGAGATCTTGGTTTCCAATGCAGACAACTATAAACAACCTGAGATGCACTATACCATCCATACATCCCATACATCCCATACGTCCCATACATACAGACCAGACTTACATACAGACCAGACTTACATACCTTACTACCTTACTACCTTACTACCTAACCTACCTACACCCCAGTACACAGTGTGGGACACTTCCAATGTTGCAAATCCTCCCTCTACAGAGTACGGTCCTGGGCAAAGCAAGGAAAAGAAAAAGAAAAAGTACACGAAAAACAAAGGAAGAAGACGAAGAAGAAAAGCAAATATCCTTTTTACCCTTGACCAGTGAGGGTCTTCCACTAAACCCAATTAAAGATAGGAACAGACAGATTCAAAGAAAAAAAGCACCGCTCTCATGCATATTGGTCATGAAATTCGAAAACTAGTTCTCCGGTACTTCCTACAGTCAACGGAAAAAGAAAAAGGGATTTTCTTCAGTCTGCTTCACTGTTGGCAAGCCTCGTTCGCTGCCTGTAACTTAGTGTGGTGCTGCAGGCCATTGCGGGGATTAGAACGCTAGCGTCTGACCCTGGCCTCGTCTTAATAGAGATGAAGGAGCTGGTCACCGATCGTTCGGCGTACCCAAAAGTACCTCTGACTGACGGGGAAAACTTCCTGGCCATCATCGGGAGGTTTTCCCCACCCCTGTCGTGCCTAGACGTCCACCGGGACAAGGATCTGACACCCACGGGACGACCGCCCCCGGACGCCTATTATAGAGGCGTTAATCCGGTGATATCGAGTCGACTTGGACACTGTACTCCGTATTGGAGAATGCGTTAGTACGTACGGTATCGACGTAATAGCTTAATAGTGGACTTCTGGTCAAAACGACTGGTGTCTTCCAAGACAATATCTCATATTCCGCAAATCTGTCGAAATTGAAGGGACTGCATAAGGCTACCACCGCATGGCCTGTGTGCTATTTTCTGCCATACGGTCGTCCAGAAATATATCTATCGTGTATCATGTAGTCTGCTAGTTGGTGGCATCTCAAACGGGATTCAATTCATCAAGCGCAGGTTCCCTTTCTGGACCAGAAAGACTAGAGTACAATTACAGATAGAACTCGATCTCGACCGGTTTTGAAGGGCAAACCTTACTTAGGTACCAAAGGGAAAAAAAAAAAAAAAGCAGGAATTCGAGAGGCGTTTTTCTCAATTGTGGAGATTTCCCACAGCTCGCTCGAGATAATGATCATATGGACGAACACAGAACCGGACTAGTAAACCCGCAGCTTAAGCTAAGACCTAAGCAATCGCAATTGAAATGCAATGTAGTGTAGTATAGTAATAATCGGTGGATACTATAGAGCAGAGTAGTGGCCAAAAAGTCGACGATACCTTGTTGGGAGCCATACAGCTCCATTGCTCGAACTGGCGTCTAGGTCAATAGTACTTCTCTTCATTCGATCACCGTCCTGCCATGAGGATGTCCTCCCGGCCTCATTGAGTGGTTCGCCTATCTCGAGTATATGCGCTATCCTACCTAGTCGCTGCCGCCGGCACCAACCCACTACATTCGACGGCCATGCGATCCGCCAGACAGTATAACCGATAAGGACACCTTTCACGGAGTGTCATGTATATCCTGAATCATGATCGAATATGACTGTAGACGGTTCAAATCGGGCCATGTTGGAAAGTCGAAAGACGCTACCCTCATAAAAATTTAAAAAAAAAAATAAAAATGAAAAAAATAATAATAAAAAAAAAATGAAAATTTTTCGTAGATGCGTCGACGCCCCGAACTCAATTGCGTAGCTTCGGCCGTCTACGGGTCCAGCTGGTCCCATGGTAGTATTGGAATTCGGTTTGGCCATGACAGGATTAGATACAAAGCTGAACATGTTAACATGACCACACTCTTGCAGGGAAAAGTACAGGGAAGAGAAACGAAGATGCGGCTGTGGCGCAGCATCATGGCCTTCCTCGCCTACGTTTCAGACCGACATTTCGAGTAAGAAATGTCTTCACAGACGACGAACAGTGCAGAAAATGAGGTAACGCCGCACCAGAAGTCTCATTGGGGGTGGCTTAAACGTAGAAACCGGACGGTCAATACGGGTTAGTCTCCTGCCCTGGGAAGTTCGACGGGCCTAATTTAGTGTGGTTGTCTTTTGGTCCAACGCAACACTTTATTCGACGAACTTTTGCTAGCTATAGCCGAACCCGTATCGAAACGGGCAATGCTTTTCTGAACAACGGAAAGTTCAAGAGAACGAGAAAGATATGTCCAGCTCCACTGCACCGAAAGCTCTACCATGCAAGATCAATTCCAACATTTTACACTCAAAGAACTCCTCTGGCTCCAGTCCAATCCCGAATTTTTAAAGTCACCGAGCAATGCGGAGCGGACGTGCGAAAGCGGGACGACAAGATGGAATGATAAGTGATAACTTGCGTCGGTACTAGGTGGGTTACCTTTGGCTTCCACTGCGAAAGCTAAGAGTTATTAATTGTACTTAGTAGGTATGTATGTTCACACGCCGACCGACATATCGATTAAGCCAGCCCACCTCAAGCGATCAGCGGGGTAGCATTCTGTCTTGCGATCGGTCAGCTATAGGCCCATCAGCTTTGTTTCCCTTTTTTGTTCAAGTAGTGATATGCATGAAATCCTTTGGCTCGCAGCGATGGAAGCATCCGGCCGCCTTTTTACACACGTGGGGCAACCATGCTCACTAAACGAGGATTCACATATGCCGCTTTTCTGCCGCCTTGGGCACGGATATAGTCTAGTCAGAAGCCCGGAGCATGAAGCTCTCGAGCTTGTAATCGATTTAGCTTATCAAGTGGAGTTAAGCTAACAAAGCAGTTATGCAATTAGAGAATGGAATGTGAATATCAAAAGCTGGAAAAAAATGAAAAGAAAGTTATGTCCCAGCTTTCGTGACGAAGTTTATTGAATAACTCGGGAATATGTCGGGTGGTTTGGAATTAGCTAATTATCTCACACTGGTGGTGGGTTTTTTTTCGATTAAGATCTACTAACTATTGTACATCATATTCTCGTTTCTGTATGTCATGCTGTTTAACTTTTAGTATTAGGATCATGAAGAGCTAGCTAGACATCGTCTACGATATCGATATTCTACTATATAGACGACCGTGTTATGTTGCTAGTGACTACTGTGTCTGGAAACTCCAAGTAATTATTTATTCGAGTTACCGAACAAGGGAAAGTTGTCTGACATTTGGTCTTTCGTTTAAGACTGGCGTGCAGCTGTCTGTCGGTTTTCCTACCACAAAGGTAGGTGTGGCCTTCCACCCCCATCAGCATAGTCTAGAACCCTGGCACTCTGAAAGGCAAAAACAAGTCTTCCACCTTTGAGCTCTTGTCCTAAATATTAGTTCTGACAGCCTTCGTATTGGCGATACCGATCGAAGACCGCCAAACTCGCTTGCTTATAATAGCTAGCATGATCTATTGGATGAAAAGCCATTAATGCATGAAATGCGAGACCTCCAGCTGAGCGTTTGCAGCTCTGCGCTATGTCAAGGAGTCTTTTCTCGTACAATCTGCGTCCGTAAGACTGGTTACTGAGACGTGCAGAAACTATACTGTACGGAGACGCCGCCCAGTTAAATTCCTGCTTCAGGTCTGTTTCCTAGTTTGCCTTCTCCGCAGCCTGCCTATCAAGCCAATAGTGAACACATAAATTTTGTGGATCCATGGTCATGGACCCCCCGATTATGCTAGACAGAAAGATATCAAGGTCGGACACACATAAAGTGATATCCTTCATTAAGTTACTTAATTATTAACACAAAAATATGTCTAATGTGGATAATGCCACCACCCTATATGAGGATGCTAGTATTCCTTTCCTGTTCCGCTATAAATATGTCCAGTTTAGGGCTGGGTCAACTGAACTTCCTAGCCGTGCGAAGCTTAGGCCGTGCGTCCAATTTGCATAATTCTCCGCTGGTTAACGGAGGTTCTTCAGGATTTTGTCTTAAAGACGCAATTAGCGTTCATGTTGCGTGCCTATGGGCAGTTTATCGTAGGCATTTAAAGTGTTTATGGAGAGGTCTGATTAATAAAATTGGCGGGTAGGGAGGATAATAAGTTAATTGGAAAATAATCCCGAGCAGATGGGTGATAATGAGG